TAATTCTGTGCCACAAGGAGGCAATGGGGAAGGGCTATACACTGCCAAAAGGCTCCAATAGAAAGAGAACAAAATAGCTTTAACCGTAATGAATTTACATTGCAGGAAAGGTGGAGACAAAAATTCGGGAAGGCTGGGAAGTGGGAAGCTGGCCAACTGTCAGGACTCCAGGATGCTCTAGAGGTAGAACCGGTGAGCAGGGAATCCAGCGGGAACGCTCTTCCAAACTCCACTGCATGTGGCCACGCACTCTCTTCCACAATAGTACATCACAGAGCACCTTTTAAACGCTTTATTAAGAACATCCGGCACAAACGACTGCAGTCCTGGCTCACACCACTGTCACTGAAAACTTCCTCGTGGCACACCGGTTCAGCTGAAACTTTCTGAGATTTCCCAAGTGCCTCGTTGGCCATTTGACTGCCCCATCGCCTTTAAATCTACAGTAGAAGTTCAAGCATCTTCGACAAATGCAAAGCCAATCTACCCAACGAGGGCTTCAAGTCGGCTCCAACGTGTGACTTCTCCATCATTGTCAACACAACACAGAGTGGCCAATCGTTCTACTTAAAAATCCACTGGACGGCTTCTTAATAAAAGCACTCTCCAGTGGCTTCTTCAGTTAACCCCCCAACCTCTGGGATCTCTACCCACGTACCGAATATTCCTTCCATCCAGAGCTTTTTACAATGATCAACTGGAGCAGAAGCGGATTCTACGGATGCTTACAAGCTTACTGAGTGATCCATTCCCTCCTGGTTCAGTAGGCTGAAGGAATCTTTGTATATCGCTCAACTACAACTGGGATGATGTGCTTAAAGGTTAGCTTATGGACGACTACAGTTCTAGCATGCATGCTACTCTGCGCAATCTGGGAATGCAGAGCAGCCTCACACCTCCACATAGAGTCCCTAGGGGTGCCTTTAGGCCAAGGTACGCCTCTTCCTCAGCACAGCCACACTGGAGGTTCAGGGCTCCAGGCATTCAGTTTTGATGCGTTGAGCCTGGGCAGGAATCCGCTTGGCACAAATGCGTTGTCTAAACGGGCAAGGAAAGGCTTTTTTGGCATTTCGCTTTCCATTAAGGCCTTAGCCCTCCTGGCTCTGATGGCAACGGTTTTTCTTGTATTGCAGTGCGCACGAGCATGTATGAACACGCAAGCGTTTCGAGAGCATCGAAGGTCTCTAGCTGATGGGGGAGATGATCAGGGGCTTCACGGAGCATGTGCGGCTCCGGATGGTGATTCAGGGCAAAATGAAAATGCTGATGGAGATCCAGAGAAAGCCAGAGTTTCTTTGATCTTCGGAAGCCTGCATCGACTGCTGGATCTTTGCGATGATGTTGGGCCTTTACTACCTACCGATGCTCATATGAGACTCTCATTGCTGATGATGGCCTTAAGCGCACAGGAGCTCACGGTATTATCTGCCTATTCTTCCCCCTCCCTTGAAGGACTGCGGAAAGAATCACTTTCTAAGATGAAAAAATATTCAGCGAAATGCATTGGCCATGGGGGCCGGAGACGCGTTACCAGGTTTCGTCAAGCAGCATTACGCAGGTTCAAAAAGTTTTTCAGATGTATGCGTCGGTTTTCTCCGGTGATGGACCCAATAAGTGAAGAAGAACGTGAGGCCAAGCTGCTCGCAGAGGTGCGCTTAGCCGAAGTGGCGATCAGCACATGTACAGCTGCTCTTGAAGTTCTTCAATCTGTGTTGAAACACGATGTTGTGATCCCAGGTGACCTTGTAGAAGCCGTTATCGAGGCGGTTGCCATGGCGCGCCATGCCCGGAAGCAGCAAATTATTTCTGGCCCCAGATTGCGAGGTTTGATAGTAGAATTGCAGAATCAAGCAAGTTATTCGTGTATATTTCATCCACCAGGAGCCGCCAAGGTGGAGCTGGTTCGTCGCACACTGGAAGAAGAATACCAGACGATCAATGAAATTCTGACCCCCTTTTTACTGGACGTGCATAAGGCTGCAGAAGGTGCCCTCCAGTCTGGCCTCCTGCCGGGGTCTCAGCCTGTGCAAACCCTTTCCCTCCAAGATGGAGCGGCTGCTGACCAAACAACGCAGGCTGGAGGGGGAACCCTGGATTCCACTTCGTCAACCCCAGGTGGTGCACAGGGACCACTGTTGTCAACTCTGCTGGGCGACTCAAGTGCCCCGACACCTTCTGCACCCGTCCCCGACAGCCAAGCACATCATCACACTGGTGATGGGTCGACTCTTGATCTACTAGCTGGAATGTCACTAGGAACCACTACTTCCATGCATCCTGCTCCCCCTCCCACTTCCTCACCTTCTTACCCAGTTTCTGTCGGTCAGGTGGCCCTTCCAACGTCATCCAGCTCTGGTACTTCTTTACAGGCACCCAGTTCACTGCTGGGTTCCCTGGGCAGTCAGTTACCTCATGCCCCACACCCTGACCACAGTCAAACGTCCCTTGGCCTGTCATCGTTATCTGCAGATCTACATCCGCGAGGGCCCTTCTTTGGGGCTCCGCTTGGAACGCCACTACCGTCAGAGGCAGACACAGAAGCTGGAGGGGCACCTCTTCGGGGTCCCTTCCGTGGACACGCGCTTGGAATGCCACCACAATCAGAGGCAGCCACACAAATTCAAGGGACATCTCTTCAGGGTCTCTTCTCTGGACCCGCGTTTGCAGTGCCACTATTGTCAGGGGCCGCACCATCACCCCCTACCTCAGAAGAAGGCGCTGTTGGCTCTGTCCAAAGTTCGCTCTCCGGTGTGTCGCCCACAGGTGCCACTGGTGGTTCGCTTCAGGATGATGGTCATCAAGGTGCACAATGATTGTATGACATGTGTTTTGTCCTGTGCCACTTTGTGCACGTGTGCGCCATCACGCCCAATTGCATATGGTTCTTCAGTTATTCACATTAAGAATGCAGTGTATTTGCACCGACTGCTAGAGGCTTTGCAAACAGCGGGCCACTTTTATTGCGTAATTATTGTATGTAGAACGTAATGCTACCTATTCCTAAGGCAACTAAATGTCTTCCGGTTTAAATTGAGATTATGAAGCGTCCCATGCATCGTACATATTTGGCGATGGGCTGGAGCCTCGACTTGTCCGAATTGCACTCAAATTGGAATTTGGAGGATACGGGGGGAAAAAGGAACTGATCTAGTCTAGTGCATGTAAGGGGGTTTACACCAGTAAGCGTTTGTGCTAAGCTTTATGGCACCACACAATCCAGAAAACAAAGCGCAAACACTGAGTCTCCAGGAAGCCACACACACTTTAGGTGCAGCATTGGACCTTCCGTTGCGCCCAATGCAGAATGGCACTGTATAATTTCAAATATACCTTGCCTTGATTGCCAGTGCTTATGCCTGACGCTGGACCTACCCAGCATCATGTACTTCATTTCTGCTAAAAGTAAAGACTTGCTGCTATTGCCATGCAGGACAGTCAGGTCTAGCTTGTCGATGGGTAGGATGGAGGTGCCGCTTTAGTCCCCTTTGCCACCGAGTATATTGAGAGTCATGAGACCACGGTAGGAGACTTCCCAATATTGATACAGGTAATGCAGCTATATCTGTAAGCGTACATATAGGGCAATTCTAAGTGGCTCCTGACATTTGAGTCGGACAGCTTAAAGGGGACACGCTGCTCGCATAAATCCTTCGGCTGCATGTCTCCGTAGAAACCTTTTAGGTGCGGCTTAACGTTTATTAGCTCTTCTCTCAAGGGCGCCTTCCCAGAAACTTTCAAAGTGTCACACTTACCCTCACATATCCCTGAAGCAAACGATGGCTTTACTTGGCACTAGGCCGAAGTTCCTGGAGCTCTAAATGCATGAAGACTGGCACAGCCTCTAGGTAGCGAGGATACCAACGGTTTCTACGGCCTGCAGGGGATGTAGCTCCTTCTTACACCTAGTTCTCTTCCGTGAGACAGGCATAGAGACTCGGCTTACGTAAACATGAATTTTTAGCTCCGACTCATGAACATTCTCACATGCCCTTGATCAATCCTTCTGAAGACCCACTTCGACTAAGCCATACCCGGCGACCTAGGACTTCGACTGTTTCTCCTCGAGTTTTGCAAGTACCGTACTCATCGGCAGTTGAAACGGCGTATATGTCCTGTAAAACCTTGAGACCCGGCTTTCTGTCTTTGTGTACTCCTGCTGTCTCGTTTTCTGTCTCCCTGTGTACCTCTATATTCCTGCCTCTTGCTGTACCTTTCCGGCTTTTTTCTCCTCTTAGTTGATGCAGGTATGACCTTAGCCATCCGCTGCTTCACGCGTTTTAGGGTTTTTCTGCGCCCCTCCCACGCTCTCTTCGGTGCTTGCATTCCCGTTTGCTCCAGACTCTCAGTGAACATTTTCAAATGGAGGAGAGCGGCACAAATTGGGCCCAGCGGGAGCCTAGAGAAATATGGAAGTAGACGCAAATCTAAACCGAATGAGAAGACAGAAGCTATTCAAAATTCCAAACACACAGGCAGCGAGCCAGGGAAAGAGAAGCCACAGATAACAGCCGATGCATGCTTACAGTAAGAGGTCCATGGCAACACGAACGTAGTATACAGATCCAATTTCGGTTATCTGCACAGCATCTTCTACAGCCTTTTATCTTTCAGTGCGCGGGGCTCTATCGTTGTGTTGTGCGCAATGTCTCCCAGCTTGGCCTTTTCAATTCCTGTGTTTCTGCGTTTGTGTCATTCTATATGTGCACGTGTCTGCAACGGCGCGCATTTCTGTCTTTCCCCTTGAAATCACATCAACTATGAAATTACACAAGTCCAACAAATGCTTGGCAAATGCATGCCCAGCCCGATGCGCAACAGTCGAGCCACATGAAGAGAGACACATCAAGTGGCTGGAAAAATGCAACATAAAACAGCACACAAAGAAAGTGGCAGCGGATACAAAAGGAAGCATGCTTAGACTAGTGCGGACATACAGTGCAGTCTATTGGCACGGTTATATATACACAGCTGCACCAGGACACAAACCAAGAGTAAGGATTTCACGTTTCCCCATAGAGGCAGCGCTCCGTGAACTCGGTGCCGAAGTGTGGCTGCAAAGCCTCAGCACTGAGGACAAACGGCTGTTCCTGCAGATGCTGCAGCTGCTGGTCCTGCAGGACCTTTTGCCTCTTCTTTCCTGCCATCTTGATGCTGAATGGCACTTTCCTCTTACCCACCGGTTCATGCTGCTGCAGCGGGAACAACAGTTGATGTAGTTCTTCTTGCACCGCAGCAGCCCCGGGAAGCAGGAGGTCTAGGAGGAACGACTTTTGCAAGAGCGCTGCCACACGGCGCTCCTGTCTCTGTGAGCAGAGCTCCAAGGCCCTGAGGACCTGCCCTGCCGGCTTGTTCCCCACTGTCGAATGCCTGTCTCGGATCCAAGAAGCATCTGCGCCTGCATCCTCTTGCTTGCCGTAGCTGGTACTGCCGCCAAAGAGATATTCAGTTCGCCGCCTCCGCAGCAGTAGATTCAGTAGCCCATGGGCTGCTGCTGCCATTGCTGGCTCCGCTGTCCACTCAGCGACAAAGCCTAGAAGAGTTCTGGCCTCTTCATGGCCAAGCGCCCCAACCAAAAGTGCCCAATCAGTGTCTCCCTGTGTGATCCGCTCTGAAGGCTGCTGTTGCTGCAGCTGCAACCGTAGCTGCTGCTCTAGCTGCCGCTGCAACTGCGGGTGCCTCAGGTGTGCTGGTAGCAGCAGGAAAAGTGATGAAGCGTCTCCTGTGCGCATGAGCGCAGCAGGGTTTGCTCTATTGAGAGATTGTGCAAGAGAATGCACAATCCGCCTTTGTACAAAGGCAGCCAGGCCAAACTTCTTTCTCAGCTGCAACAGCAGATCCACAACCTCTTCGCTCCGCCCCTCAGCCTCCATTCTCTGTGCAGCAGCAAGTTGTTGCTGCTCCTCCAATGAATGCAACTGCAGCGAATGACACATTGCTACACACAAGCAGCATCTCCATTTTCGATATGCCTGCCTCCCAGTAAATACCCAGATCGCTGGCTTACTCATTAGCCAGTTGCTAGCAGCCCACATATCGGGCAGCTCTGTTTTGACCTAGTCCATAGGCCCTGAGCCATAATGTTCATTAATCAAACCCAAGTTTTTTCTCCGTGCTGTGTTCTCTTGTTCCCTATTACCCAGCTCTACAAGTACCTTTTGTGCAGCCTTCGTTTCGGCGGTGACGTCCCGCCAAACGCAGAGGCGGCCGTCCGCGCCTCCCGAGACAGCGGCAGCGCCCCATAAGTCGAGTGCCCATACCTAGAGGACACACAAATACCTATGGACTACGCATAGTTTTATACACAATATTGGTCCACGGAACGAATGTGCACTGAATGAATGCGTACTCAGAAAGTGATACAATCTCACAAACACGGCAGCAGAACATTGAGTGGATAGCCACATTTACAGGTACTTCCTTATGCATTTACACATACATACACAAACCTTTGCGCACATAGGTTTATGCACATGTGCGCACACAGATGAGTAGAGATCGACTAATCAAAAATCATGAGGGGGAATGTAGCGGTGCCCCCGCTGTGGCAAAATTGTCTCTGCAGCTTAAAGGCAGCAAGGTTTGCTACTAAAGCTAATGCATACTAGCCACCCAGCACATAAGCAGACAGGAACTACTGCTGGTACACCTAACAAGCTCTCTGGTCGGCTTGACAGCCAGAAGACGGATTTTTCTGTTTGCTGGTCCGCTATATTTAACGAAAAACGCTACCTTGTCTGTGTGCACAGGGGGCAGAGCAGCTACACAATCCGCGGTACGGCAGTTGAAAAGCCGTGCGGAGCCGTCGGCAGCAAAGGCGAGAACTTGCGTATCCAGGGATAAAAAGCGCACACAGAGGAACGCCACATCTCCCTGAAGCAGCAACAGCAGCGATTGCAGCAGCGGACGCGGGATGAAAAAGTATGCACATCTATCTTGAATGAGAAGGCGATGAACGTATGTCCATGTGCGCTTAACTGGAGAACGATGCGAGATCAATCAGTTGCTGAAGCTTTCTTTAATCCTACTGCTTGGTTTGGCTGACCTGTAGGGTCTTGATGCATGTAAAAGAGCTGAGATTCCATAATCTAATGGTGCCATCCAGGGAGGCGGTGGCCGCGACTCTTTCTCGCTCCGCAAACTGAAACTCCTGCACAGCTCTCCTGTGACCCCGCAGTTCACCCGCAGGTGCGAGTGAAGGCACAGAAAGCAGGCGACAAGTCTTGTCCGTACTCGCCGTGGCCACCAGCTGTGCATACACCCCAGGCAAATAGGCAGAAAAGACTACAGCATATACAACTCCAGGGCGCGTCGAGGGCACAATGCGAAAGAGGGCTTCCCAGCAGTCACTACTAGGATTTGAGCTGTTGGGCAGATGGCTTGGATTTACGCTATCGTTTGGTGCGAATTTGATGTCGTTGATTTCTCTGCTGTGGGCAACGACGGTCGCAAGGCACTCCATCTCGGTCAGCGGAAGCCCCCCTGTAGGTCCCCTTGAGTCATCACGTGCCCCATTGGCTCGACCTCTCCCTGCTGCTGCTTCCACTCCATCCTCTGCTTCAGCATCTGTTTGGTTTTGTAAGTGGGGAATGGCGAAGATGCCTTGAGGAATGCGGACTCGCCACAATTTGAGGCTGTTTTTCTCGCAGCAAGAAACGAACAACAGGGCATGGGGTTCAGAGGGCGAAATGCCCCGGCAATCACACATACACTCAAGCACCCTGTTATCCTCTTGCGCCTGATTTTGTGGAGGTCGTTGCAGGAGCTGACTCGCTTTAGCCCTAGAGGCACAAAGAAGCAACAAAACAGGAGAAACACACCAATGACTGTGGCAATTGCAAAAGTACTTACAGACCAGAGCACTTACCTAAAGGTGTGGCTATTAAGTACGAGCAGATGTTGTGAAACAAGCAGGCACCCAGAAAGGCTGCTATGATCGATAACGCATAGGGAGATTGCATCAACTCAAAGCGGACGACCGGCGCCATAAACAGCAACCAGAAAAGTGTCAAGGAGAAAATCAAAGCATTGAGAGCATAACGACCAGCACGCAACATTAGATATGTGCCCAGTACAACGAGTAGCTGCAGTAGCACGACCAACAAATTCATCCGCACCAATTTTTGCGTTGGAAGGCGACGGCAGTGATGCACCCCTCATGGGCTCCCTCAAGTTTGGCAACGAGGTGACCCGAGGCGGTCTGCCAGAGGCAAAGGGCACCGTCGCGGCTCCCAGTCAGCACCCAGCAACCTACAAACGAGAAGGTCCGCAAGCCGTTGACACAGAAATAACGGGGGGGAAGACAGGGAAGAAGAAATGTCTTTGAAGTAGGACACAACCGTAGGCGGCTAATAGAGTGGTACAAAACACAGCAAATTGCTTCAGCAATTACACCCATGATTAGCAACATCTAATCTGTAAAAGCAGCAGTGCTGACAGCACCGGCGCCAGGACCAACGCACACTGTAGGGGCTTCGATACGGTAGCAACTCATTTGCAGCAAAAGCAGCAGCTGAAGCTGACCTCTCTTCGAGATATCGCAGCAAGAGACGGCTCCCTGATGTCCAAAGGCCTCCGTTTGGCCCTGTTTCGTAAACCCTGAAGCTGGAAACCCTAGGGGTTTGCTCCCTAAGCTCCCAGACCCCAAATCAATCAGCCAGCCGCATGGGTCGCCTGTTAGTGCCAACAGAGTTGACGGGTAGTAGCCTGCAAACACACGCCGCACCTGAGCATATCCTCAGCTTTGAAACTTTAGCCTTGCCTGTGTACCTGTCCTGATGCATCTAGCAGTATTTGCCCTGAGCTTCTTGATATATATCACCTGATGCATAGCGTTCATTCCTCCTCAAACTGCAGCAGCAATAGGAACACCGGCACTCCTCTGGAGGTTGAGGAACCCATCGGCAGGCGAAAAGGCCATCAAGGCGTCCGAGCAAACATATCATCTCAGGTAGATCCTCAAAGGTGTTTGGAAGGCCCATGTGGACTTGGCTTCCCCGAGACTTCTTGACTGTTGTAGTCGCCCTTGGTACTCCACTCTCTGCTGCACAAAGGGTCTTAACATGACACAAATTCGCCAACTTCGGCAGCGGGGAAACCACAGATATTAGTCCGGAGTCCTGTGCAACTAACAATGTGAAAAATCTCTTCAAGCGGTCACTGTAACTGCTGCTTGTGGGCAGCAGCAGCAGAGTCCGAATGAAGGCGCCCAGATCATCGTCTCTTTCCGGCCTTCCCGTGGCTCCCCCTGAAAGCGCTGCCACTGTTTTTAGTACCTGTGCAAGTAGAAGCAATGAAAACAACAGTATGTGCAGCAGCGGCGACAAGGGACGGATCCGCTATCAACGCCACTCCTCTGCAGCTACACAAGCACCAGCAGATTCTTAGGATGACTGAATTCCGGTTGTGAAGCCGTAGGGCCCCTTAAAATACCTTAAGGACTTTCTTTTGCTTGAGGTCCCAAAGCTTGACAAGGCCTTCGGATCCTCCGGAAAGCAAAAGTGGCTCCTCCGCTGCAAAGTCAACCGTCATTGCTGTGACTACCTCAACTGTTGGCAGCTGCATCAACAGAAGATACTCGTGCTGCTCCTGCTCTGAGCCCTTTTGCTGCTTCTTCTGCTGCAATCCCTTCTGCAGCCGCACGGCGCTCTTCCGAAGCTGCTGCAACGTGTGCTGCCGATCAAACTGCTGTGGCATGAGCAACAGCCCTGCAGTGTGCGGTAGGATCTTTAAGCACCATGCATTGATCAAAGCATCCGTCCCCGCAGACACCAACACATCTAAAAAACGCGTTGTTGCCGATGATAATGCATATTTCCGTAGCTGTTTTGGCTGCTGCAGCGCAGCGGCGGCAACCGCTGGAAGGAACGTAAGTGCACTTATACTGTTGACATGGTCCTTCAGGGTTACGAACGGCACGTGTTCTGCCGCTGCAGGCGTTCCTGCTGCTATGGTTGCAGCTGCCGCAAATGATAGATCGTATACCCGCACCAAGCCGTCGGCGGTACCGGCCGCCAGCAGTGCTCGAGATGGATGGAATCTAAGAGGCAACAAACAGCAAAGTGCAAACACCCACACTATTCAAAAAGCAAAAGCAGCTGATCAGCAGACACTGTAGCATGCGGCGACTTACTTAAGTACAGTGACGCCAGCAGGATGCTTCAGAGAGCAGCAGGGAGTTGCTACTGTCTGCTGCAGGAGCACCACCTCTACTTCTCCCCCGACGCAGCCAACGGCAGCAAGACGAACAGTTGCTACCGTCTCTGACGCTGATGCTGCCAGCCCTGGTGGTGCCACGGCAGCTGCAGCAGTAGCTGAAGTGAAAACCGTCAAGGGCTCGGAAATTGAGGCGACGCGTGCAACACTCGAGGTACCCTGCATTGCATACACAAACTATACGGAACAAGCCTGAAGCATCAGGTACGAAAGGAGCGGTGTCGAAAACTGAAACAGTGCAGAACAAGCATTTTTGCATCTCATGCGCACCTTCCACTTCTGCAGGAGTTGCATCTTAGCCCATGGCTGGTTGCTGACATCGCTTCTCCGGATGTTACCACCGCCAAGCCTATGAGCCCCAGTCCGCAGTGCAGAGTCCTTCAAGTGTTCTTGCTCTGTCTGCTTTTGCGTCTCTTGCAGGGTGAGCAGCATCAACCGCACAAGTCCACTTGCTCCGTAAGTCAAAATCAGCCCTTGGTCTCCCTGTGTCCTTCGGCTTGCAGCTCCTTCAACTCTCGTATCTTTATCCGTGCATGCCTCTGACTCTGTTCGTTCCTCTGTATCCCTTTCTTCATACGTCGCGTATTGAAGTGTACATGCAGCAAAAGCGGCGACTCCCTCATCGACAGACTCGTCCGTCAATTTTAAAGGCCCCCAGAAAGATCTCTCCAAATATGAGGGTAGGGCGAAGCCAGTTGCAGAGCCCCCACTAAGATTACTTGTGGTGCGGGCATCTTCACGTGGTGTCCCTACTGACCGTTCATGTGCTGCTGCTGCTGCTGATGCAGAGTCCGGTAACAAAGTGCAGCACAGAGAGTCACCGTACAGCGACAACAATACGTCCAGATATTCTAGTGCATTTGCTGTTCCGGCCACTGCACAGGCCCTGCTGAGGCGCAGCACGGTAGCAGATGCAGCTTGGCTGCAGAAGGACTGCAGCAGCTGCTTCTGCTGCCACGTTTCCGATAACTGCGCCATGCCCCTACCAATAATATATCCCCCGAGCACTTGATTCCTCACCGATACTGCCTTTTTCACTTGCTGAATCCCGAGCCCAACAGGGAGAGCAGCCAGGAGCGAATCCGTAAGCAGTAGCTAGAGGACATGGCCTCCTTCCCAGAGGCCACTGAGCCCCAGGCCGTATACCCTTATCCCTGAACCCTAAATCCTTGGCGTTCAACACCCCAGAAGCTTCCATGGAGGAATATGCAAAGAAGGCAGGGAAAAGGACAAGAAGTGACTCAGAATTACGGGGGGCCCTCCCCACAGCCTAGGCACTTGGCCTTCAAGGTCCGTAAAGCATGCAGGGCCCAAGGGGCCACCAGGGACCCAGAGCTGCTAGCATGCATCTATACACTATAAATTTCAAACGCAATTCATGATACGAAAATCGCTGTGCTGTTCATGAGAGAAATTCCTAAAGGAACAGATGGAGGCGCAAATCTATTCTGGACAAGCGTAAAGTATACCACTGGCCCTAGCTTTACTCTAGAGTGACCATGCAGTCCAGGTCCTATCATAACAACACCAGTATTGCCACATCTAACCAGCTCTTTCGATATTGTGTATTTAGCTGCTTTTTACTGTGTCAAGAGCTTGTCTTCCTTTGGTCTTTCCCTGCTCTGCCTTGGGTCTTGAGCCGATGGCCACATCGTTGCCTTAGGTGCCAGTAGATATCCCATACACACTGGCAGATGCACTCTTTTTTCAATGCTATGGTGGAGCTTCCCTACTAAGGGGAAATAACGGGGAAACCAGAGAAGGAGAGACATTTGAAAAATCCGTTATGCCACTCTGCAGTGGACATGTGGTTTTCCACTGTAGACTCAAAACAGATGCCTCCCCTTCTTACGGCCACGAAGAAAGCTGTTTGATGTTTAGCAGCCCTGTATAAAGGCAATCCAAGAAGAACCAGGAGCATAAAATAACTGTTTAAGGGAGCTGTGGAAAGTGTCTTTCTGCCGGTAACAAACTTGTGATTTGTGTGCAAACACGCCAGTTCGCTCCCAAGATTAGACCCGTGGACACATTCAAAGTCGAGATGACCGAGAAATCCACGATTTCTGGACAGCCCTGGTGGCGTCTGTGGAAGAAACATGATGCGAGAAACTCTGGTAATCCTCAAAGGACGGGGGAAAGCCCTGCTAGTCCCTATAAGAGGGGCAGTACCCTACAGTAGTCCAGTAGTCTCTGAGTAGGAAAAAAGCTCTAAACGCCTATGATGTAGCTGGAGGTCTCTTCTCTGAGGCCTCATTCTACGCTTCACCGAAACTCCCAAGGGTTGCTGATGCGCTGTAGTCCCCCAGTAACGGGGCTATGTAAACGTGAAAAACATGCAACAGAGGAGAGAGTTCCTGCTGCGGGGTGGTCGCGTACCAAAGTGTTGGGATGCAGAGAGCTGTTGCAGTCATTACCATTACAGAAACATTCCAAGCAGAAAGTAGCCGAATTAAAGGGGGATGAAGTGTGACTGTTTCTCTCAAAGAGCTCAACGCGAGTCCACGACAGGAAGATAACGGCCTACATGAAATAGCCACAACCTCAGGCCTGCATTGTGTGCTGGCATAGCTTGAGCATCAACTACGGCGGCTGGCTAGATAACTACGTTGTCGGGAAACTGAGAGCCTGTAACTTTGGCTGGGCGATTATGGGACAGTGGTTTTGTTTATTTAGACAGAGCTGAGGCCAGCAAAAAAATACTAATAAGCACCTAGTTGTACATGTATACAACTGAACAGGAAGAGCTTGCTGTTGGGTGTGAGGCTGACTGGCCCACTATGTGGCTACCTAGTTGGCTGCCACTCTGACTGCTTAATTGCCTGAATACAGTTAACTTAAGCCTGCCAGAGTGTGCAGCTAGGAAGCATGCCATCCTCTTAGATGGTAACGTATGAAGAGATCTTGGCAGTCAGCTGGAGGACTTCTATCGCTTTCTGTTTTCGCAGACCCAAAAGATCCTGTAGCTCAACAGGAGTTACTGCGTCGTTCCCACGCAAAGAGCATGCAACCGAGCTGGATTTGTTTTGGAATATTAGTGATGGTGGTGTTGTTTGAGACAGGACGATGCTTATATAGCTCAGTATCACAGCAGTGGGTAGAAGAGGCCGTGTTGCACACACACAAGGAGCTCTCTAATTATCTCGAGTTTCAGTACACTTTGTTCTCCACGTTTGCCTCGCGCTCTCCCTCTTTCTGCTATAAGGAGTTAGTGGATCAGAAAGGAGAAATTTCTGGCTTTGCCGCAGCACAGAGAGACGCAGTGACCGAAGCTGTAAAAGCGTACACGCCTTCCCTTTGCATCTACCAGAAGGACCTGTACTTTTTTGAGGAGCCAAGTGGCGAATTGGCCAGCCACTCCCTACCAGACTTGGTTAACACCGCCTACGCCTGCGGCAAGGAATTTTCGCAGCTGCTGAGCGGCGTCAGCGGGGCCCTGGCTGATGAGATCTACACGTATACCCAGCGTAAAATACACTTCATAGACGTCGCGTTTCAACTGCTCGAGACTAACGAAGTAACGCCCAGCCAGTGGTGTGGCACTGCGCTTGATGACCAAGACGTTGCTCTTATACACGCAACCTCCGTTGCCCTGGATACTCTCAGCAATAAAATTAGAGGTGATGCAACAAACATCTTAAAGCTTGAGAGTATAGTTTTCGCCCAGCATTTTTTTCATAGCTCCTCGGTGAGCGGCTCGTAATAAAGATGTATAGTGTGCGGTTACGCTTCAAGATAAGGCCAGTGCATATTTTTGCGGCAGGAGGCCCTGTGGAGCAGCAGAGCAGCATAACCAAGCACCACCGTCTACTCCGAACAACAGCAACAGCACCAAAAGTGCCAATACAGCCTAAATTTTTCTAGAACTGTTGGCAGCACTAACAGTATCATGAGAACCTTTTTCAGCGGCGAGTAAAGTAGTTTTGCTCACGTCTTCTTTCATTCTATCATTGGTGTCTCTTCTGGGTCAGAATTCGAGCAACGCGAAACGAACGCATTGATCCCTGTCATAATGATGCTGGTACTCTTTGTCTTATCGCTGCCGCTTTGGCGCCGCAAGAACGTTTTCCGAAAAGTCTTTCATCAGAGATTCGAGCACCTTTGGTCTAACCTACAAAAAATTGACCAAGTAAGAACACGCATATAGAGCTGATATTTATTTAGGCAATGCTGTCGACAGTCGTGCTGTTGATGGTGGATAGCTGGGTGAAAGTAGTGGTTTTATTATTGAAAACGCCTAGCAAGACAATACCGGAGGCCGCGGGGGCGTGACCAACCCCATTGACGTTGCTTGTCATGGCATTTCATGCTTGTGTGCAGATCCGTTCGCTGCTTTTTCCATTTCTTTGATTTGTATGTCATCACATGTTCTCAGGTTTTGCAACGTAAACTCGAGAACTTGGTTATGGTCCTGCAATGTGTGACTGAACAACGAATTCTTGGCAGACTGAAGATTATTTGCGGGGCTCAGGCCATCCTTGTTGCGTCAGACGCCCCGGTAAGAGCAAGCGATGGCAAACAATTGTTGCACGTGATGCAGTTTTTAAAGGAAGAACAGAATCTCTGGCTGTACTAGTAACGTTCTTACCAGCACTTTTGGCCATATTACAGTGTTTGTAGCAATGCCAGTGTGTTTTATTGTTCGTCTCCTCCCCCTTAAACGAATATAACCGTGTAATCTAGTCCTAGTACAGTGCATATACAGCATGCCGTAGCCCTAGAACAGTCTGTGTATGTGCATGTGGTGCATCCGCTATACGTGGCTCTATGCAGTTTTGCCCTATTTGCCCACCATTATGCAACGCAGCGGAGTAATTCTAGCACAAAAGTGCTCCTGAGGCAAAGGTCTGTACTGATTTATAATTTTTCTATGTTTTTATTGAGCTTCTGTGCTTGTTATCCAATCTATGTTTTCGGGACTTGTTAAATTACCGGTGCAATGCACTTTACTACCAGAGTGCTTGCACTTTTGCAACTGTTCATGTTTTCTTTCTCGTTTATACGGAATTCAGGCTGGCGAACTTGTAAGCCGGTCATTTCTGTCAGTATTTCCTAGTTTATGTTATTTGTGTGTCCCTTGTTCGTGGCCTTGCAACGAGAGCTCAGCCCGGAATGAAGCAAATGCTGCGGATGATGGAACTCCTCGCTCACCGGGCACTGCATCATGCAAATACTGCAGCGTTGCACGTGCGGCTAGAGCTTCAATCAGCAGCTGAAACCAAGGAAATGGTTAGCATGAGGCAGCTTCTAGACGGATGCCTAGAGGTCTACAAACACGACCTCAGGTCTAGAGGTGAGAAAAAGCAGAGGAATGATGGGGGGGAGAGACGCGAAGGGAAGAAAAAGGATGGATTGACTGTTAATTCATGCAGATCCCCAGATGTGCTGCCAGCAAAGTAACAGTAAAGCAAAGAAGTATTTGGAAACGCATGAGTCCTCATAGAAACCAAAGCACAAACTCCAGCGAACGGACACATAGGGAGAAAAATAAACAAATTCCGCATGCATCTGGCCTATTGGAACAAGCCAACAGTGAAATGTGGTGGAGTAGGTAGTGGAATACTATGGCTAGAGACTACAGTAGAGATCATGTTGTCCTGTGTTCTGCTGCCGCCCAAGTATCTCTGTTGGCTGGCCACTTATCCACTGTCACGTGCTGGTGCTGCCGGTCTGCCACATTTGCAGGCGTTTGTGCGACCTGTGCGTATTCTTCATCATGCCCAACATCAGTCCTTATAGACAAAATGAGGTGAGGTGCAATGCAACCCCAACCGTATCACCGTGAATACGGCTGCCCTGCCTCTTTCGTCAATGCCCACATTCTACCATCTTTCCTTCTAACTCGTCGAAGGTCTGTGAGGTATACTTGTGAAAGTCGATTGTTCAGGCTGCTTGTGGTGAGCACCCAAGTATGTGACGATAAATTGATCAATGCATTGTCCTCTGACTGTGGCTGTAGTGTTTTGCTGTCTGTGCCGCTGCAGGGTGCGCTCTGCTCTTCTCCGTATCTTGGAGTTTTTATGTGTCGAATGCCTTTGCACGGACCTCGAAGTCAAACTTTCTGCGAAAAAGGCAATCAGCAAGACAGCCCCCTTGATGGAACCGACGCGTAACGAGCTGAAGCCGTTCGACATACAGGTTACAACGGGAACGGAAGGGAACAGCTGTTGACCCGCAGACTCCTACAGCAGCATCGTCCCTATTTTCCTCGCATTTGTTGTCCTTTGCGCTGCTACTACTTAACTATTCTTCTGCTTCCGCCTGTTCAGGTCTTGATAAAAGCTCGGCTGGCAGTGCCTGGCAACCAGCCACTTGAGTCTCTGCTCGAGGGAGGAGACCTTCGAGAGCGGCGATGCTTGGGGCATCAGTTGGTGTCGGCAAAAAAAGTAGCAGTAGATCTTAGCGGTGGCATCCGTGTGGCGGAGAACGCGGACGGCACTACCAATTTCGAATTTGACTTTCAGGCTCCCGGAAGATTTGCTGTAAGCAGCAAGATGACGTACATGCCACAGAAAAACAAGGCTGGCCAAGTTAAAATCTGAAGCACTTGTCGTTGCTATCTTGGCTCGATTTCTAAATCGCCAGAGCGCCTACCCGTTAGCGATTGACCGCTTGCATATGAGCAGATGAATATTCCCATGCATCTAAATCCGTTTTCTAGCTTCTCGTAATACGCATCTGTGTTTATACATCATTCGTTTTGTGCGACCAGCCAAGCGACTTTCACCCCAATTTTGATGGTTTAAAGAATGGCCTTGTTTTTTGCATGAACATGAGCCAGCTTTCTTCATATTCCCAGCTGACATCCGTCTGTGAGCTAACCGGGATCAAGGTGCAGAATGTGGCCTCCATCCCAGAGTTAAACGACCAACTAGCCACCAGCAAGCAGATAAGGGTCCTCGCCCTGTTCGTCTACGACAACACAACGCACTTGGCCAACGCCATTCCGTGCTCTGTGCCCTCTATCGGCCGTATTGCTGAGCTTGTCCAAGTTGTCAAGGCCAAGTTTCCAAAACAAAGAGACGGAAAAGACACACCAGTTGACTCAGAGAAAAAGCCACCGATACTCACGGCAGGTCAGGGCCTACTCTACACCATCTACACCCTAGTAGGAATCTGCATATCTAGCACACGAGCTATCGAGTTAGCCCGTTAGCCGCGTGTAGTGGCAAACTGCAGCCTACCTGCCACAGTTGTCCGGATTAGAGAGAGACTATGACTTTCGAGCAAGTTATTACGATGGAGCGGTGCACATAGTCAATGGATAATAGCAAGTACGTAGAAGGCCTCAGAGAGTCCTGAAGTATTCTGTCAAGGGGCTTGGCCAGACGAGCAAACTTTTAATAGCTATGTTGCTTTTCTTCCGTTCTCTTATGCCGTATCGCTAGTGCCACAACTTCGTCGTACCTGTGAGGATGAACCCGACCCTTAACTCTTAGCCACAACTAGTCGCTTTCCATCTCTGCTTTCTCCTTTGTTCGGTGGACGGAATGTTGCAGCAACTGTGGACAGCAAGGCGCCCCGTTCCATGATCGTGATTGAGGAACCATTGACAAGCTCAGATATCGTCTCAATCCTCGCAGTAGGGGCCGGTGCTCTCGATGCAAACCGCAGGCGCAGGGGACGAGGAGGGGCCCTGCAGAGGCTGTCCTACGGGAGGGCCTCATTTTGGGACGCCGTGGTATCTACTGTGAACAAGCCAGACAACAGAGCCAGTGTCAGTAAGGGCACAAGATGCAAGCCCCGAATCTTAAGGCTGTCAGACAGAAGGAGAGAGCTTTAAAAGGCGGAGAAGCGATCATATACCCCTTAGGAGCAAACAGACAGTGAAGCACACAAGGGCTTCCTTTAAAACGACAAAAAATACAAAACTTTTTGCTATTATCGTTGCTGTGGATGGCTTAGAGGCTACTCTTGAGGGTCAGGGTGCAGAATGTATGGTCGGTTGCGTTATTGCAGCAGATGTACTCCTCTATATCCGTGCAGAGCCGAGTGGACAGTTCCGGCAGCAGTCTGTAAGTCTGCAAATACCCCTTAAACAAGAGACAGTTGCGTTGATGGTTCTAAGGCACTTAGGAAGTTGTCCTTCCTCTCTCTTTGGTGTATAATTTCCAGTAAACTTCAGATTGGAGTTTTCTTAACTGTTAATGGCCTGTGCCCGGGCGTTTAGGATTGTGGGCTCGATGGTAAGAGTGCAAATATCTGACAAGTCTGGATGAGAGACTTGTAATCGCAGTAGCCTTGGAATTTGCATGATGAACATACAATGGCATCCATAGTATCTGGTGGTCGGATCTTGCGTGGCACCGCATTCTTCCCATATGTAATGTGGAGTCCCGACTTGATGCGCTCTTTCATACGATCAGAGAACGTTCCGGCACTCGGGATACGGGGCACGAAGGCGACTCTGTAAGACCAAGCAAGGCAGTCCTACTGCTGCCTTCCATGCCTCTCTATATTTGTATCCAGGTCTTTCTCTGTCTCCCCTTGTTCTTCTGTCCCCAAAGGCCTAGATGCATCTGATTCTACTTACCCATTTGCTTGTTTGCCCTCATTGCTCTAGGTGAATTTGCTGCTTGTTTGTCTCTATATAGCAGCACTAAGCTGCGAGCTCTGTGTGAATGGCGTGCACGGCGTACTTTAAGGTGTACGCAATTTGTATTGTAGGGCGTGTAAGAGTGTACCTTTAGTCCCATTAATCTTTGTGTACTTCTTTGCCCATTTACTTGGGTGGAAGGCATATGGAATTGTATGAGGCGTACAAAAGTAAATATAGCACATGCATATTTCGTATATATGCACGTGTATATGTGTATAAAATATCTTCGCGTGAGTGTACTGCTGTGTACGCCTACCTACACAAGTGCACACCTATGACGAAATACATTTATTTGCTCTGGATATGTATGGGTCGCCACACCTGTGTACTTACTTGCATCTAGTATGCCTAAGTTAGTATATGCATGTACGGATGTAAGGACTGATGTAGCAGACACTAAAACACAGCCTTCTGTTTTCATTTCCGTTCAAAAAGTGGAGCCTTTCAAGCATCCGTCACGTGCCGGTGTGGCTTTTAAAGGTTTCTTGCTGACCTGGACCACAGCGCTCTAGTTGTATCACATCCCGCTTTGCATAGTGCTATCATCATATCCTGCAGAAAAAGTCCTGTCTGCTCTGTGCCCCTGTCTGACCCTCAGGGTTACTCCTCCTTTTCATCTTTCAACAGCTCTTCAGGTTCTAAAGGACGCTACGCTGCTACAGCTATTGAATCGTTCAAAGATCCTGTGGCAGCCTTTGTATTCAATAAGAAGCTTAGTCTTCCGGAACACACGAGGCAATACAGCAACTTCGTCATAAAATACTGCAACGAATTTGGATTCGCTACAGACTGTAATGCTATTAAAACGAAAGCCTTCAGCTTAAGCCCTGAGCCCTAAGCGTTAATGCGCTATCCTTGGTAAAAGTGGACGATTCTCTATCTGATACCTCAAACTTTAAAGCATCAAATTGTGTAAAACATGCAGTGCTCCTTGAACTGTACTCATCAGCTATTTAGCCCGGCTAAAAATTTTGCGTCTTAAACAATGAAGCTTAAACACTAGTGCTGAACTTTAAACCATGGCTCTATACTATTCGACATTCATAATTCCTTCTATCAGCGTACAGACAACAGCTACGAAGTATTCCTTTGAAGCCTGACTGAGATGGCTCTTCCTATGGGTGCCTGGGGTACCCAAATTATCCGCAGCTTCGAAGGCAGCCAAAGGCAGCCTTGGGTGGTTACTCTTGCGTAGAAGCCAGGGCTGCTGCTACGGTTGCTTTGAGCCGCTGCTGTGCAGTCTCCTGCCCATGCCTGCAGTGCTAAATCTCTACAAGGAGCTGATTCTCAACAAGAATAAGTACGAAATGCCAAACGAAGAGCAAATGGGATTTCAGGACCTAGTGAAAGGCAGACTATACATCACGGCTGTTTCCCAAACAAACGAATGCAAAGGCTCAAGCCCTCAACAAATGGCGCTTGGTGAGACAGCCAGTGAGCACTTGTAGGGACGCTTTCCGATTTTACACACGCCGCAGGCGAATATGCACCCCAAGGCATAAACAGGGGACCCTCTTCAAATAGCAGATTACGTGGTATGCAACACAGATAGGTATTCTGCACTTGGTTTTTCATGGGGAATGGACGTCTCACCCGACGCAGGGCGTTCACCGGGGTGCGAGTAGGATGTATACAAGCACATGAAGCTTTAGCAGCCCCCGGGGTATTTTCAGCTTCCGTAGCAGCTGCCACCGTGCATTTATGCCCTAAAGATGGTCTAGCTCTAGGTTTCTTTCCATTTGATTCTGTTCCTGGGCCTCTGTAGGTGTTGACGGCTCTGCATATTGTTACAACATCAAGACGCTCTTCCAAATGGTGCAGGATGGCTTTGAAGAAGAGGGAAAACCCCCTGAACCTCCGCAACACCAAATTGCACTCCCCAACCCTGACGAGGTCCTGCTGATAGTCTCCATGACGTTGCCACGGCTTCGTACTGTCTGCTTGCTCGAGCCATTCCGGCTGAGGAACATATTTTCAAGGGCTGATCACAAGCAGTAACCTCAAAGCCGTCGCTGCTGTTGAATCTTTCACTCGTGCGTCTGGTTGGCCCTTTATTACTGCTGAAGAACGTTGTTGCAAAGGCTTTTATGAGCTCATCTGCAGCAACCTGACTATACCTGGAGCATTTCTGCCGCATACAATGTTCCGGCATGCATGCTTTGGGGATTCGCCAGGTTCGTCCGTCAGAAGCACAACCTCATACTAATGTAGGGTCCCATGCTTTATGGAGAATTATAGTATATTAGATATTTTATTCATACCAAACCTCTTGAGTCAAACTGGAGGTAACCCCAAAAGCGCAATTCTTACATAGCATTTGGCGGGAAGCCTAACTAGTCGAGCGTACCCAAGTAGCATCAACAGTATAATGAATAGAAGCGTCCAGGATACTATCAGTATGCCTGGCATCGCAATCGTGTCTGGCGTCACGCCAATATCATGTTCTTTTCCCTTTGGGCAAATACGTGGCTATGTATTTGTGCGTCCATCTGCTGTGCTTGTGGGCAATTCGCAGATTAAACTCTCACCTGGCTTTGACGCCTCTGGCACTTCATCCACACCGCATCAAAGAGTTTAATCGTTCACAAGCATCGGTGGCCCTCGAGTTTCTCTTCAGCTGGGACTTCGACCTCACAGCCCTTCCACGAATCAAAAGCTCGAAGCTAGTAAATAGGCAGACCAGCAACAGGGGGCAGAGGGCAGGGAACATATGAAAGATTTTAACCAGCAGAAGCAGTCAGGGAGGCTCTCTGTTCTTGTGCAGGCAGTCCCTGCACGTTTATGATGGCTAGGCAAAAGCAGAAAACTACACACGAATAATATTGCTTGCCTGCCAGGAAAGATGCAGTTCACAGATTCACAGATGAAGGGCGGGGGCAGCAAACACAGGGCTCTGAAAAACAATGGCTTCCTTTTCGCTTTGGAATCGTTTGCTAGGCGTGTGAGTTGTTCAACTGGGTGGCTCGTCGGGGGGAGTTGGAGGTATCCAAGGAGGTGGCAGACAAATTCATCTTAACGCTACAGGCGAACTATCTCAACAATTCTTTCCACTCCTTTAACCACGCGCTTCATGTTGCACAAGTAATACTTACACGCAGAAAGACTTGCAAAGTGGGAGAGGGATGGGATGGAAGACTGGACAGAGAGAATGGCAGGACGCACGCCAAAAGAGGCGACCTAACGGGATGGCAAGGAGAGGGATGGCAAACTATAATAGGAAAATAAATGACAAGGGCACGAAGCTAGGCTCGGAGAATCTAGGCTAAATGCGTGCAGCACAGGAACAACACAGCCAGCCGAGCAGTCACAAAACTGAACATGACAAAGGCCGTACCCTCTGTTGTTACTTGTTGTTCAGGTCATCACTCTTATATGCAAGGACTACTCCTTCCAGCGATGGTTCTCTTTTTCAGATCAATTTTGGATGGTGATTGCTGGTAGGAGCTCTAGTGTTTAGCATCCAGGGTTTGCTCTTTAAGGCCGTGTACGTGATTCGTGCTGTTTGCGTGATCTTGTGGTTCTTGCCACCTTGCTGTTAATGTACGGTTGGCGGTTCAATGCAGTATCTAGTGTGAAATTCATTTCTAATCCACAGTGGCTTGCCCTTTATGTTTTGAGCGTTAGCATTTGCTGCTTGCGGTTTGTTTTAGCGTTGGGTCACGACGTCGGTCATCCGGGTATCGGGAATTCTTCTCTAATTGCGTCCCGTAACTTATGTGCCATAATGTTCAACGAGCGGGCAGTACTGGAGTCATACCATTCATTTTTATTGATGGAGTTGCTGCGGCATCCTGAAACGGATATACTGGAAGGATTTAGTGCAGAAGTGCAACAGGCGGCGAGGCAGCGGATTGTCAGGGCAATTCTTGCTACTGACCCGGCATTCCACTTTCAGCTGGCAGACGAGCTTGAGGCCCTCAAAGCTGCAAACCCCGAACTGAACGGACCTGCCACACTGCTAGACGAAAGAATAAAGGACGCTTGTCTTATGCGGGCAGGTAAATTAGCTTTGAAGGAGGGGAAATAAAATGGGCGCAAAGCGAGGGCCTGAATGATAGAGGAAATGATAAAAGATCATCATTTTAATGCCTGAGAGGCACGGTATCACAATGGGGGAGGGTAGAGGCGGAGGTGAAGTTGGAGGGCGTTTTCTCTGACAAGCCGGTCAGGATGGGCTGCTTCCATTTACCAAGGTCGTGAGGTTAATTCAAGACGATACCTTTATAGTAGCGCAGTCATCATAATATGTAGGATCAAGAGCATGTGCATACTGTTGCCTCAGCCGATAATGCATGGGTGTTGACTAATTTTCCTCTCCACAGAAAGTGGGGCGAACGGATGGTCCTCGAACTGCACTTCCAGGTATGAAGGCTCTAAATACATCTGTGTATGCACAGCAAATCGACAGATAGTCAAGCAGAGACGGGAAATTAGGAGGGACAGCCTGATGAACGAACTACCATCAGGTGGCTCCCCCCAATAGTAATCCTCAGCGCCTAACTACGGAGAACCAAAATGTCAGAGCGAGTGCACCAAAGACATCATCTAACCCTGAGTAGAATTCGTTGAACTCCTTGTATTGAAATGTGAAACGGGGAATATTAAGACTACATCTGTTTTGCCGCAAAGTCTGTAGCATGTTTTTCTACAGAATACTTTGGACGAGGCCCTCAAAATGCCTCCGAGTGCCCCAAGTGTCATTGTGAGCCATGCCGATGCAAATTTAGTTTGTTCTAAAATCTCACTCGTCGTTGCTGCTGCAGTACACTCATTTTACATGAATGTATTGCTGGTTGGTTCGAGGTTCTTCGGTTGGTGTGCACATGCTTATTATTACTGGCATGTCTCAGCTGCCTCGAGACACTTGCCTCGCCACGACGATGATTCACTTTATCGGTAAGGGGATAAGCGTAGCTTAGAATACAGCTTGGTTATTAGTTAATTTGTTTTGCTGCGTCTGTTGTGTGGGCTGCTATTCATAAAGGTCACTCTGCAAGGCGCCGCCTTCTAAAGTTCACTGCAGTTTTCTACGTCATTTTACCGCTGTGCCTTGTTCTTACCTGCTTACATGCTATTTTTGTATGCCTCCGTGTTCAACTGGCTGGCTCCGCTGCTCTTTCACTCTTTGCTCCTGGTTGCCGCCCTCTGCTTCCACCTGCCTCTTCGCCTCTGTACTTCTGTATTTCCTCATATTCTAGGTCCGCCTCTTTGTCCCTGTTGGCTCCGCCCCTTTCGAGCGGTTCTCCGCTCCGTAGTGTCTTTCTGCTCGTTTTTCTTTCTGTCGCTTTTTCTGATTTACAGACAATGTCTTTGTCCCCTTCTATTCTATCCTTGCCTGGTTCTTCCCCGGGGACTTGGATACGAGGGTATGCGTCATGCAGGCAAACAGGTCAGTCACTAGATACTTGGGCCTCTAGTACATTGTTTATTGTGCTCACTCTAGAATTTATGGATTGTTTGCTGTGGGTCCCATGTCTTTAAAGCGCGACATGGGAAAAAATTCGCCAGGAGAGCTCTAAAATAGAGGGCTCGCACGATGTTGAAGAGTTGAAAGAGATGCGCCTCTCCGGAATTTCGGCCGCATTGAAAGCCTTAGAAGAAGAAATGGAGTACCAGAGTGCAAAGCTGGTAATAGACGAGTCCGCAAGCCCCCAACTCATCAACTGCTACCAGTATGATGAAACGCCTTACAGGATACTGCTTGGTAGGACAGTCTGTGGTGTGCTTTCACTGCATTGGTGAATTTGCCTGTTACCTCTTGATTTGCTTGCACACTAGCTCCAGACAAGGAGCACCGTGTTTTTCGACGCATTTACAGAGTCACTTCATAACATGCTTTCCTTAGTTTATAGCAAAGTGGAGCTTAAGTACCAGCTAATATGCGCGCAAAGCAGTGAACGGAGCAGAAAGCGCAGCAGGGAAGCACAAGGGAAAGAGTGAACGCACAAATGCCTCATGCACATCCCGTTGCACACTCAAGTGACCGCATGATGATTGCGAGTCGATTTATCGTAAAGTCGTAATCTTCTATTCACACCCTTCCTTAAGAGATAATGCAATGCTTATTTTCCCGCCCTCCCGTGGCTTCTACTTTGGTCACTTAGACAGAACCCCACTTCTCCTTGTCCCACCTTTGGCGGTGCATTTTTCTGGCTGTATATGCATCTGCATTGCCATAACCCTTTGATCCATTTTATTTACTCTGTGGTCGCTGTCTGTACCTGCGTGCCTGTATCGCCTTGCTGACGTATGACTCTGTTTATCTACCTTGGTGTTTGTGCAGCTGCATGTTTCCTTGTCCGTGGCCCTGTTCTTTCATTCTTGGTTGCAGTTTGTCTTCCTCTCAAGTCTGCACTTGCTGACCCCGTTACCAACCTTCATGCGGCCATACTTCATTGTGCTACAGATGAGCAGCAGCGTGTGCTAGAGGAGCAGCGTCGTCAACAAGAGGAGCTTGAGCTACAGAAAGAGCTCGCCTTCCAGGCAGCGCGCCGGGAAGAAGAAGAGATGAAGCTCAGGGAGGAGGAAGAGAGGAAGGCGAAGGCAGAAGAGGCAAGGAGAGTCAAAGAACAACAAGAAGCAGAGCAGTCAGTTCATTCAATCATAAAGGCTCTAGACGTCTCGACCAATATAAATAGTCCTAAATTGTGTGTGTACAGATACATTATGGCCGAGCTTAAAACCACACGGCACACAGGACTAGCTAGATCCATGCAGAAAACTGAATCAGGAGAGCGTATTTGGAGACAAAAGGCATAGGCTTTGAGTGATCTTGATTCTTTTCCAGTGTGGGAAAAAAATTAAGCAGCTATGTTATTTTCATTGTGGCGCAAATTTATTGATGTTGTCATTCAAGTCCACCGTTTCATTCGCCCTGCCATTTATAGTTTACCTCTGGTATCTGAAGAACCATGTAGACCATGTTAACGCATTCTGCTAAACTTGAGTCGCTCAGACAGCCAATACAGACAGGCTTTGAATTCCAGCTGTGGACACCTTGCAGACAAAGAAGAGAAGAGCGTCGCCGTCGTCGTGCCGAGATGTCCAGTGACAGTGGCAGTGACAGCTCCGTGGAGACTACCGTGACTGAAGAGCAGCAGGACCATGCAGTAGAGAAGCCACGCCCCAGTATATCCCCTCTTGCGGAAGGATTTCGAAGCATGATTGAAAGAGAGTTGAGTAAAAGCAGAAGGCAGTCACAGGATACAAAAGGAAAAGAAGGAGACGGGAGTCCTCTTGCTCCCACGGAAGGACTAAGCCCGTTACCCAGCAATGTAATCGACGAACTAGAGCCAGATATTGAGCCAGAAGGGCCTCTGGGTTACGAAGCAGATGTTCAGGCTATCGCTGCCCTACTAGCATCCAAAAGAATAGAAGCAGCCGCGGAGGGAAAAGAAGAGGACCCACAAACCAATTGTGTCGAGCACAGTGCGACACTTAGAGAAAACAACGCAGTAGAGCAGCAGCAACAGTCGGAGCACCACCAACAGGAAAAATGGCAACAGGGGCAGGTGCAGAACCAACAGGATACAGCAGCGGTTCATGCAGTTGTGCCATCCCAACTGGAAACAGAAAACCCACCATCACGGCCACCAGCAGCACTCGATGAAATTGCAGCACTACCACTAGTCGAAACTGTAGCAGCGAAGCCAACTGTTGAGGCGCAGGGCCTCCATGTTGCCCAGCCAGCAGACAACGTGGCTGTACCAGCAGAATTAAGGGCACCCACAGAAACCCAGACTGCACCAGCAACAGACTCAGCACCAGAAGGCATGGTTCTGCAAGTAGATGAGTACGGGTTTGTTTACGACGAATATGGATACGCGTACGATGCCCAGGGTATCTGCAGAGGTTACTTTGGAGATGACGGGGCTTTTTACTACTACGATACACAGGCATCAGAAGTAGCGGAAAATGAGCAGCAGCAGCACTTGCAAGATCAGCAGCATTCACAGTAGGGCTGAGGGAGAAGCCTTATGCGCAGCAGCTAGACTAACAGCAGCAACTACTGGAGTGAGAAAAGGGACTGTGCACTGGTATGGCACTAATCTAAAGAAACAGGAAAAAGACTTTACTGCACTCTGCTTGCTTCATTTGATACAATGCGTGAGGCCTCAGAAAAGCTTCTGCTTTAGGTATGACACCGCAATCCGTTTGCCTCGGAGTTCGACTCAGTAACACTGCATACTACAACGCGTTACAGCTGCGTACGAACACGTGCAGTTACAGGTATACATGCTATTTCTAGCTTACTGTGCCATTTTACAACCATCTCGATCCGTATAACCCGCGAAAAAATTTACGAGAATACGCGCAAATGGACGAGGAAAAAGCGAAACAGTGGACAAAAACAACAGGGCACATCTCTTCAGTTATTCGATGGAAGTCACACAAGATGGCTGCTTTCCGTCCCTGTATGCATACGCATTGCCGTTGCCACTAGTGCCTATATTCTTTCAGATTCCTGTATTTGCTTATTTGTGTGGCTCAATAAACGGCTTCACTGCCTCATATGACCGGAGCCGCTGATCCGTCCAAACCCAGAAGGGCCGTCGCGTCGTTCCGACCGAGCTCTACAAACACAATCATGCAAACAAAATAATTTGGGCAGCAAATACCAAGAGAGTTTAAGCTTAACAATATAGCAAGTATAGTATAGAAAAATGAACAGATACACATCAATCAATCAAACAAAACATGAATATGTATGGCCAATCACTATATAAACGCATTCAAGCCAGCAGATTTGAAGGGAGCACCCTGAATACCGTGGAATAAACAAGCGACTAAACTTGCCGAAAGAAGCGGATACACACTAGAAGCGCTAGCAAGCAGTCAGCACCAATAAGCAAAACAATTCTGATGATGAGTCACAAAAGTCGAAACAAGAGCAACATCCAGACAAGCAGCAAAGGCAGTAAAAGTAAAAAAAAGAAATGATGAGGCGTAATTTGGCAAAGAAAACGGCAAGCATAACATAGGATAAAGACAAATGCGCCGGCTGGCGCTCTCTTTACTACAAGTGGCACCCGTCCCTGTTCATGCCTGCCCTATTCACGCTGGTTGTTAATGCAAATAAATTTCCTAGCTGCTGCTTCCCTTACCGCGGCACCAGTTCTCAACATTTCCTCTGATGAGACTCATTATCGTCATTACGCGGCGGCTCTCTTCCCCATCTCTGCATGAAAAAAGTCACAAACGAGAAAAAAGGCTAACAAGCACGGCACAACGCAATAGGGAATCAGCTGAAGCATAGATACATTCACTGAAGTGTTACGGGGATTATCAGCAACAAATCTGAATGCTTGGAAATTACGTGATGTGCACGACATTCGCCACAGCTTCTCGGAATTGATCAGCCAACACGTCTATTGCTTCCTGGATTCCATTCTCCTCGTCATGCAACAGCACTGAAGCGACAACAGCACCAACAGAATCAGATGGTGCACGGCCGACCCACCAGAGCGTTGCTCGTGTACCAGCCTAAACAATAGCGGAGGCACATGCACCGCCCACCACTCCACCACAGCGTTAACAACAGCAGCATAAGGAAAAAGCAAATGATTTTGGACCTGCATAGTTGAGCTTTAGTCCCATTTTTGCACCGAGGAGTGTTTGTTGTTCATCTTTGCCTTCCGCCTTTTGGCCTTCCTTTTGTTCTGCAGGTTTTGCCTCAAAGAGTGCAAGGGCAGTCCGGTAAAACTGAATACTCTGTTTCCTGAGTCGATTTTCCTCCTCTGTGTCGTTTACTACCTGGGAATAGCATATCACGAACGCACAAAAGTCGAAAGGGCAACCAGAGGTACTCCTTCGGCCCTATTCGATACATTGGGAGTTGCATTAGTAGAGGTCGCAGTATAACTGTACAAGCTGTACAACAGAAAATGAAAAGTACGCAGACAACGAAACAATATGTATTGGACATGAAAGAATAAGCAGGAAGCAGGGACACCACGTACACAGCAAGGAATGTAGAGGGAAAGGGGTCGACGCAGACGGTGACAGGAAAAGAGTAGCGCTGGTGGAAAGGCTCTAGAGTGTGCACCCTTGGGAATAGAAGAAAGCATGGGTTTTTAGCAGCAGCTTTTGACTTGCAATTTGCCCGCCTGATGGTACCTATCCGTTGCTGTTTACCTGCGAGGTATACCGCGCAGTGTCAGCGCTGAGTTGCAAGTAAAAAACCTTCGCTTCCTGAATAAATCAGCACAAGAGTATAACAGAAGAAGACGAAAATTCGGATGCATACACCTGTAGCCACCAAGGACTTCTCTCCATCAGCGACATGTAGGTCTCTAGACTTTCAGCGACCATTCGTTGGTGAGGAGGGCTCTCGAGTGTACCACGACATTTTAGATTAGACCACGCTTTTCGACATTTGACGTTAGGAAACTACTGTGATGTAAAGCTAGGAGTAATTGGGGCCAAAGGATACACAAATAGATAGTGCTCATGTTTGCCTTCGAGTCAGTAGCGGGCAAGAGCTTTTCTTCGACAAGTTTCCAGGTGCTTCTCGCCAGGTTTCGGATTTCATCAGCTAGGAGACGAAGAAAGAGGTCAAGTCTCTTGTCGAAATAAGCAGCCATCTGTAGCACAGCCTCTGACGTTGCAGTCTCCACCAGATACTGGGGAACGTGTACACCGGCGCTCAGAGCCGCCGCAGAATCTGGGGCTGGCAAAGGTGGACTGCGAAGTTCCACATTCTGACGATTAGTGCTGGAGGGGTTCTCCTGTGTTTCATTACCAGAATAATCACCCGCTGCTTCTGCTGCTTCCTGGGCGCGCCTCAGTGCAGCAGCAGCAGCGGCGGCGTTGTGCTGGCGCTGTTGCTCCACTTTATGCCTAGACACAAGGTTTCTCGTGGCCCCTACACCCTTGGCGACAGCTACTTCTGCTGCTCGCTTTCCAGCCTCTCTAGGGGACACGCCAGCCATAGTAAGCTCAGCGGCGACACCAGCAGCAGCCAGACACACAGCGGCAGCTGCTGAATTTCCCCGAGCAATTTGCCAAGCAGTGCCAGCAGCAGAGAGCATAGCTCGCATGGCAGAGATCATAGAATGCGCTACGCAGCGGTCGGCTATCAAGCCCTTCACAGTGTTTCCCTGAACACACACATGGCCCCAACACGTCACACAGGCACAGAAAATGCTTCGAGCGCGGGGTTTGGGCCTTCGTAGCTAAGGCTTGGGGATCCAGCTAAACATGTTCAGAGTGTTTTGAACAAGGCGTCTTACAATTTCAGTTTGAAGGCTAGAGAGTGCAGGTACGGGTTTACGACAAAGGGATTACCAGCAATTCACGGTGTTTCGGAGAGAGACTGGGATGCACTCGAATGACCTCCTTAAGCACCTGGTAAACGTCTGCGAAGAAAAAGAGGAAAGTTTGAGCTTTGGATGCATTATTAAGACTTACTCCATGAACCAAAGACTGCGAATCAAAGCATGAGAACCGAGAGCAAGCCAACAATTAGGGAGGCATATGCATAATTGTAGACGACAGTGATCGTGTAAGGGGTACTATTAGAAATAAGGAGTTCACCCTCTTTGGGTCTGCACTGAGCGGTAACCTCAATTTTAGCTTCAGTATCGTAAATTCCCGAGTCGTCTTCCTTTGCGTAGCTGTCAGGCGTTTGCCAGGCAACTATCCGTGGCCTCAGCTGCTGCTGTGAGTCTTGGTGCTGAGGTACTTGAGAATACATCTGCACCCTCTGCTTCTGCTGCAGAAGGCGTGGGATGTCGGCACCCCTGCTCTTAGGGGTCTCGGGGGCCCTCCGCGGGCCCCCAGTTATCGGGTAGGACGCCATAAAATGTTATCCTGCTGCCTGCGTGTCAGCAAGTCACTTTAATGGCTTTTGAGGTGTTACAAAAGTGCTGCTTCTTCTTTCTAATGGCCAACTGGTGCAGAAAGAGCTTCCCTTGATCACATCCGCGGGACATTTGATGTGATGTGTAAAATAGGCTTGAAAACGGAGTAGTTGGCACTCGAAAAAAAACAAGAATAGATTTAAATGCTATGAAATTCAAAGTAAAATGATGTTTATAGTCACACTTCCTCGACTCGGGAATTCACAAACTGACTAGCTAAAGACCACAGTGAACGTTGTGCCCGTTGGTCCTTCCAGTGACCCTTTGTTTTTCGGGTTCCGCATTCCCGATGAATCCCATGGATATAAAATAGCTGAATTCGGACAAATAAATCAGGAGATACCATGTAAAACGCTTTTGGGCTCTAGCATTAGCGCCCTCCCCTCAATTGTTTGCGGATAGGGTTGAGCATGGCCACGCGTGTACGTGCGACCTGCCCCCTTTCCTGATTCTGTTTCGGGCTGTTTTCGTGCAAAAGATGCTTTATCTAGTTGCCGATCGAGCATCTGGAAACAGAAACGAACAACACACCTCATTCACCACCTCAACACCTCCAGCGGTAAGTGCATCGAGACCGCATTACGTCTGAGGAAAAGGAGTCATTGCTTTTACTTTGAGCACACTGGATAGAAGCCTTCAGGATTAGGAAAATCGGAAGAGACCAAGCGGGAGACAGAATGCTGGTCTTTCCATCGTTTATTGAATCGATACACAGATTGCACTGCACACTAGAGACATTAAACATGAAATAGTGCCTTCCCACGGCCTGTGGTGCTGCTCTTCGTATGGCCATTATCGAAACCCATTCTGTTTTTTACTGCTGCGAGAATTCTTGTGTGTGTACGTATTCGCGCTGAGCGTATCCCTGGTGTGGTACCTTGCACGTTGGATGTTTCCTTCTGTGGCCTCATCAGCTTTGTTGAAGGACCTTGGCAAGCATCTTCTCTTTGACTCAGTCATGGCAGGCACAAATATATCAGCTATCGATTTTGCCCTTTCCAATCGAACTGCTTGCTTGCACCTATGAACGACCCGAACGACCCAGCTGATCTCATGAACGCCCGAGGAAAAGGTGGGCTTCTTCCTCCGCAATGTGGTTATATCCTTAGTAACGGATGGCTAGCTGCAGCTGGGCTAGCTGGTGCATGCGGTACTGCCGCCGTTGGAATGGCTGCATATCATCATCACGAGCGAGCAAACAGGGGGACGCAAGTCGAGCTAATCCACAGACAAGAGAGGCACGGGCAAAGACGGCAGCCTGAAGAATTCGACACAGCTAATCCTCGTGGTCGTGGTGCGAATCGAGTTCCAAGGCACCACGGTGCCCAAGGACACACGATGGAGGACAAATACCCTCAAACCCTGCAGTTCAGGGAGAAAGAAGACCTTTTCAATCAGTCGCTAGTGTCGGCAGACGGTGTAACGTTGTGGCAAAGCCGCTATTCCAAGAATATTGGCAACACGTCAAGGACTACCCCGTGAAACCAGGGAACCTCTCGTCGTGAGAAGGGAATGAGAATTTTGGGAAAGAATCCGCATCACAACAGCCCCGTAAGGAGGGAGGGCATGCGTTTCCTGTCTCAGAGCTTGGCCCCATACAGCAGTGTGTGGGCACGCCAAGCAACCAATAATCTAAATGTGGTCATACGGGCAAGCACACACTTGAAGTGTAAATAGAACTATTCCTCTCCCTAAAGGGCTTGTTCGGCCGATTAAATAGATTCGGCTGCATCATTACTTTTCCCAGACCTCACTCTCATCCAACTAGCCGAATAATAAAAATTGTGACTTAATGCACAACCCAGTACGCAACGTCAGCCAATACAACGTCCGTATACCTACTGATGCCACCCGATGTACCGTCCATTGCGTGTTTTACATATCGCTTTCCCCCCTATTTCCCACAAACTTGTTTGTATCTTCGCTTGTCAGCATTTGGTTCTTTTGTTGTGTACTCGCTTCTCCACATACTAGTAAACGTCGTTTTGTGTTCTTAGCAATCACCTTTGCTGTAACCCTGCCCATATGCATCTGGATGTACAACTACTGCAGCCCAGCTGCGAGCTTATGGTCTGCACATAGGCACCCTTGCGCTTAAATGAACCGTTGTGTTTTACTTCGAACTTTAAGTAGACAGAGACTGAAGTTAGGAAGCTACTACCACCAGCAAATGACTGAGTACCTTCTACATGAAACGTTGGGCTTATAAAGTCTGTATTTCTGTGAACCCTTGCTGAGTCAAATGTCCGTAAAAACAACATTTTCCCATGTACAACATGAGAAGGATGTGTAGACGCGTGTCCTGCCCATCAGGTCATTTTCAAGCCCCTTCCTACTTCGGGTGCTCAGGACTCAATCTACTGTGCTGGTTGGTAGAGCGACGCCTGGTCGTCAATCCGTCTCTCTTGAATCTACATGAGCAGAGACGAGGGAAACAAGAGCGATGCAAAACTGCATCCCCGAGACCACCCATACAGCAAATGTCCAGAGAAACAAAGGAATTCTTGTGTTATCCTCTTCTTTCCAAATTAATGGCTTGAGCTCCTTTACTTGGACACCAGGAATGAGCCGGATCCAGCCAAATGTCAAATTAAGACGCGCGCAACTCCTGTTCCCCCCCTCACGGAGCCTTGTCGTGCCTGTTCTCGTTATGCCATTATCTTGACCTCATTTCTTGCGTCTGCTCCTCTATCTATCTGAGTAGCCGCCAAAACGGCAAAGAAGACGACTCCATCGTGTGATGCCGTGCTGTGACATGTTGCTCCACGGAAATCTATATATGGGAACTGCCAGAGAACGCATGAAGTGGCCTCTTTGGTTGCGTACACGAAAAAGACGCAAAGGGAGCAAGTTTTTAGTTTCTTCAATGTTCAGAATATCGAATTGCCTTCATAGAGCAAGCACACAAAGCAAGAGAATGCACCTCAAATATCACACTGCTCAATTAGATATGAAGCACAGCAAATGAGAAAACTGCGCATCTATTTGTGTATCGGCTATCTCTCGGGTATTAAGCTTCCCTAGGGCGTGCATAAAGGGTGGAAGCAACGGAAGCAGCGCAGGAAATTACCGGGAGGGATTTAAAACATAGTGTCACAAAGTTTCGAACAGCGTGCCTTTGCTTTGTAATGTATTTGGCACGCCGGTGTATTCAGCATCTCTCACCCTGCTCCTTTTCTTTGGCGAGCATTTCGTAGTACTGATAAATAATTGTGACGGCAAGGAGAATACCAGTACCACTGCCGATGGCGCCTAGGAAGTCGGCAATGATGGTGAGAGCCCCAATGCACATGCCACCAAACGCGGCTGCTGTTGGAATGTAGCGATTAAGCACCTGAAACAATGCGGCAGGGATATGCTTCGACAATACATGGGTTTAGGAGGGAAAACCACAAATGTATACGCCATTGAAAAGAAGATGGTGCAAGAGGCACTGGGCATCCGAAGTATGCTATGATGTCAATACTCTCTTGTACTTGCCTGAACAAGGGAGCTTTCTCTGTAGCCCTTCATCACCATTTGCTGGTCCCTGAGCTGTTTCGCCACGTCTCGTGAGCTGGAGCCGGACACTTCGATCCATGTTTTAGAGAAGAGGGCGCAAGAGACGAGAACGAAAGTGATGTAAACAAAGCTGTGCAGGGGATCGTCAAGAATAGAACCAAAAGAACCCGGTGGGGAGATGTAGTATGCGATGCCTCCCACTGGCACCGAGTGGCCGCCAGCGTCGACTTCCTGCCACTGACCGAGCAGATTAACCAGCACGTTGTTTTTAAAACGCCTGTACAACAGCTGTGAGAGGAAGTACAGATTCGATACGAGGGCGGTCTGCAGGATGATGGGGATGTTGCTTGTGTAGAAGAGCTTAATCGGATAGCTGCCTTGCTGCCCTCTAATTCTTTGGTACTTCACTGCCAGATCAACCCTGAACCCTTGGAAGTAGATGACAATCAGGAACACTAAAATAGTGGCGAGCAGAGAGGTGATGTTCGGGGCATTTGAGCGATAGAAGGCCTCCTTCAACGCCACCATGTTCGTGCTCTTTGTGAACAGGCAGTGAAACAAGGCAACAAGCGCGCCTTCAAACTCAGTTCCCTTGCCCGTTTTAATCGTCGTCGGGCTAAAGGCCTGTAAAACCAAGCAAAGGAATATGCTCAATGCTAAGGACAGCATGCGAATGATATAGAGGCGAGCGCCATGGGTTCGCTCAACGATCGGCAATACGAAGTAGCCTCGAGCCCCTAGATGCACAGGTTCCTGGAAATTGAACTGCTAGCGTATCCGACGAATCACTGATACCCTTTGAAGCCTTAGCTCGAAAAAGTTACCTTCCAAACGATCGTCTCGCAAATGTTTGTAGCAATGAAGAGTGAAATGCCGCTGCCCAAGCCGTAGCCCTTCTGAAGGAGTTCGTCCAAAATGATGACAACTACTCCCGCAAAGAAAAGCTGCAGAATAATTAGCAACGCGCTGCCTGGACAAACGACAAACAAACATCAGCCATGCGTTTGACTTGCACACAAATTATCTCCCAAACAACGAATGAACTGGGTTGTTAAGCACGCAAGATAGCTGCCAGTGCAAATCTTAAGATCTGAGGTTAGTGCTCAAAGCGAAGCCTAATGGCTAGGGTCTGGACGAACCTGCACCAATCTCAGAGATGGGCCCATACATGCCGCTGATGACGTACGCCACAGCCTCGCCGATGGTAATTAACAAAGCCAGCACTGAGACGCAATGTGAGAGAAAGGCCTAAAATCCAGACATAGCACTCTTCTAGGCGCAAGGTGTCCCCAATGTAGACCCTGCTCGTTCCCAACTGCTCGCTACAAAAGCAGCATGCGTTCAGCTGTAGCACCAGCTCGGTCAGTTGTCGTCGCAAGCTCGAGCACATCAGGTGCAAGTGATACTTGCATGCATGCTCACTGTTCGACAGGTCAAAATGATAAACGCGAAAAACACATTGGTTGTTACTTACGTTTCTGTGCACCCTGAAAGAGGGCTCTGTCTTCCTTGAGACTCTGGTCGACTTGTATGATTTTAGAACCCGCAAGGAGCTGCATGACCATCCCGCTTGTAACAATTGGGGAGATGCCGAGCTCCATTAGGGTGCCTCTATTAGAGGCCAGGATAACTCGCATCCAGTAGAAAGGGTCCGCGCTGCGGCTGGTGCGGATGCCATACAGTGGAATCTGGCAGCAGACCAAGAAGACAGCCAGCGATATCAGCGTCCATAGCACCTTCTCCCGGAAAGGCACACGGCGCTCAGGTGCGTGGACCTCGGGCAAGATGCACATTGCTGGTTTTACCAGCGACAGAAACCGAACTGCACAAAAACAAACAGCAGCACTGGTCAACAGGCAGACTTGCGAGAGCAGAACCGAGCTGCAGGAAGAGCGCTAAACTAGCAGACAGGCATTCAGCAAAAACTCAGAGACACATACAGGTCGGCCTTGATACAGTGGTGGGTACACAATGTAAGAGCAACGATAAAAAGACCACAGGCGCATGACACGCGAAGTACAGGCCAGGGGCAAGAGAACTCCATCGCTGAGAAAGTTGCTAAAAGGGCGCCCGACGCTGCTTCTCAGCGCCAGAGGCACATTGAAGCATATTTTTAGCTCAAAAAACACCAGACAGCACCCAAGCCGCAAGGTGTGCGGTCTCTGCTACGACGGCGGACGTCGGCTGGACAAGGGGAGACGTCTGGGCGTCGAAGGGTCAAAAATGAAAGCGGAACGCAGCGAATTGGACAAACTAATATTGAAAATACGAAATAAGTACGCTTGGGGGAAAGATGCACAGAACGCAAACAGGCAGATACAGTACGAGTGGAGAGGCGACTGGGAGGCGAAAGCCGCAACCTGGTTGGAAACCGAATTTGCCTGTCATGGAATGAACATAGCTCACCGCCTTTCGCCATTTTCGGATTTGGTAAATTAAAGCCTGGGAAAAAGAAAAGGCGCAGCGCCGCGGCTTAGACCTCCGCGGGCTGCCCTAGAGAGTACTGCGGGAGAGGCGAGACGCAGCACGCACTGAGAGAGCTGGTGACTCCGAAAAAATGAAGCTCACTTTTCCCTACTAGAGACACAAATTTAACAGCTAATTCTTGTCTTGGACGGGTGGGAACGGACAAGGCGACAAGACAGAGGGCGGCAGCAGCTGCTACTGCTGCAGCAGCTGCTGCGTTTATCTGTTGCTGAAGCAGAAGTTAGCAGCAGCACTTTGCGACAAACGCCGCCTCTGTGCCGTACACAGGGGTTTTCGCTGGTCTTTCTACACTTCAGTTCCATACCAACAGCACTAGCTTTACATAGAGGAGACATGGGGTAATCTAGGGGTAATTAGATACAGAAAGAATCAATCACGCGGACCCCCCCCCATCTTGTGATCGTCCCTTCCACCAGGGACGCGAGCCAAAGTATAAAAATCACCTGGTCGCAATAAATCGCAAAGCGCAACTATTAGGTCTTTCGCCCACTCCGTCCTACAAAGCTCCTTTTCACCGCATGCTAGTTGGATCTTTTCGGTGTAAAGCTGCCCTCACTTGAAGCGCTGAACTACTATGGGCTCAGTGGCTTCCTTAGGGATAAAGATGAAAGAATTTAATCTTTTCTTTCTGGTTTCTGACGAAATCCATGTCTTACGAGTAAATGCCGTCACTCAGCAAGCATTTGAAGAGACACTTGATATAGTGCATTCTCCAAATGCCTCTGGCAGCTCAGTGCTCTGATTTTCGCGCGGAGTTGTCTTAGCCGCTAAAAATTTTTCCAATTCTCTAGGGACACCATTGAGGAAGAAATAATTGTTTTGATGATGTTGGCATCCAAAAACACTATCTTGAGCACCTTAGCAGGCTTTCCATATATTTCCTGCGAAGGATTGCAGCTGGCTAACTTACGTTTAAGCACTTTCTACAACACTGCTTATATTGAAATAAAAATTAGTAGGCATTCGGGTTACTCTGTCTGTTAATGCATATTGTTTGTTGCAGGATATTGTTGGCTTGATACAAAGCGACGCAACATTGGACGCCTGTGAACTGGGCAATTAGCTGTGAATGCTCATGCGGCGTGGAGGGTGCAACTGCGCGCATCTTAGCTTACTCTTTCGTCCTATGTTGAGAACTCTGAGCAGCTTGGGTACAGGACAGCTGGAGTTTTACTGAAAGACCCTCGATACTTGTCTAGAGTGTAGCATACACAGCAGAAAAATGGCTTAAGGCCCAACGTTCAGGCTTTGCTCCTGTATGATCGGCACTGGACATCCATATAGCCTTCTGAAACACGTGCTAGATCCATGAGCCCTTGCTGCTCTAACACGAAAGACATATGCTGGTTCATAGGCAAGGCCGGAAAGATGTGAAGCCGATGATTGCAAACTGCAAACAGATTTAGTGCGGAGTGGACGTGAGATAGAGCAAAGTGACTTACCACCGTTGGATTGTACCAACATATCTGCCTTGGTTGCTGTTCTCTATGCCTCTCGATACGACATTGGACCTGCATCGTGCTTTGCTAGACTTCGCATGCAAGAATGCTGTTGAAATGCTGCGAGAGTGGGCCTATTGAAAGATACTGTAGAAGCTGCAGAGCTTGCTCCCCCAGACATTTCTTATTTGGAACGGTTAAACAAGTTCCACCAATTAGGGTTCCACACTTCCCATGGCAGTGCCACTTGTCTCCTCATCACAGCTGCCTTGCACCTGCGGTACACACCCTTTGGCAGGAGCCCAATGAGTATCAGTGCGGACATAGAGCCTCTGCCTAGTTACGTTCACTTGAGATGCATGTAGACAAGCATATCAAAAGCTACCTGAAGCGATATGTATAATGTACGCGCATTGAATCTAGAAGGTGTGTTCAACTGTAGCCTGTCATCGCCAGCAGCTTGGTCTTTGACATACAGGTGAGCACAGGAGTTCAAAGGTACTCCCAAATGCTCTACCTTTCCCCATGGTGATTCGAATCCCGTTCCAGCACCAACAGCATGGTCAGTGCAAATTCCCTGTGCAAGAGTTTGCTCGTGCCTCAAGTTTGCACTTATTTCTTTCAACCTCTTGTTTAAGGAGACGGCACCGGGTTGTCTGTATAACAGTACCCTTCAATCTTGTGTCAGCATTTGTTACATGCCCAGTTGCGTAGCAATGAAAAGCTATGGCGTTTGTTGCCTTTCCAATACCATATCGATATTACCACCTCAAGGATTGCTCACTACATTTATGTGTGGCTTGAACGCCCCGTTCGCCACAGACTAAACAGGGGACATCGGTAAAATGCTAGTGGCAAAGTATGAGTACAAGTTGTTAATCTCTATTGCCGCGTTTTGGATAGTTGTAGTTTGAGCCTTACCTGCGTGGATGTTGCCATGACTCCATGCAAGCAAGGAAAGCCCTCGTTGTTCATGCATCAGTGTGCGGGTCTCGAGAGCTATTCAAAATAGGGTTGTCATGGTGTTACTACGTACGCACAAAACCTAAAACTTCTCACGCTTAACCCGCCTTCTGTCTAATGTGATCTCAAATCAGTTGCCTGTGCCTTTTCCAGGGGCAGTTCTATTGCTCCTTACCATGAGTGCTTTATGTTAGCTCGGTGCTCATATGAGCAGGATAGGGCAGCATCGTAAAATGCTGAGGGAAATGCCCGGTAGTTGTACATAAGTGCTGCCTCTAATTTTAACTGAGTGGATTGTTGGGCAGCCGACAGATACTGAGCTTCTGCAGGTATTTCTGGATTTATCCGTATCAAGTATGCAATAGTTGATTATCACACCAAAATAAACTTTAGATATCTGCTCAGAAGCCCAGTTGTAGTGCGAAACGCCGGATCCAATGCATTGTCTTGCACTTTAACATAACTGAACTGGTGTTGGTCTTTATGAGAAAAAAGTATGACATATGAAGCTTCACTGCAGCTTAGTATCAACCGACATTCCACGTGACTTAAAATAGCATATTGTGTTTTTTTTTTCCGAGAAGGCAAGCTGGAGTCTAAGTCCCCCGAACGCTGCCCGAAGGGTAGGAGCACGGAACTGCGCAGCTCAGAAAGAAACACTGCGTCATCTGCTTTTGTGTTAAAGCAGCCAGGGCTAAGTGCATCAACATTTCAAAGCGATCTAGCTTATTAGGCAGCAATGCAGAAGAGTGCCTCCGGTCCAGCCGTTACGATGAACGTACACTTGAGATGCTTTACATGAAGCTGCGCGCGGAAGTACCTGTGCAACAAGAAATCCAGGGATGCTACGCGATTTCTCATCCTTCTATCAATGTTATTCCTTCCTAAAGCGTCAATGTGGCTCACTTCTGCGTTGTGCATTGCGGCATTTTTCGTATGCAATGCGCACAGTGCACGACTGACAACACAAGGGACTGTACGCCTATTACACCCATTTCCCGAAGGTGGGGCGGCATTGTAGGTCAGTATGCTCCACATATATCATATTTTGACTTTCTCAGATCAAAAAAAGGCAAAAGAAGCCGCCATAGAGGGACAAACTACAGGTCTGCTCATTGCACCGTCATGCGTGACATGGCTGTTAACAAATCAGGCATCAGCGGGGGCACGACGGGCGCCGTACAACGTGCAAAACGTGGTAACCCAGGCAGCATTGTGACAACTCCTCTTGTTTATTACCCGCTTTGCTCAAAAGGACCCCGTTGATGCTGTAAATGCGCACGGGCTATATGATCCTCACATGGAACCTCAAGAGAGCGGGGACGAGTTAGAGGACCCCTCTATGGTTGCACAAAGCGGTGTTGGCTACGAACTAGAGAAACGGGATGAAGAAGATGAAGGTGTGGACACTAAATATACGAGAGAACGAATTTAGTTTTGTTCATGGGGATTCAGAGTCCGCAGCAACATCTTCACAAGTGCATAATAAGGTACCGGGACACGAACTACTCATAGGAAAACATCAAATATCGGGATCACAGGAGAAGGAAAATGCCGAAAATTGTGAAAAAGGTGCCAACGATTACATCAAAAATCACTGGTGCAGCGTTGCACAAATTGTGTTCAGTAACTAGGCACTTTTACCGCTCATCCCCATGAACTAGAGCTTCATTTTGCTTCAGAAAATGGAGGAAGGCCCGAGATTTCAGGGAGAAGGTATGCCTGCACGTTTGAACACTCTGAAATGCATCTATGAAGGGAAAAACTGCTCGTTCATTCAGAAGATATGGCAGACATAGAGGAAGAAGCGGAGGTAAGGACTACGCAATAAGGCTCTGTGCTCAATGTGGTGTATCAGTTGAAACAGGAAAGTGAGGATGAGGAATTAGAGAAGGAAGAATCAATAGACGAAGCTGAAGAGGCACAACACGGTATGTCTGCTCTCTTTGCAGCTGACAAACCTCTTCATTTACTAACTTTGCTCTCCGGTCAACCGCCTGATTCAGATTTGATTAAAAAGATGGAGGAATCAGCAGGTCCGCCAACTCGCTGATTAGTAGAAATCGATAGTGCAGTCACTGAATACCACGGAATCTTACTCAGGCAAGCACCAACAGGCTCCCAAAAAGTTGGAACCAGAGGAAGCGAAAAAGCTACTACTATCTGTGAGATCTGCTAGTGCTTTCGCTTTTTACCAACCGCTTTTTACTGTGCATTCTTGGTTTCGGATAACTATACGAACAGTATGGAGCCCGTCTGGAAGATCTCGTGAACCAAATGTACGCCCCATTCAAATTGAACATCCATGCCTACAAACTTCTATGGTTCGTGTGATCGTTCTCCTTTTATCAGCATCAGCGCTCACGCTGCCGTGCCTGACCTTCTTGGAACTAAAACTCGATTGGCAAAGGCAGAGGGAAAGCCGTCTTTCGCGTTCCCTGTTGCTCTTCGTACTCATTCGAGTGTACCACCAGTCGGGGGGCCTCCGCCTACGGCAGGCCTTGAAGCACCATAAGTTGTGAGCCCTCCAACTATGGCAGGTGTTCAAGGACGATACGCATCTCCCCTCCCAGGTCCTCGAGCACCGCCAATGTTGGCAGTTTTTCTAGGCGGCCATGCCCTTGGGGTATGCGCCTAGTCAACAGTGGATGCGCTATCTAGACACACAGAAGACAGCGCATCTGTGTCTTTAGTTCCGAAAGATATAATAAGAAAAAAACTAACCTTGTTCACAACTCTGTAGTTTGCTTGTAACGTTATACTCGTATTCGTTGTTGTAGGGTAACAGGACAGAGCACAGGCAATCTGTTCGATTTCAGGTTCACGTTTGTGTCATTCATCCCGTGAAGAAGGCGAGAGCTGCATAATAGAGGATGAATTTAGCATGCAATCGCGAACTGAGCTTGTAGTACAATTTCCGAATTCATATTGCTTTCCCTCGATCCCCCCTCCCCCCGCGGACCCCCCAAGGACTCTGAAGAATCGCTCGGCTTCAAGCAACCTGGTCGAAGTGGCTGCCTCTTGTGACAGATGCATTTATTGAGCCACTCTCTTAGAAAATGGGAGGATAAAAACTACTTCTCTTACTTAAATATTGAATACTTTCACCCATTGAAGATATGGGGCTGGCTGCAGAAGCTGCGAGGGCTGGGCGGCAGCCATGGCAGACGGTAAGGGGGTCCCGTCCCCCTCCTGCAGAGTAAGAGAGCCTCCAGCCTGGCGGGGTAGGCAGGGTTGTAGCCGAACCGTATGGCTCATCGGGCGCTGTTCTGCCGAAAAGTGGAGGAGAAATACCTGAGTTGACTGCTGAGCTTTCGAATAACGGGAAAAATGCCGCCAGTATGTCGCCTCATGACTTCTCCCCACGCTCCACCGTTGCGGACTGATGTTAGACAGCCGCGAGCTGATATCTAGTTACTGTTGTTTTCCAGCGATGAACAGGCTTATAAGCTGCGAGAGTCCTCGTGGGAGCTGTCTTAAAGGGGGTCTCGGCCAGATTGGGAGTTTTCTCCTATCAGAGTAGGGGTCGGTGCAGTTGTGGGGGTACATGGACAAGGGTCTGGGGCGGTAGGCATCCGCCTTCTGTCGACGCTGGTCCGGCGCTCAGCATTTGAATTACATCTGCTGTTCGTATATGAACAGAGGTATCATCCAAACATTTCTATTTGGTATGATGAATGCGCAGCTCCCCGCGGATGATCCAAGGCCGTGCCTTGAAGGCCAAGAACCTGAGAAGGTGGGCAACAAGTCGCTTCCAAAGGCTCACCCCTTTGTGTATGCGATCATTTTTTCGTGCCACCATTCATCCCCCAATTCGAACTGCTCGGGCAGTGGCACTTGGCCCGCCACGCATCCCCCTGAGCGCTCGGTAGTATGGGGGCTGTGCTTTCTAATGTAGGCGCACACCCAGGCGTGCAATTAAGCCTCGAATGCTGTACTACTTCCTGATAGTGCAATCCCCTGCGTCGTGCTTGTTGTGTTCCCAGCAACCGGAGGCCCCCGCGCCCGGATGCAGCGTCTACGTGGGCAACTTGGCCTGGGGTGTGCGCTCTGCCGAACTACACGAGCACATGAGCCAAGCTGGAGTGGTAGTGCGAGCTGATGTGTTCGAGGACTATCAGGGACGGAGCAAGGGTTGCGGGATCGTTGTGTACAAAGACGAAGAATCCGCGCAGCGTGCTATCAAGGAGCTCACGGATTCTGTCCTACTGGGTAAGAGGGCGCAAATTTGGTTTTTGTCCCTCCGCTTCGCTGCAATGGCTGGAAATCGCTGTTTCAGCAACAGTCAACTCGCAGAGTGCCGTTTTTTGCTGTTGTTGCAGAACGCCCAATTTTTGTCCGTGAGGACAGGGAAGAGGGAGGCGGCGGTGGAAAGTTTTCTGGTGGCCGAGGGTGAGGAAAAACTGAACGTTTGTCGCGCCAGACATGCCATATCTGTGGTTTCTGGCTGACTGGGGACGTTTGTTTACCAATCTGTGAACAGGCCGCGGGGGCGCCATTTGTTGTGCATGTATGTGCTTTGTGTATGCCCATTTCTTTAGTGGGGTGGGGTGCATCCACTCGACTGGTGTGCTTTTTCTGACTCGTTTTCTCTCTGCTGCAGACGTGGCCGAGGCCGCGGGGGCTTTTCTGGAGGCCGTGGAGGTTACCAGGGAGGCCAAGGCAGCAGCTATCAGGGGGGCAATCAAGGATCCCAGGGGTATCAAGGGGGCAGCCAGGGTGGAAGTCAGGGTGCAGGCAGCCGCCAGGTGTTCGTGTCCAACTTGCCATGGAAGACTTCATGGCATGAGCTGAAGGACCTCTTCCGCGAGTGTGGGGAGGTTGTCAGGTTAGCGGCGCTGACGATTGCGGGGTCGTGTATTAGGCCATGTATTTTATTACGCCACATGGCGAGGGAGGACGGGGGTTGGGAGTGGCATGGGTGGTTGGTTGGTGTATATATATATATACTCTGATTTTGCTCACGCAGGATGTGTACTTGATGCATTGTGTGGGTGCATATTTTCTCAGGGCCGACATCCTCGAGATGCCGAATGGCCGGTCCAAGGGTGTGGGCACTGTGCTCTTCACAAATCGGGAGAGTGCTCAGAATGCAATCGACACCTTCAACAACTACGTGTTGGACGGCAGGCATATTTCTGTTAGATTCGACAGAAAGGAGCTCTAATTGATTATGTGCCTTCTTGCACGTTTGCCAGCCCCCCAGGCACTTCTTCCCCGCGGGTTCTCCCGGGGGTGAGTTCTCCGTGGAGGGTGTAGAGCCATTGGGATGCCCGTTGTTGGCACTCCATGAAGGGGATATCCCTTGGAAGCCCTTCTTAGAGCCGTCGCGGGAGTTCATGCTAGTGGATTTAAACGTTACTTAGGATGGAGCGTGGCTGTTCCCGTATAGACAGCATGGCGTTGGTGGTATTGGGGGGAGAGTGCTTTCTCTGGTATATAGAGGAGGCAGGCCCTGTAAGCGCGAGACAGACGCTTCGTTTGCGGGGTTTGTTTGCCTGGTGCCGTGCCCGGCTGTCGCGTCCTTCCGCATTATATACGAGAAACAGCAGATCGCCGCACTGTTACATTTCGCCTGCGGACGGCGCTCACTTGTCGCGAGGCACATACACTAAACTGACACCGCTACATAACTACTTGTTACTATGCGTGTTCACCAGCTGTGGCGATGTAGTTTCGCGTGTTACAGACGCTGGGAGACGCTGCAAACTAAACAAATTAGTAGTATTAGCGCCGGCAGCAGCAGGGAGGCGTAACTGCAGTGTTGCTTTTGACCCTATGGCCATTGGTGGCTTCTCTGGCCGACGATGGAGCATTTCCAATCCGGGTTTGCGTAGCTCGGCGAGTTGCACGGTGCACAACCAACCCAATAGGAGGTGTGGCTGCGTATGGGTTGGCATTCCTCTTAGTGTAGACAGAGGAGTGAAGAAAGAGGGGTCTCATTCTCACTCGCGAAGGCCGGAGAATAGTGCTACCGCGCTCCAACCCCACTAAAGTCTAGGACATGCACCGAGTCGCGGCATCGGGGCGGGCTAGCGCGTACCTGCAGCAAGGAAAAGAGCAGACAGGCAGGATATTTGTAAAGCGGGCGGAAAAGATCGTGCGCCTTCCATTCCCTAATCCCTGGAAGGGGGCATATCCGCTACCGCTCTAGGCTGCGGCCAGAACACCACTCGAGACGACAAAGGGCTGTGTATCCAGACCAGACAGCGCTGCTTAGGGGGTTTGTGATGGGCCCCACAGTGAGGTTATACCAGCGGACCACACGTTCGGTTGCTATGACTGAGATATGCAGCATGAGGACCATCAGGTTCTGTTTGCCGCTAGCATATCCTAGGCCGGCAATGCACCGCAGCTACGCCGCGCACGCTGACCACACCCAGAGACGTCTCCTGTACCGAAGCCTCGGCTGGTCTGGCGTCTCGCTACGCACTACAGGGCTCGCCTACCCTCGTGGCTTTTTGAAGAGAACATAGCTCTTACTCGCACAGCCAATAAAAAGGCAAAAAGACTGTTTGAAGCAAACAAGAACGCGCCTCATGTGCAGAGAAAAAGGCCCAGATGAAAGTGCTTGCTCACCACAGCAAAGGCACGGTTTGCCTGAAGATCGAGGATCGCCCCGTTATACTGGGCCGTTAAAAGCGAATCCGCACAGCGGCGCAAATCCCACACCTGAGGAAGACCAGACACACGAGCCAGCCGTACGGCGCAGAATGATGCACGACAGAACAACGACACGCAGGACGAAAAGAGGTCACCCCGAGCGTGCTTTTATTCGGCTGCTTGCCTTCACCACCCCATCAACATCTCCCGAGAGAAGCATCCGGCCATCCCAGGCGCCAGCAAGTCGTGTTATTCGATTTTGATGCTCCAGCAGCGTTAAACCGTGGCCTGCGAAAACCGCACTTGCACTCCGCAGCTGCAGCTGAAGCAGCAGCAGCAGCTCCCAAAGCAGCCACCCTAGAGCTATTCCAGCAGCACTGGAAGCGCCAGCAAAAAAGACGAGGGACTGTGGCAGCAACGCCCGTCATCTACATTATGCGCACTGGAAAGCGGCATGACTAATTATCCTACTTGCAAGGTTCTTTGCATCTCCCTGTCTTGCGTCCTGTATTTTAATATGCCCATCGTAAGATCCTGAAGCAAAGACCTGCTGCGCTTCCTCGTCGAATGAGCCTCCTAGGAGAAACCCTTGAGCAGCTGCAGAGGCGAAGGCCCCTTCGCCGTTGCGCAGCCAGCAGACAGCAGAGACTTCCGCTTGGTGGCTGCAGTTCGCAAAGGAACGTAAGACGCATATTAGGGTGGGAGCGCCTATGGAAGGGAGGCTCGACGGCTCATCGCCTCTGTTTTCCCGTCTGTTGGCACACGTCAGAGGACGAATAATACACAGAAGAGGAGGCCAGGCTACGGTGCGAAATGCGTAACAGCCTGCAGAGAGACGAAGGGCCTGCGAGTGTGTGGCACCCTCGCGGCTGTAGACCTGAGCGCCTGGAAGTTTTTGGATGAAAACTTTTAGCTTGGCGTGTTTCTTTGCACTTCGTGCTGTCTCGTGAAACTGCTCTCCCTCCCCTCCGAATGCAATCCCTCCCTCCCTCCCTGCCTCTCGCTCTCTCCTTCCCTCCTTCGCACTCGGCCTCTCGGCCGCTTCTGCTCGCATGCACATGCAGCGCTCGTCGTACCCATTGAAGGTGGCCAGCCTGACGATTGGATAGACAGAATACAGACTGATAGTCTCGTCTCGGCTGCCACAGAGGACGCGGGAGGAACGGCTACCGTCTTCCGCCACGTCCAGGGCCAGGATGCCATCTGTGTGGGCATTGACGATAGCGGATGCCTCCAAAGGCTCGCCGCACACTGCATCGCCAAGATCCCACAAAAAGAACTCCCTAAGACACACACGCAGGAGTCAGAGTGACTGCAAGCGCTGGGTCGCGAAAAGCCGGTGGAGTGCTAACGGGAGAGGAAGGAGAGAATCGCATTGGCAGGTTCATAGATAGGTGTGTGCATGGAGCCGGAGGATATGCGGAGCACACACAAATATACACACACACACATACACATACATACACACACACACATACATACACATACATACATACACATACACATACATACACACACATACATACACACATACATACACACATACATACACACATTTACACATACACACATACACATACATACATACACATACACACATACACATACATACACACACGTACACACATACGCATACATACACACACATACACATACATACACATACACATATATAATACATACATACACATACATACATACACATACACACATATATGAACCGCGAAACAGAAGAGAGAGCGCACGCATGTACAATCAGCAGGAAGCCGTCAGACGCGGCAGCATCGCGAGAATTTGTTTTCAAGGTTTTACCTGTGCCATCTATCAAATGCAAAGACTCGCGTCCCGTATCGCGAAAATATAAAATTGAGGAGGAGGCTATGCACCAAGTGCCCTTCGATGGACAGCTGCGCTATCTCCTGCACGCCCCCAATGCAGCAAAGCGAATATCGCAGCCCTCAACTTTGAGTGCCAGAGGCTTAAAACAAGGCATATTTATGGGCCGATTTTTGCATGGAAAGCCTGCCCGCTTCGCACCCACCCACCCACAGGCAGGCAGGCAGGCAGGCAGGCAGGCAGGCGCAGGCCCGTATAGCAGTGCGATTTTACAGTTTCGCTCAGGAGATCGAAGACTCTGTATTCGCAAGCGTCCGCCACGCCTCCACTGGCCCCCCCTTTCTTCCGCCTGCCTCTGCAGTTGCCACTTTGCTCAGACGAGAGGGAGCACGCCATCAGGCCGCTTGCAGCGTCCACGCTGCAGCTATGCCAGCAACTTCGCCCCCAACACATGCAGACTTCCCGAGCTTTTACGGGGTCTTCCTCAGCCGATGCTGCGCCTTGAAGACACGGCTGCTCTGCTGCTGCAGACACTGCAGAAGCCGTGGCCGTGCAGGGAAATGAGAGCACTGCAGGAGGCGGCGACCACGCAGTATTCCGTGGGGGAGTGCGACATGAGATCCCTCTGGAAGCGCTGATAAGGGCCGGCGATGCCTCCCCATTCGTCTTGCGAGTGTCTCCTGGAGAAGGCCCTCCGTTTTGTCGAGATCCTCCACTCCTTCTGCTCTTCCCGCTGCCCCTACGGCCGCTGCCTCCACCGCTGATCAGGCTTTCCAGCTCGAGCTCAAGCGACTCGAGCGAGGAGAAGCTGCCTGCCGCCGCATACGTCGTACGGGGGGACAGCAGCAAGCCTCCCAGATCTTTCGTCTGCCTCAGGCATACCCCCGTAGCTCCAGCCACTCCCCCCCCGCCAACTCCTTTGGACGCAGCCACTAAGGGTCGAGGAGCCCTCACGGCGGAGGGGTAGGCACCTCCCTCTGGTTTCAGAAAACACATGACTCTGTCGCTGCCTGCAGTCAATATGACTGCCTTCCTCCGCAACGCATCCACAAGGGCCTCGCCAGCTCCCGGAGCGAACACTACAGCGGGCTGAGAAGTCGTGCAATCGCTCACGGGGGAAGCAATGTAAGGCTGCACATTGCCATCCGTGGGCGACAGATCTAGCTCCAAATTATCTTGTGACACTTGGGCCCCTTGATTTCGATGCTGTCGCTGCTGGGGCGGAGTACTTTTGTGGGGGCGTGCAACTTCAGTTCTCGAGGCATACGTGCCCCTAGGGTGTACAGACACCGTAAAGAGCTTGTGACCCTCCGTGGGGAGGACTGAGAAGGCGCAGTTGCCGCTTTGCCAGTTGTGCCAAGCGCGCGCATTCCATAAAAACTGGCAGCACCATCCCTCATGACGAAACTCCCGATAGCCAGTGGAGGGACGCAAGCGATCCTCCCTCGGTTCTTGGTCATGTTGTTGGTCGTTCTCCACCAAGAAGCCGTCTCTGTCAACTTGTCTACTGCAAGCAGCTCCGCAGACACCTCCGTATGGCCACCACACGAAGCCGCTGGCATTAAACCACTCGCGCCAGAGAGGCTGTACCCTCGGCGCTCTGAGGGCAGCTTGCAGCTCCGTGCAGGAGGAGGCGAAGCGAGCGGCATCTGCGGCTTCCAGAAACGGAAGGACCGCTAACAAGACGTTTTCACGCAACAGCGCGTCCAACCAGACATTGGGATGCTGATACACAGGGTCTACAGTGGAGGAGGCAGATGCGTTCTCCCCGTCCCTGCTAGAGAAAGACGCGGCACAGGACCCGCACTGATCCGGCTGTACATCCACCATGTGGCTGCTCCTACTGCCGTTTTCGCAGCAGGAGGCTGATTTGTTGCTTCGCCTCCGTTTAACCATCGCCAAATCACCTCAGAGGTGTGCGTTCTGCAGAACGCACACCTCTGAGGTGATTTGGCAGGTCCAGGCCGCCTAAGCGGTCAAGACGCTGCCGGGGGGCAGAGCGGCATCTTGGGGATCCACGGATGGAACGGCTGCAGCCAAATGTACAGCGGCACCAGAACACAGACGAATAGGCACCCCTTGGGAACGCTGCTTCCTTCAGCGTGAGCAGGAGAAACAGTCATGCACAGCAGCAGGAGGCCAGAGAGGCGTTGTGAAAAGAGACGGGTGTGGACAGCGTCTGGCTGGACACAAGACACGGTAAACTCCAAAGGAAGAGGAGGTCTGCTGCAGCCAAACAGACTCTCTCTGTCTCTATCGCTCATTCCTCATGTGTTTTTTAGCGGGAGCAGGAACAAAAGAAACGCAGGCGGCGACCAGTTTTAAGGGGGTCACCCAATGGCTAGGCAACTGGGATGCCACCTATGCCTTTAGCCTCAGCTGCACCAGAGGAAAGACTTGTATCCTCAGTGGCAAGAGATCTAGGCAAGACGCTGCCCACGCTTGCATACAAAAGGGGGTCTTGGCCCTTCTGTTTTAGAAGAGCAGCTCCAGCATTTGACACCAACGTGAACCTAACTGGCTCCAAACGCCAGCGGGAACCACGAGATACTCCACTGTTCTCTACAGAGGTGTAGTGGTGACGGGATGAAGTAGTGTCTTGCCAGCTGACGTCATACTGGTGCCAATCCATGAGCCTTGCTAGTGCAGGTGGTGGTGGAGCAACTTGTGTGTCTTCCCTGGTCTCCTGTTGAGATTAGGACTAAAAGGCGATCCCGGTCCTTAGGGGAAATTGCGGGGGAGGCATTGGAACTCTAGAGTCGGCTGCGCAGGTGCCAAGGTAGCCGGCCAGAGCGAGCAGTGCATGCATTCACTGGCAGCTCCCTCTGCTCGCAGCAGGAGGCCAAGGCAGCATCACTTCTCGAAGAAAGCAATAAAATACTTGCAGAGAAGTCTCCTCTAGAGGAGGAGCTGAATACTTTGTGCTCGAGGAATGGGAGCAAGCTCCGAGAGACCACCCGAGACACCCTTTGCCTTCGACTAAGCAGAATTCGGATAGGGCGTAAGCTGGTCCGCCTGCATTGAGTTTCTTGTAATTGTGCGATACACGTATTTGCGAGCTTTAGCATAATACTATTAATACTCCATTATACCCTAGATGTGCCTGACAGATACAGTCCAGGCTACACATGCGGGCGTTAGCCTGCCGCAGTATGGTGACTTATCGAGATAAGTGGCAACAAATTCCGTTTCGTAGAAAACCCCGCTGCTGTGCAGTGTGCCACCATCCAAAGTCTTCCTCAGAACGGTGAGGATTCACGAGGCCAACTAGCCCCTCGGCAGCATTCGGTTGATACGTTATCTTCGATCAGGGAAGAGTTTTAAAATGCGACTTCGAGCTTACTCAGCCCAAGCAGCGAACAAATAAAATAAGCAAATACAGATATCCGTCTGCTGCTCCTACCTTCTCTTTCGCATTGTAGTCATGCACCCATGGTACAACTCACACGCGTGCCCTGGGACCTGTGGAAGGCCGTCGATAATTACACCTGGCGCTTTGGAAACCAGTGCCTCCCCAAGCAGGTAAAGCCGAAGGCGGACTTACGCATAATGAATTATGTGCCACAGACGATTTTTTCCTGGAATCCTACGGGAAAGGCTGTCCTCTACGCTCTCATTTTCACGCGTAGCCTGCTCCCCCAAAATACCTTTTCCTATCACTGTGATTGCAGTTGGTGGGGCCCGGCGAAGTCCCCTGTTCTAGGAGGTTTTGGCTTAGTTCAAACCGAGTTCCCTCGCCTCAACGCTTTCTAGGATAAATAGTAGACGCTGCATCAGCCGTTCGAGGCCCTCCATGTGAGCCTCACTCTTGCGCATCCACTGCTCTACCAGATGCTGCTGCAAAGGCTGACCAGCTTCTGTCCTCTGGGCATCAGTTCGTGAAAGGCTGGATATCTGCCGCTGAGGAGACGATCCACACATTTGGCTTTGTGCCAAGGCAGGCTCATAGGCGCTAGTGTTCTCTCCCGATCCTGAAGCCCCGTACAGACCAAGGGCACCTTGGGCCCCACTGTTGGCAAGGCTCCCACCCCTGTACCGTCTCGTGGAAGAAGCGTAGTCCCTCTCTACCTCCAGGAAAGAATTGGAGGGTGTCGTGCGTCTGGCAGTGAAATCAGGAGCAGCAATGTTGGACTCCTGAGTTAAAGGCTCTGGGTAACCAGGGCCATCTTGCGACGGCTCTGGCGGCTGTCTAGGGGCCCTTCCAGGTCTTAAAAAAGAATCAGAAATGGCCGAGGGGGCTAGAGTTATCAAGGTGACCTCCGTCCCCATGCCAATTGGACAAACACACTGCCCTTGAACGTGCGAGGCTGCCAATGGCTGTAGCGGGCTGTCAGACGGTTCCACTGCCCGAAGAGGTGGTTCTGAGGCGCAAAGCACAAGCTATCACAGAAGTGCTATATGCAGGTAGTCCAAATGAAAGCAACTTCTCTTTCTGTTCAGAAAAACCAAACGGGATGGAAAGGCAATGAGAGGGAATGCGGCCTGGGCACTATGGCCCCATGCTACGATCTTAACTTCCATAGATTCCAGCAAGCTGCACTCATCTGTTAGGCTCAACCACATTGAAATAATAGGGCTGCTGCCAATAGGGTGTGCCTAAGGAAATTGACCAGCATCCGCAGAAAAAACGCCTTGCTTTGCGTGTTACTCGCCTCTCTCGCGGGCAGGACGAGCTGCATTTGCGTTGAACCCTGTTGGCGAACGGACGACCTGATTATCCTGCTGCTGTTCATTCACCTCCGTGAATTGTGAGGCTATATCTCCTCGAAGAGCCTCATTGTGGTAAAGAAGCCCCTGATGCTCCGCTCGCTGGTTAGGCTCTGTGTCTGGGGGTCGCCGAGGCTGTGGTACCAGTGAACTACACATCCGTGGCTGTGGCTCCAGACACCGCTGGTCTTCGATATCCCACACTGCATATTCTACGAGGCGCATTGAGTGCTCGTTTGGATTGTGAGAGCGTCTGCGATTGCCCGTAGTTGCTGTAAGTGTGCGGCGTGAGACACATCGCTCATTAGACTCCCGAGCAGGGGGCTGGGGACGAGGGTCGTAAAGCGGCTGTTCCTGTTGCTGCAGTCCATGTCCAGTCACGCGTGCTGAGTAGCTTGTTGCGTGTTCAACTTGTGGCGCCACGCTGTGGCATAGGTTCAAATTCCTTATGCTGGCCCCTACAACATTTCCCTGAGGAGCAACGAAATGAGGCAGGGCAAACTGATGGGCACCCAACTGGACATTCAGTGGAAGCTGCTGCTCCCACCGGGAATAGTCTGTTGGTTCTTCTATTCTCCAAGGGGCCCAAGGATGAGGCCGCAGCCATGCCTCGTCTGTAGGCTCATCTGAAGTCCGGTCTTGCCTCGTTCCCAGTTGAAAGGCTCCAGCCAGCCGCGTCTCTTCCCTGTGAGAGTCAAGAGCGGAGGGGAGTCCTGATTCCAGTAGCGCTGGAAGAGGGGCTTGCTCTTCCTGCCCCTCGTGTACAGAGCCCACGGCACACGAAGCACGAGGAAAGTGGGTGGATAGCCCAGAGCCACGAGCCATTGATTCGAGGTCCTGAGGAGCAGCCTGCGTAACCCCCCTATTCCTAGAAGAAGACTCAGGCCACTCCCCTCTACCGTGAGGCACCGGCCTTCCCTGAAGTACAAGACCCCCCACTCTAGATCGAAAGGACAGGCTGATGCTCGCCCTCTGAGGCGAGTGTGACGTTCCCGCAAATGAAGTGTCACAAGCCCCGCAGCCCGCAGACTCGGAACGTTGCCTGCCCCGGGTTGTACCATAGGAGCGGTCGTCTTCGCTTCCGCGGCTATTGGGCTCCCCGCTCATGTTACAGTCTGCCACTGTATCACGAAGTGCCTGTGCTCCCCCTTCATGGGACTCCTCAGTGTGAGGCTCCCACATGGCCGAAGCAGTCTCGTGCTCAGAGGGCCTCCGAGAGCCTGAGGGAGGGGGCGCAGAGAGAGACAGCGACGCTTCAAGACGTTCAGAGATATGTGATCGACCTAGCAGCAGGCCTGTGCGGCCCCTAGCACGGGTAAGGGCAGGCAGGTGGGGAGCTCTCGCTGGGGATAACAGGCTGCCTCCGCACTGTACTGCGTCACTCCGAGTCTCTGCCTCCGTTTCTACTAATGTACGGGTTCGTTCAACTGTTTCAAAAGCATCTACAAGCTCTTGCGCTTCTCTAGAGAGTATTGCGGCCTGTGGATGGCCGCTCTGTGGCCCCACTACCCCGGAAGGCTGAATGAAAGACTGCCCGTCGGACTGTTGCTGCTGCCAGGTGGCTTGCAGTGATGCAGGTCTGTGTTCTTCCCCAGGCTGTGCACAGGCACTCATGCTGCTGCTCAGACCGCTTCTGAAGGCGGTGCTACTGTCCCATGCCGGGGAGATATCCGACTGTGGGGAGCTTGTGCGCCTCCCTGGCGTTCTCGGGGCTGCCGACGCACTCTCTTCAGTAGTTGGAGCATAGAGCAGATTCACACTGCTGTCTGATTCCAAAAGCTCCTGCAAGCGACTCCCGTAGGTTGGCATCTCATCTTGTTGCAGTATCAGCGTAGCTTGTTCCGTTGAGTGCAAGGCCTGAGACAGCGTAGCAGTCAGCGAAACGCCACGTTGTGATGCCCGACAGAGAGGTTCGAGCATAAACTAGGCGCTCGATTCCCCGCAGAACAGGTGAGAATAAGTTGCGAAATACGGTACTACATTTCTAGGAGAGAAGGCTGCCTACGTTTGAGTTTCAGAGAAAGTAATTAATGCAATGTAGCCTTCAGCCGCCCCGATCGAACCAACCACTAACTGGCCATCTCAGTGGGGTCGTAAGGGTTGGGCTTAGCCCCATGATTCCTCGGAACCTTTCCGGCCATATCATATATAAACTATACCAGTAGTATATGCCATGGAGCTGAAATAGCGGCCGATGCGAAAGAGGGATGGGCGGTCTTACTTGAGCCAGCAGCTGCTCAACGATGCGTGCAGTGGGCGTGGTCCCTAACCCGTAAGCGCTGAGCACACGCTTCCATGTGGTATTAGAGCCGAAATCTAGAGAATCCCGTGGAAAACATATATGTAGAGCTGACCCTCGATGAGCAAGGTTTGCCGATATCCCCGAAGGCAGGGGCCTACTCTCCGAGTGATCTTCACTCTCCCCTCCAAGAGTACACTCGCCCCGTTCACTGGGGGCAACGCCGGAAGCTAAGGGTATATCCTCCACTAGCGATGCGGTGCCTTCAGCGTCTGGTGGATCTGCACGCTGTGCATTGACGTCAGCAGGGGGTCCATCTGCAGGGGCTACCGACCCTCCCTCTGTCTCAAGAAGCTCACGAGGGGCCAATAACGGGTCCATACAGATGCTTGAGGCAAGGAATGCCAGTTCCATCCCAACTTGTAGGCTAATGGGACACAGATTGACCTGGTGCTGTAATGGGGGTTCAGGAGGGGACATCGTAGGGACCGCTGGTGCTCCCTCTGCCTCTCTGCAACAGCCAGCCTGACCAGTGCTCATCCTGTGCGCGGCTTCCCCAGCTAGGTGCCTGTATTTGTTCTTCCTCTAGAGACTGGGGCTCTCGCGGGCTGAGTTCAATGGTTGTTGCAACGATTGAAGAAGGCGCCGAGCCACCCCAGAGTGATGCCCACCCTATTGCCGGTGCATGGCTTGGCGGGGCCTGCCGACCCCCTGTAGCAGAAATGCCGGCCAGGAGCTGCGATCGGGATATCCTGAGCACTCGGCTGGCTGAGGCGAACCGGTTACAATGCAGGAGCTGCGGAGGAGGCATTCAGAGGACTGAGCCTCCGTTAAGTGTGCCTCTACGCCATGAGGCAGACAGCTAGTGTTTGATTGAATGCGCTCATAAGGAAGGGTTCTGATATGCAGCAGGAGTTGAGGACAGTAGGAAGGGTACTGTTACGTCTCGGATCCTTGAGGGCATACAATGTCGAGCAGCTCATACGGTTAGGTGTACGGTATGCAGCTGCTCGTTCTCCTTACACTGCACAAAACATCTAGAATGTAGAAAAACACACAATATCATCTGCATTCCCTGGGTAGAAAGAATAAGGCCCAATCAGCATGTCACTATCAGCGGATTCCCGGCTAATCGACTCTCGCAAGGTGGGACTGAACCATTATAAAAGGAAAATGAGCATTACCGTGGATAAAATTCCTTGTTTATTCACGTTTATTCAGCATAAAGCGCTTTATTCTAGCCTTTCTGTGCTATTGTATTTCTTTCTGGCCCGAGAAATACTCGTAGTACCCCATTCCGGGATAAAATCCCGGTCGGAGGCGGTTCAGTTCGACGGTGACTAGCGGTGTCGAACGGACTGTATCTACAACTGTCACTAATGCTTGTTTTTGATTTCTCACTTTCCGGGAGAGCGAGTTAGTGGGGATATTTGGTGGGGTCGGCGCTATGATACTCTCTCACCGATGGTGCAGTACGACATGGATGAGCAAAGGGAACCAAAGGACTTTGCACAAATACCTGTAACTGGAATGCAATAAGTCCCCAAGAGCTCCATATATTAGTGCGAAAGAACGGCTGTTCGAAGGAATAATAGTACTACCAAGGGAATAACCAGGAGGCGAGTTTGCTGACGTTTTTGTTCACATCTTTCACGTATTGCCGAATGCGTCCTTTTTAATATTTTATGCATGACGCTCTTTGGATTAATGATTTTTCTGTTCCAACTTAGACCTTGGATGGGTAATTTATCCCAAATAGAAGGAAGGAGGAAGAATATACCTTGATTTCGTTAGGTCACGAGGCATCACAGTACAGAAACAGCGCGAATTTGTCTGTGCTTCAAGTGGTCATCGATTACGATTGATGTGCAAGCATACATCAAGTTTGGTGCAGGATATTGCCAGGTGTATAGGCACAAGCTGAAATCTCCCTACTTGAAGGCCGAAAGACTATAGGCCAACAGAGAGCCGATGCCAATTGCTTGCTATGCCGAAAACACTAGGTGAGGCAGATGCCTACACAGCGTTTGATGCAAGACCAGCGGTCCCTCGATACGCCAATTAGAGGATGACCAATGTTCAAACAGACCCCTTTCCTTGGGCAGGACACCACGCAACAGCCTGTTTGTGGGTCAGTGCAGAACGACATTGAGGGGGATGCAGACAGAAAGCGGCAGATACAGTTGTCTTAGAATGCGGTATGTACTGCGAAGCTTACATTGGGCTTTCGTCGTCGAGCCAGTACAGATTGGGCGGACCGCTTTCATTTGTTTCCGCATCGACAACTTGGTGACGCACCAAGCAACCTCATGGAAGAGCCCGACATGAAAATCCTTGTTTCTACATTATACGAAAAATAAGGCACTGCCATTGTTGCCCAAAGCTTCTACTTCCAATGCTTGTGCAAAATCTACCTAAAAATTTGTACATCTCACCAATTTAGCAGTGGTCGCAATTCCAACGGAATCCCCCTAAGTGCAGTTCTGCAGCGAATAGATATGGAGGAGAGGGCAAGATTAGCGCCGGCTCACTCTGGGTCAACTTATTAAGATCCTATTTAAGTTCCAAGTCTTGCGAAGTTCCATGCCGTCTTCTTTCCCGAAAGAGGACCGTGACGGGCATGTCGTGGGTGGACTAGCTCTGCACCTGTTGCCGTCACGAAAAGTGGCTAATGGCAAAGAAGTTTTTAGCATAATGAGCAAATGTCGTGGAAGAAAAGGATACAAAATCAGAAAGCTTTGTTCCTACCATGGTGGCTACAACACTACTGAAGAGAAGTGAATGTCCCTCGACGTTGGATGAAGAACAACGCTGGATTGACCTTACTTGTGAGCGTCAAGATCCTTCTTGCACAAGCAGCATTCCTTGGTAGAAGCGAACGCACAACGTGCATGTGGCTGGAAAGAACGCCCAGCTTCATCTGTATCTTTAAAACGCCGCCATCAGTGAATCATGGCGACCTTAAGCACTAATAAACGAAATATTCTTGCTCAATAGGGCATGTAATAGCAACGCCAAGTCATGAGGAAAAAGTAGTACGAGGATGTTCCAAAAAGTGAAACGGAAGAGAGAGCCAAGCACAGTACAGGAACCTTGGAACGGCGGAAGCAGCTATGGTTTCCAAACAACCTAGCTTACGTTTTGGTACACATTCGCCTTTGCTTTGTCCCAAATTACCAGAGTCTGCTCCTTTGGCCTCAAAAGTGCAGCACTGATTGTCGCCATTGCATACTCCTCACGAATATTCAAGGGATTTTCTGTAATGATGTATTATTTGAGTCTGGTGCCAATAGTCTTTATGCAGGCTTAATGAGCAGAACCGAAGTTCCCGTTGGCAATTATATGCAACATTCCCAACAGTGTTTTCAACAGCCTAGATGAGAAGGGCCAGAAGCCCCAACCTTGAAGTCCGGATGGGGTAATAGCGTCGCACAGTTTGCCAACGCGACTCAACAAACGCTAGATAAGTGTGACTGGATCTCCGCTCTCCCCCCGCCAATCGGCTTGCTACAGAGCGCAGCTAAAAAGCTGAGTTAGTGGATTTAGGGAGCACTGCATGAACTAGACAGCCTTGCGATAAGCGCACATGTTCTGGTTCCACACGCACACCCCAATAGATCTAGCAGGAGGCTCCATGCAAAGGCCACACGGTGGGTGTGGAGAGTGATAAGCTCAACCGCTCGTAACATTCGCGTGCAAAATTGTGCAGATACACTCTGATAAGATACTGTTATTGTGCGGATGACTTTGCAAAACTGCATTTCCCATAATCCAGAATTCATTATCAGACATACCAAACCTTATAAAAGCAGGCACCGCAGCCAAAGGGTAGACCCTAAACTCTCGAACACTTCATCATGATCCTTGTTGGCCTTCTAAAACTGGCGTCTGGTAGCCATTTCTGTACCTTCACCTCTGTCAACTCTTTGTATAACACAAAAAAATGCGTCGTCTTGCCTTTGTGTTTTTCACTGCAATGTTGCCCTTTATCTTGGGGCCTACTCTGTGATGCTTCAGGTTTCATGAATTTATCAAGCGTATCCCCCAAACCTGGCTTTGCTAGTGAATAAACATATAACTGCATGGCCCACATTTGCCAATTTTATGGATTTAGAGCTTCCTGTCTGGCCTCTCCTGCTTCTGCGCCACTGTCTGCCTCTGCTTCTTCCCCTGAAGGCTCTCCTTCGTCCGGCTGTTCCAGGTTCCCCGTGGGTATGGTCAGGCGAACTATACCGGACGCGCGATTCTGCTGCTCCCTTTCAGCATGCAAGACGTCCCTCATTAGCGACTCCGGCATAGCCCCCTCACTTTCGCCCTCCATGTCTGCCAACGGTGCACAGAACATTCACAAGCCATGAAGAAATAGAAGACACGAAAATAACGCCGGTAAAGAGCGCAAAGGGGCACAGACTGATGCAGAAAGGCCTTCATACATCACATCGATTCAACTGACCAAGCTCGTCTGCAGCTTGTGGCGTTATGAAGAACACGTTATCACTAAGCACTGGATAGGATGACAGGTTATTTGCTACTTCTTCTGTTTTACGGTAAGCCCACTAGCTTAAGCGGCGCAGGAGAAGTGTAGGCACTTACGGTCAGCCGCAGAAGATTTATTGCTCCTTGCTGCACGCGGGGAAGAGACGCTCAACTCCTTGCTGTGGCTAATTGGGCCAGCCGCAGTAATAAAACGCTGCGCCAGCGCCCGACTGAACAGAAGTCAGAGAATCACAAAGCAGTTCTTTCAAATGGGGTCCACGATAGGCTGGATGCCCTGTTATGTACTTCACCTTCATGGGAAAACAAAAAAGATATAGTTCAGTTAGAACTTCTAGGCTTTATAATTTGTCCAGTGACAGAAGAATTCGCAATGGGGGCTAGAAGGATGCCCTGGTCTGAGCCTGCAACTTCTGTAGGTTTTCTAAATTAGTCTACAGCAGTTTTTATAAAAACCAGCCCTTTCCAGTTTACGCGAAGGGAAGATAGCCAAGAATGGTAGGCCGGGGCCGCCCTTGCTCACCGGCAGACCAAGCTTAGCCACTTGCGTTCATCAGACAGCAGAAGATCCGAAACAACCTGCAGAAATAAAACCATCGCAAACGCAGGCATACCTGCAATAGAGCGCTCTGCGGTGATGCCTCACTCTCAGTTGGTGCAACTTTATTCTTGTGCATTCTTCAGTGGGCTTGGCGGTTTAGGGTCTCCAATAATGCTAAACTGGTGGCACTCGCCCTCACCCTCTGCAAGGCAGTGCTGGTGAAGCGCAGGTACGCCTCCTTTCCGTCTGCTGTTGCAAGAACAGAAGCCCAAGGAGCACCGGCTGCGCATCCTGAGGTCAGGTCGGCTTCAAAGGTGCTCACTGGGGTAGAATTTGCTCTGATTTCCGAGGAGGCCTCATTTTGCTGAGGGGGAACACTGGCATTCCCCACGGTGGCCACTGCGGCGGGAGTCAAGATGCCTCCCGCCTTCATGACGCTAGGCCGGCGCTCATGGCCTGGGGCCAGTCCTGGAAATGGAGTATCTTCCAGTGCGCTGCTGTGTGCCGCGTCTCCTACTACCAGCAAGTGGCGATCTGTTCCCCCAGATACATCCTGTAAGTTGCCCGCTGCCGTTGATGCGACTGCAGTCTCCTCCTCTGCTGATCCATTTGTCCCGTGCGCTGGAGTTACGGACACAGTTATGGCAGGGTGGTGCGCGCCTGGCTTCACTGCGGGTGCTCCAATGAAGTGGCTAAGCGCCTGCTCTTCTGCTTGAGAGGTTGGTTCGCAAACTTCCAAGACGTCCTTGATGATGAGCTGATATACGAGTTCAAAGAAATCGTTGGAAAGCATTCGGCGTGGATACGCTGTACGGAGTTCTGTCGGCCTGAATGCCACCGGGAAAACGGAAGCCACTTTCGCCATCATCTGTTCCTCAGGTAGGAGCCTCTCCACGGTAAACATGCATGTAGCTACGAGTTGAGGAACGAATGGCAGAGAGTTCAAGTCCGAGACGACTCGCGCCTCACTGTACCGCGTGATACCCCACCCTCCCTCTCCAGACTCCTCCTGGTTCACTATCGGTTCATCAGCGTCACTATCCCACTCCACGTGCTTTGCCTGCGCTACGCGCCGACGGCGACTCCTCCTCAAAGTGGCGAGGTCTTCAACGTTCAGAGCCATCCACGAGGGTCTAAAGCAAAGCAACGCGAATTCTGCGTCTGTCAACTTCCCCCTACGAATGCGGCGCATATCTTCTTGACTCATTTGCTCCTGCAGCCCCATACGACCGTGCCCCCCTCCTCCACCAAGTGCCTTGGTTTTCCTGTGTCGTCTTGAGGCGAAGCGCCGAGCCAGAGGCTGTGCTTCGTGCTCGCTGCCTATCTCCCTCCGGTCTGTTGACGCTTTTTCATCGTGTGTATTCGAAGGATCCTTGGGAACCCAGTCCAAGAGCCGCCGACGGAAGTACTCGGCCAAATAGAAGGGCGAACGTACAGGCTCCCCATTTTCGTCCTCATCCGGTGGCAGACACACTGCACTCAGCATCGAGACTGGAGGCGGCATGAGCTCAAGAGCCGCAGCATCCGGGGGCAGACGGTCAGGGGCCAATACGTCGTACTGTGCCTGAGTGCGCCAATCCCCTCTGCAAAAGTACAATAAAATCGAAAGCACAAATGCAACGAGATAAGAAAATTCACCACCACCATGTCGGCTTGAGAAAAAAGGGCTGGAAGCTGGATGCATACCCAAAGGCAGTGGGTTGAGGACTTTCACGATTCTTAGGATGAATAACGACATTCATCGTTACAAAAAGACGTACAATCGCACTAGATCCTACCACAACTAGCACCTGTGGATTTTGCTAGGAAGGGCACATGACTGTGTTAAGGCCGGCTTACTGTTCTGCTTCCGAGGAAGCCGTGGGAATGAAGACTTCGTCCGGCTCGAGGCCTAGGGATATCCGTTGCTGGTTAAGCTTTTCAAGTAGAGCAATGACAGCCACAATGACTTCATCGTCAACGTACCGCACCTCTGTGTCGTCTTCGTCACTGGAAACAGTGTCAAGGGCTGCAGAACCAGTGGTTGCCTCCTGCAACGCTCCGCCGTTCCTGGGGGTCAAAGGCGTGGTCGAGGGTGCCTCGTATTCTTGTTGCAGGTCCTGACGCTGCTTGCCCATACGATTGAGTAACAACCGTCTATACCGCAATTCGAAGCTTCGCGTGTTTTCCCTTAGAAGCTCGTTACACGCACGGTGCTTCCTCTTCCGCTCCTTCAGCACTACGTGCCCATCCGCTACCAACTGCTTTGCCGTCAAATAGATGTATTTGGGAATACCTGTACAGACAAACCACCACATAAAGACGCACATGGAAACGCAAGGATAAAGGATAGCGCAAACAGCTATGCCTCGAAGAGGCAACAAATAACGCTGAGGGGGAGGCAAACTGTGTGTATGCCTTGGGTCTCATCGTAGACAGCCTAGACAGCAAGGAAGATTGCAACAGTGCAGATATACTATTGAAGCAGAAGAAGGTGCGATCAGTACGCCCGGTAAGGGCTGCAACAGGCAAGTAACAGCTCCAGTGAAGTCTGCTTGGTAAGCGCAGATTAGGGGCATCAACAAAGAGGAAATCATCAAATACCTCCCAGATTTTTAGTTTACCTGCAGAGACACGATGAACATAGCGCACGAGTTCTTGGCCAAGACACTTGCGATTGATGTGTAGACAATGAGCCAAAAAGCTGGCGGTCTCCTCCTCAGTCAGTTTACCTATGTACATACACCACAGAGCAGTACAAGGAGCTCCCGTTCATCAGAGGATGATGCGTGCAGAAAGCCAAATAGACGCTAATTAACTTGAACGCTTTAGCGTCTCGCGCATCCGCGGTCAAATAGAGCCGGTAGTCAAAGCCCGTCCTCGGGCTCCACAGATCAATCGCCACAGGCAGAAGAATATAGGGCTTTTTGTGGGTAGAGGCCCTCGATTGCGCGGAGAAGGCAAGAGTTAGAGTTTAGCCTACGAAGCTCGATATAGGCATTGTTTTCCTTAGCCATTTGCACGAGTTGCTGTTGTTCGGGAACAGAGTCCGTGGTGTCGCTGAAAAACATTGGACAGAGTCAGCCAGCAGTCTAGCCGTGCATACAATACCAGTCCCGTCCTTCCGTGTCTACAGAACAGCACGTGGGAGGCAATCGGATTTCGCGTAGAAAATCAAGGCCCCCTCGAAATTTATTTTTCTTGTCACTTGGACTTAGTTAAGCACTCCCCGAGCATTCTCCAAAACATAGTGACGCCTCTGCGCCGTAGGATACTGCTCCATTAGAGTAGCTCAGCCGCCCAGGGAGACTGCTGCGATTAAGTGGCGCTGACGCCTTTATCTCTTGGCCTAGCCCTGAACCAAAATGCGCACCTGCAGATGAGGACAAAGACCAGGGGCTGATAGAACTGCGATGGCAGGGGCTTGCACAAGCTGGTGGACTGAACAGAGACCTCCTTCCCACTGCTATCGACGACAGTTGCAGCACGATATCCTTTGCCTGCATGCAGCACATCACGTGCAGCCCAAACAGTGGCACAGCTACTGCAGGTCACGTGTGCCCGCCAATAAGGCAGAAGCTCCCCGAAGGTGGCTATACACCACCATGTGGGGTGTCCTACCGAGGCTCATCAAAAATAGCATCGCCACTAGCCCGAGGCGTAAACAGTGCATTGCCACGTAGAGAAGGCACGAAGAAAAACAACGCAGGCGACTCGATGGAAAGCTAAAGCTGGTACAATAGCTCAATGAACAGCCATGAAGAAAGTAAATACATCTTGGCCCTTGTAAGTTTCATTTTGCATAGTCAGATTGGACGTACACCACCAGCACTTCCGCGAATGCTTGCATCGCCATTCCTTCAAATTACGCAGATCGTCGTCCAGACGGTGCTGGCGGCGCACAAGGGATACACGCGCGACAAGACGGGCCACGCGCCAGCTGTCACGGTCCATCTGCATGCAGCAATGCAAGGAGTGAGAACTTGCGATTCGCAAAGAAACAGACCCATGCAAGAGCGAGAAAGAAAAAAATAGATCAATTTTCCACGATTGTATCAAAAGAAGCAGACAGAGGCAAAGAGGCACAAGCCAACAAATGCCGAGAAGGGAAGATCCATGGAGGGGTATAACGAGAGGCAAGGACCAAACTACTAAAAATGCAAGAGGGTAGCCACAAGAAAAAGGCTAGAAAGGTAGTGAGACACACATAGCTCGAGCTCCAAGATACGCACCTCTGCGAAGACACTAGTGCCAGTACGGACGTGCAAGACCACAATGGAGCTTTCGAAGAGGGAAAATCCGTTCACCAGGGACGCAATAATAGGGGCGATTGACTCGCCACTTGGCTGTGAAGAAGCAGGCAGAAACACAAAGAGGCATACACTTTGAACGTCATACTGCACGACCAGCAAAATGCCCAGTCCGCAGAAGCCTGCAATAGCAGCGATCGTCGCAGAACAATCCAAATCATTCTTAGAGGGCTTTCCGCCTGAGACGCTGATAAATTTTGAAGCAGGGACGGACCTCATATAGCCTTGGCGTTTGATCGTCGCTGTCTGACGAATGAGTGTCATCTGCAAAGGCACCACCGCAATTCGCCTGCCACCCCGTTGTTGGCCCAAGTTTTAATCAGACATTCCCTCTTTCTTGCTGTCGCATGTACAACTCATAGAAGTGCCGAGCTGACTGTGAAGCTCAGCGACTTCACCGACAGACTGTAGCTGCATCCGCGCTCTGCCAACTCCACAAACCAGATCCTGAATTATTCGGAGGTGAGTTGGAAACGCGTGGAGCCAATCGACAGAGAACGAATAATTCACGAAGCAGGCAAACTTTTATCAGACCCATGCGATATAAGTATATCAAATGTTCTAATGATTGCGTTCAGTCTGCCATGCACGAAGGCCTTTTCGGTGACCCCATTTGTTTGTTTTTGCCTCTACATATACATACATATATGTACAACGTCTCGCAAAGCTGCTTTTTGCAGTTCCGTAAAGGTAATTAAACTCTGCCTCTCTTCAAAGCCTGAGTGCTAGTCGGCCTTTGCGCACTGCGGAAAGCAGTTCAGTCTAGGTGCGCAGACCTGAGGCGGCTTCAGTGAGCCCCAAATCGGCTCCTAAGTTTTTGACGAATGTCTGTACGGGAGTTATACGCCTGCCAGCTTCTTCGACCCAATCTGCCGGTTTGTGCAGCAGCGCCAGAGTGGGAGACATGGGCGTGTATCCCTGCAATACCAAGCAGAGCATGCATCAACACAAAAGAGCACGGTGTCAACTACTCTATAATGCCCCCCCAAAAATTTTGGAAGCGTACTATGGCGTACGCCTGGAAGGAAAATTATCGTTTGACAACGTGTTAAACACCTATGTATTCTGGCCATACGCCGCGCTGCCTCTGGCCAAGAGGTGCTGAAGTTGAGCACACGGTAGGAACGCAAGGCCCAGGGGTCAACCACAGGGCTTGTTCGGAGCACCGGCACACCTGCTTGCGGAGACGCTTGATGCACTTGCGGCGCTCCTTCGCAAGCCGCTGGTTCTCAAGTAGCTCGTGTGGCAGCACTAGGCCGTGCACAACAGGCTTCATCTCTTCGAGGCGCCTGCGAAGGTATAGACGGAGAGATGCAGGCAACAAAAACCACTAATGAGGGCACTGACAAGACCCGTAAAACGAAGAGGCGGCTGCGGCTAAGAGATCTGGAAAGCAGGGCATGCCGACCGACCAGTGGAAAGAAGGGTGAATGAGTTCTTTCGTTAGGCCATAAACGGAGTTGTCGCGGTCAATCTTGGAATACCCCTTTTTCTCGCGGTTGTCGCTAACGCGCCAACGCTGCACGTGCAAAAATTGGCACCCTCACTGTCAAGCGGATATGCTACGAAGAACTTCTAGGGTCCAATGCATGCAGTACGCGGTGAGAGGTGTATGCGTAAGTCCGCTGCGGAATTCGGGCACGCTGAGGCCGCGCCGCCCAGCGAGGTCTTCCGCATTACTCGCGCGAACACATGGGAAAACCCCTAATAACGAGTCGCAGACCCTTACTTCGACCATTTCTGTGCAGAGTTTCCTCCAAGCGAGGAGTGGAACATTGCCGATATTGAGATTAGGAGAGTCTGGCATGTTGCTGATGCAAAACATTTGACGCTTCGACTTTTTAGCACCTAAGAAGTCACCACAACTGTCTGTTCGGAGCAGCTGTACTCAGGCTGCCCGGAGTTCCGTAGGTAGGCAGTACATGCATGCACCCACCGGCTTCCCAGACACATCCTGGCAACAGCTCCCTCGAGCTTGTTACCCCTTAGCAGAACGCAACCGCGGGGAGTTCTTCGCATGCAAAGGATAGAGGATGGACAGGAGGAAAGCCGCAGGCAACGTGGGGGGAGCTGGGCGCGCCTCACAGAAATCCCGGAGATAGTCTCCGAGCTCTTTTGCACCAAGCCCTTCCCGGCCCCTGATGACCATCACTCCGCCTACTTCCAGTAGCGGTTGCAGCTGCGGCATGTACGGCTCGTACCTGCACCACCACGTATGCCCTGGCGTACATACACTACAGCCTTTACTGGAGCAGAATTCAGCTATGTGCGCCGATCGCAGCTTTACGGCTGCCGATGATACCTTTACAGAGTAATGCAGTATGCGGCTCACCACTCATGAGCAAAGACCGGTCCACAAGGCACCTGGTAATCCAAGGGGGGCCTGACAGCGCGTCCTTGCTTCTTATACATCGTAGATGGCTCTAAAATACTCTGAAGCTGGTTCCGGCATGGCCATCCTGGCCAAGACAGCAGTGGCCCCTGAGGCTCACAATACACTCCACCGGAGAGCCGCCGCCCCTAAAAGCGTGTTCATGGAAGCAGAGCAGTCATCCCATACATTCCAAGAATACCGGGGCGAGCAAGCAGTAAACGCAAGCATCAAACAGCAGCAACAGCAGAGCGTAGATCCCTTCTTGCTCGCTCTTCACCAGTACAACCTGCTTGAATCCTGTTTGGGGTGGTACTTGCAGAACAGCCTCAGGCAGTACATCTGCGCCAGGACCCGAATTTGTGGCTTAAGAGTCATGAACCTACCAGCTCGGGGCCTGTCTGAGGCTTGTGAATAAGAGCGCCAGTTGGCATATAAACCTCGATGGGATTTTCTTTCCCCTTGACCAACATACTCGGCAGCTGCTTGAACTCCATGGCATGCTCAGCCGAGCGGTGCGTGTTGCTGTTACACACACAAATCACGCTTAACACAACAAAGCGTCCGACGTCTCTCCCAATTATATGAAAATTGGTCTGCCGCTTGCCTTCGTAAGGCAAAAAGCCTGTGCCCCACCCCAAGGCATAATGCGACAGCGCTATGCCAAACCTCCTGGATGGAGAGCAACGGCCTGCCTCTGTCTATTCCTGACTGCCGCCGCCTTACGCATCAACGTAGATCTCGCGAGGCCCTGCCTTGGCCATCAGTCGAGCGGCCAAATTGACAAAGTCTCCGAGGGCTGTGTACTCCTTCCGCAGGTCGTTACCCACGGTCTGTACAACAGATGTAAGCGTAGTGCATCCGATTGTACGGCTGGAGAAGGCACATGGCTGGTCAGCCGATGTTGCTAAACAAGCTATAATTGCAAGACACCACTCGCAGTGTGTTTCGATACAACACGGACGCCTATAGTCGAGAGTTATTACGTACACCACACCAGACGCGGCCGCTGGTAATCCCGATGCCTGCATCAAGTCCAAGAACCTTCATGCTGTCGATCACCCGCAGTCCTGCCATAATGGCTGAGCAAAATCATATGCATACGCAATGCATACGTGCCACGGCTTTGGCCCTCATCTGCCTTCGCACTGCATTTGAGCAACTTTTGGCTCTGCTATGGATGTTGGTAGCGCCTCATTCTTCCAGCTTTGGCGGGCACCATAGCTGTTCTACCGCTTCCCGCAGTTTCACCTCTGACGGGGTCGTCCAAATGGTACACGGGTGGCAAGCCAAACATGACGAGAAGCAATACGCCCTTGTCATCCACTAAGAACTTGTTGACGGATCCTTCCTATGAGAGACAAAACGAGTCTAGCCACATGCAAGCTTATGACTGTCCCTTTAAGCAAGACGCGACACCCAGACAGTCTACATAGCAGGCAGGGTCTTAGGGGCCAGACTTAGGTCCGCGGCAGCGCACCATTGTATACGCTGCCCTCTGAGTTATCTTCATAAGCTTATGGGCAATCTGGCTGCCAGTTGGGGAGGACACGTCAAGTCCACGAACACAAATGAACATAACAGACACCTGAATAGGACCAAAGACAAGCAGTGCCAGTGTGTCACTCCTTCGACCCCTCACGAATTCGCAGCACCACAGCATACATAAGCAGCTTATGGGTAGCGGGCCGGCACATCACGCGAGCCTCACGATTCGCAGCTCGTTTAGAAAGACGTTGCAGCCGGACTTAAGTCGTCTGAAAACGGCAGGCGGGATGTATCTGGGGTCACGTACAAGCAGCAAAGCACAAAGCCAATCTCAATGCTCTTCAAATATGTTGCCAGCCGCAACCAAATCTACTTGGACTACAGCAGTGCGTAGAAACTTAGCTTTCCTGCCCCTCCCTCGTTCTTGCCATCCGATTATGGAAAACTCGGGGAAAAACCCAAAGGGCCAATCAATACGTGTACGTGGTATGGCCAGCTACCTTCGTAGGAGATCGACATCGTCAGCATCTACTTCAATAGCAGCTAACGGCGGCGGAGGATCCACATGCCAGTCGGCGAGCTTATGAATAGCAGCTAAATCCTCCTCTTCCTCTTCGTTATCTTGGGCCTCTGTTCCACTAAAGTGGCTGCCGCGCCTTCTCTCCTGCTCTAAACGAAGTAAGTCATCTGCGTGAGGCAAAAGCCGGTAGAACTGGCGGCCAGGTGGGGAGTCCTTGACAGGCTCAAGGGAAGCAACACCATGCATTGCAGCCGCCATTGTTGGAGAAACCACCGTCTCCCCTGCGCCAAATTTCACCGTAGGCGTGAAGATGCCACAGAAGACCCTAATGGAAACGACCTGATGGCCATTTGGCTAAAGAAAATCGTGTTCTCAGAACATCAGCAGATCTGTACTGTATAACGTGGATATGTACAAAACGCAGGTTTGATGATTCGCCGCCTGTAGCATTGCGCATCCTTAGAGTCAGACAGTGAACGGTGCTGCCTGATGAAATGCTCATGGTGAGCCGAGGTAGTCTTTCTGACACTGCACTCGAATGTCTACACACGTGCCTGTGCTGGCGAGGGGCTCCGCGATCGAAATCTCCTCAAGGGGAGCTCCCGCCACCACATACTCCCACCGGTCCATGATGCCACCAACCTGAAGAAAAAGACCACAGGCGCATGAACACGGACGGCAGCAGTGGTAAGTTTCCACATGGAAGGAGTCTCTGTACGCGTGTACTTACACAATGCGAGGGCGGACTGTGCAGAAATTAGAAACCCATGCCTCTGTTTTCTATGCATCAACATCGTAACGTTTTCATGCGCTTTTTCTGATCTCTGTGTTTAAAGGATCATTATAAGACGCTACAGAGTGCAATACAGCCAAGCGCTGGGCCCCTCTTCTGGTGTCGCTAAATGAATCTATGCCTCCTCAGCACTCAGGGAAGCAACTGCCATGCGCAGAAGCAATGCCTTTCGATGAAGGTCACTGACCTGAAGAATGGTGACAAGGCCGAATCCGGCTCCAATGTGAAGTGTCAGCGTCTTCCCTGCGAAACCTGTGGGGTACTTATGAAGAGACTGATGCAGGTTCATGCAGCACTTAGCCGCCATTAAGCAGGCCTGCCTGGCATCGACCCTGTATTCGTCGTCTTCTGTAGCGCCTGCATCTTTTTCAACACTCCGCAAACATAGCAACTAGCATGTCTCCACCAAGTGCCCTTTCTCAGAAAAACTGTACCAGGGAGGGAGGGACCAAAAGAAATTGGGGAGCTACGGCGACGGCATGGCGCCTCAGGAACGAAAAGACGCACTCTCTCCTTCATTCTCTTCATCGTCTACTGGCCACACTATTGTCAGCGCATCGCCACTAAACTTGATAATATCACCTCCCCAAAAGTGCACAATTCGAATGATCTTGTCGAAAAACTGATTGATAATCTGAAGGGAGCGGACGCCAGAAAACACACTTCCGGCGGAGCGCAAGCCGTGCACATTCCAACGAGTGCAGATGCAATTCGAAGCCAAATAGAGTTGAAGCTAGGGCCTAATGCTGTGCGTCTGCAGCCTTCAGTGCTTCACACACGTACGCCGCCAAGTCGCTCCGCTCCATTGGGTTGCGTGTCCAGTGCCTCCGTTAGAGCTGTGAAGCCACTGGCGTCGCAGAAGACCTGCAATGGTCCAAGCACGTCGCAGGCATGGCTGCACCCGCTGGCAATCATGATGCACGAGGCCGCAATGCCCAAAGTCAAAATCCCGATAGACAGGTCCCCTGCAGGGGAGCTGTGGAAACTTAGAGCTGTGCATTAGAGGCCACAAAGCAGGCGGTGGGGGCTATCAAAAAGAAGTGTCAGTTCCGTTCGCAGCGGTGAAGTCGGGAGGCAATCCCAACGGAAGCCTATAAAACCTAAACAGCGAAGCAACAAAGGAGTGACCAAAAGGTGTTGAGGTAAGAGTTTTTGCCTTACGACGGCAGCTGTAAACCGTTCGACTTGCACCTCGAAGTCGTCCGAATACCTGCGCATAGCGCACGCAGTCAAAAATACTGTTCCTGCGCCCTTCTCTAAATGCATCTCGGTGCATGGGTCAGTTGAGTCGGCGTGCGAGTGCGAGACATGATATAGGGACAGTGATGTCCGTCAAATGCGAGCTGAGTGCAGGCGCTTCACAACTAACCTGATGCGTCTGTCCGCAATGGCCTCCAGCACAGTCCTAGGCACGAAACAGGAGAACTGCTTGACGTCCAGTGAGTGCCCTTCGACCGCAAGGCAAAGAAGCTACACTATTCCCAGTAAAATTCAAGTCTCTGGGGACATACGGGGATGAAGCGCTAGCGCAATGAGAGAGCACAACAACCTTGTTGTGGGCAGATGCAGCCAAAGCGCAACGCCGATCGGCGGCAGGGGCTAGGGCCCTGTGCATGACAGACGTCATCGTTAAGCAGCACGGCAAAACGAGAAGAAAGCCACTATGCCGAACCAGTGAATGCGCGAATGCAAGTCTACACGCGCCCGCCGAAGGCCAGTTTACCTAACGTGTCTGCAATTTTCGCCTGTTTGGCGGAGCGCTGTTGCATGGAGGCATTTAGGCGGCGTTCACAACGTAGAGCAAGCCACCGCCAGTCCTGAGACACCGAATCTCCCTTGAAAGGTAGAAAAGAGACACGCAGAGATGCAAAAAAGGCAGTGGAAGTAGCCATTCTCGGGCTGTGGGCCTCTTATTGCCGCGAGGCAAGACCGCGCTGCTACTAGCGCGGTTTTACGGAAGGCATTTTAAAGGCGAGCAGTCAACTAGCCCCACAGAGAAGGGCAAACGCGCAGCAGGCGAGGGGAGGACGCACCTGCGGAACAATGGAATCTGATGCCTCCCCAATTGGAGGAGGCCTTTCGGGAGCTCGCGCATGCCGCACCATGGTGTCCGCATTGCCGGACTGCAGTGCTTCGTGGAGGCCGTCAGCCCCGACCGTCAAAATTCCCCCTACCAGAGAAGTTCAGACACGCCTCAGACCTCCTCATGAGACGAGCGAGCAACTAAATGCACCCCCCGCCACCCAGCAACAGACAACAGGGCTTGTGTTAATGTCTCCCAGTGGCGGCCAGCTGCGTTGGGTGCGAGACAACAACGCCGTCCAAGACGGTATTACTATGTGCAAGCTACGCGTGATTCGTATCGACAAGAAAAGGGATCAGAGCCCGTGAGGCCTCGCTAGAAGACAGCGAACGTAAGTAAACTTTGCGGTATTGGCGAAAAGTGCTCCCACTGGCGAGAAAACGAACGGGCTCGCAGGTGCAACGACGCACACAGGCGCACGAAAGAGCCCTCGAAGTGGGGCATCTAAAGTAAGGCAGGCGAGTTCGTGGAAAGGTGGTTGTTGAGGCTTGCTACCGAACACGCCTTAGAGGAACGCCCGTTGTACGGTTACCCCACCCCCCTAAATTTGCGGCTCATCGGACTCAAACCACACCCCAAGTGCGCCTTACCATAGTTTTGAACGGTATGATGTAGGCGGTTCCCCATGGAGTACTGGGATGTTTCTATCTAACGGCTTGCTGTCAATGGAGGAGAGGCGCTGCTTCGACAGGCTGCAGTTGCGTCTCAACTCGCAGGGCTTCGGCTTCAGTTCCCAGTCGAGATGCATCACTGTTAGCTTGGTGTGAGAGTCTCTCTCTTCATGGGTTCGCTTCCGGTGATCCTACACAGAGTGACGCGATCAGGGTATTCGTTCTCAATTAGCTGTCTGCTGCGGAGGGGACTCGCCGGTGTGATCTAGCAGGGACTTTCACAAAGGTAAGTAAGTTCGAAAATAGGGACGGGAGACTATCAAAATTATAATGTTTCTCTGCCGCGGAAAGTCGCTATCCGGAGTGCCACGCAGCCGCCCCGGTTTCGATTGACTCGAAAATTGGTATGAGCGCAGCGGGTGTTAGGGCATAGCACTTCTACACCCTGTCTGTTCAGCGCCTATACTACTTTTGAATTTCATTTTTTTAAAGAAGTCCTCAAGCTTTCAGGATTCTTCAGCGAGGTTTGCGAGAGGCTCACATTCAATGAGGCGCTCGCCGCTGGCTGCCACAGCCCCGATACAGCCGCATGCGTAACACAGAGACTCCCGACCTTGCAGCACGGTGGAAAACCGTGCACGCGTGTGGTAGAACCAAATGCACAACGTACCAACTCGTACATGTACTCATAGAATCCAGGGAACACTGAGAAAAAGGCGTTCCCCGGGCACATTGGTGCGTCCTGATCTCCCAGCGCATCTACACGGCTTATTCTTCGATGTATCCAGGAATCTGAGGTCGTCCACTTTCATGTGTCTAGGGCACTGCTGCAATAATGGCTCATAAGTGCAGCTTCAGCAGGCCCGCCACCGTCACACGGAGAGCAGATCAATTCTTTCTTTGGGATGCTGCTAGCGCTGTTGCACTGCGACTGACGTCAACGCAGGATACAGATGATCTCTCCGCGTGCCCTTTGCTCGACTGAGTGCACCGTAGTGCCCGGAGTTATCTCCATAGTCCAGGCAGAGGGGGCTTCGTCCGTGGCATGCAGGCGAGTCAGGCGTTTGGGAGTGCCCTGTGCTCACAGCCTTAATCCCCACCCTCTAGCTCACGAAAAAGATGAGTTGGCTCCTTGGTTGTCAACTAATAATAACACAGAAAGGTCTCAAACTCTACGTGGCAGTTTGTTGATTGCTGGAGTGTAACTGGCGGCCTCCAATTCCTGGGAGGGCAAGGGGGCGTTTGGTCGTCAGATGCGTTGATGCCACCGAGACCAGTTCAGCCTTCCGCCTTCTGCCTCCTCAAATCATGTGGCAACACTTAAAACGAGGAACTCGTTGCATCCCTTGCAAAGCGGAGGATCCGCGCTTGAGAATCCCCCACGGATGCACCCTGGTCAGCCGCTTTCCGCTGCTGCACCACATCCAGGCGCAGGCCGAGGCAAGATTGCTTTCTTGTTCGCGGTTAATTTCGAGAAAGTGTTCAACAAGTGCAAGCAGGGGGGTCCCCTTCTTCTTGTCTGGAGTGGCTCGTCAGGCCGCTGACAGCCGGCCAGAAGCTTTGTGGGGGGAAGAAACTGTGAGCACGACGGAAGGAACGGATGTCTGTGTCACTGTAGCATCTGAACTGCCGCCTTCCCAGTGTACTCGTCCTTTTTCCGACTCCGGAATCGCGGCTTCCTCTGAAGGGACCCCAATAAATAGAGATCCGGATCTCCAACGATTGCAGAGCCGATACGACTCCCTCCTGCGTAATCCTGAGATGTTCGGACTCCAGGTTCGCTTCCTTCACTCCGTTATCCAAGAAGCTCAGCATGCAAACAGTAAGTGCAGCTATTTGAAGGAGGTAGCGGAGCTGCAAGAGAGGATTAGAACGCCAGGAACAAGCGCATGTTTAGAGGTGCACCCCGTCGTTTACGCAGCGTTCTGTGTGTACTCCCCCAGTCACATTCTAGTAGCAGTTGCTAAACGTGTAGGGGCTGCAGAGCACTTCCTCCGTCAGTACAGGGCTGCGAAAACTCTCAGAAGACCTAGAAGGCAAGCGGGCGTCGCCTGCAGCGCTAACGGTCGAGTCAGAGGCAGCGAGCAGTGGCTTCAGGACGCCTCGCTCCAGAACATTTGTGTGTATCCCCTCGAAGCCCTTGCTCCTAAGCTGCGCCTTTTCCATTCATCGGCACCACTGCGGTTGGCCGTTTGGGAAGAAATTCTTGTGAAGGCACTCGCGCACTAATATCTGTTTTCGCCTTTGGGTAGGCCCTTAAGCTCCGAGTTCACTGAACTGGCTGCACTGGCCTGATTCTGCTCTCTGCCTTGGAGCACCATGCACTCTAATGGAACTCTCAAAACGTCTGAGAATCTTGCCCTAGAATTAACCTCTCCTAGCATAATGACCAAGGGGTTCTCTAGTGCGAATTCCGGGGGGCCTGCGAGGCACAAGTGTAGCCTTTCTTCAAGAGTTTACGCAGTACACCCAAGCAGTGCGTTTGACGCCCTCAGAATCCACCAGAGCGGTCATGGGGGTGCTCCACTATCTACAATACTGCACTGATCAACGCCATTTCTGAAGTCTCGCACGGCTCGGCGGCTTCCTATGTGTCGGGCTAACCTATACATAAGTGTTATCCATTGTATCCTATATTTGTGCAAGATATAGTGTAGAATTGATTAGTTGTTTTATCTTCTCGTATGTGTAATTGCGAAATAGCGTGAGCTCGTTGCAACAGGTCGCAATGCTGTGCTTGTGCACTAGATTTTGCGCGTACCTTTGCTGTCCTTCTTTCCTATTGTACGAGCTTCGAGGTTCGCTAAAGGGAGCAGGACGGTACTCTTGTGGAAGGGAACTCAATGTGCTCCGAACGTTTTAGTTGAATCTGGAGTTCAGTGTCTCTATAAGAAGAACTTAGGTCGAGCTTTACACCCTGCTTGCCCGTATATTTACTGAATGAACGAAGAAAACGACCCGGGAGTTCTAAAACATGTAACGTTGGTGTGGGATCTGCAAGACTCGCGAACTCGTAATTGGCGCCGATAGCACATGGGCCATCTTGATCCTTATGGCATTCTTGGCTGGGCACTGGCTTCACTCGTCCAGTGAGTAGCGTTAATGGTCCGAAAGAGAATCGAAGGGCTGCAAGTTTTCTGTAGCCTGCACCCTTGCGCTGTTCAAGCAATAAGTGGGGCGTAATTTGTGCGTCAGTCTCTTCTTGATCCTTGCACATTCTCCACGCACCACCATCACAGCATCTTGAGGGCAGACAAAGCCTTTCATTAGGGCAAAGGGGCAGTTTGAGGTTCCGGAGACCCCACTAAAGCAAATCGCACAACAACAGATGTGCCTTCGTCCAGCGGCATTGATCATTTTCAGGCATGCTTACCCAACACAAAAAGCAGAAGTCAACGAGTCGCAAATCATTGTGTCGGTCTATTCGTGTATTTCACCCGTAGGTCTACCTGCACATGAATCGACGGTGGGATTCGGCTGTATGGCCAAGTGGTCTTGGGCGTTTCATTTAGGCTGCATTCCTCGCGGGCTTGGGTTCAAATGGCATTTCAGCTCTCATCCTTGCTTTTTAAAAGCCTGTTATGGCTTATCTTGTTTGTTTCGTTCACCAAGTAAGCATGATGTTCAACGAAACTTCCGACTGGGGACAGTCAGCGGCCTTGTGGGGTCTGCCATAGTGTTAGCATGAGAAAACCTTGCATTCACTTATAAAACCAGCAGGAGGCATTGGTTATTAGCCCGAGAACTCGGATTAATTGCAAGGGGCACAAGCAGCTCATAAAGAATCCAGAGACTGCTCGAAACAGCGGCCTCGAAAATTGGCTGGATGGCCGAGTGGTCTAAGGCGCTGCGTTCAGGCCGCAGTCCTCGCGGGCGTGGGTTCGAATCCCACTTCAGTCATTCTTGATGCTTTTACCGAATTTTTATTGATACATCTAACTGTGGCGCTGGAATCATCATACTATCAAGGTTCGTAACTCCAGTTTGTTTTGGACTTTTGCTTTCTGGGAGGTGATCCCTTTGCATTTAGCATGCATGCTGTCTTGAGTTGTACCGCGTAATCCTTCCGTCTCTTGTGCATACACTTTCGCGAGAGTAGTGCAGCGAATAGGATTCCGTCAATGAACTATGCTCTTGGCGCCCATGATACGTGTAAAAGTCTCTTGATGGAAACAGGTTTCAAGCATGTGCAGAAAATACATGACTTGTTTTCGGACTATTTTCGTATTTTCTATCTTCCGTTCCACGATATTGGTAGACTTCTCGCGGCTTCGCGTGCACTTGTACTGCAATTCCTGCCGGTTGGACGCGCCACCCTTTTGATGGCAAGATTACTGCGTGATTCAGATTCCATGTAAGAGTTCAACATTGGCAGGCTGTCTGCCAGATTGTCATTCCTGAATTTCCCATTCTATTTAAAGGTTGCCAATTCGAGAGAGAATTCAAGACTTAGCTCGAGTCTATTATTGCTGCCCAAAAAAGAGGCCCTTAAGCGCTTCATGCCAAGCTGACGTTAAACCTACTGCCCCCTTTACTCGCTTGCGGGGGATGGGGGCGTGGAGATACAAAGGACAGTCGGGGTAACAGGTTATCATGAGGCCCTAGTATTCCTGGCATCTCGAGGGGCCTGTGCGAAGAAAGCGGTCGAGTGATGGGCGTGCAGTCACCGGCCATCAGGGGGAGCCATGGTTAGCGCTTCCTTGAGCCGTTGCAGCTCCTTGGCCGATGGCACTTGTGGCCTCCTGAACACCAGCGCATGCAGCACTCAGCATCTCCACTTTACCACTGTACTTGCGTAAAGGAAGCTGCGATAGCATTGGCCAGAGGGTCTGGGAGTCTAAAGGTTAATATGCCCACAACAGATTACTTCGTGAGCTACTGCATTCACTGTATGAAACAAGGTTACGGGGTCCCCTGAGGGGCAGTAGTAAGCCTCGCATTGCACCGCACAAGCCCTAGCTAAAGGAGATTTACAGGGTCTCTTCAGGTAGGAGGTCGCCCTCTGTTCGGCTGGTGAGCTCTTGCACGTGGAGCTTTCCCTTCCATGGCTGATTTAGCGTGACATTGTATCTGGTAGGCCGGCCACACAAGCGCACGAGTGCAAAACGTAGACAGCGCAACACAAGTGCTCACCACACTTCAAAAGGCACCTATATGTAGGGGCAAACAACAGCTTGTCTAAATAATGTACGGAACATATGCATGGGAGCACTACAATGCCCGAATCTTCAGCTCTGGCGCATTGTCACGGTCCCCAACAAGACCTCGGCGTGCAAGTTGGGATCAGTCCTTACTTGGTGGGTGAGAGTCCAAAGGCTGTGGGACTCAAATAGTGCAGCGCTACGTTGATGGGTTTCCTTCTGCGCCACATCGCAGCTAGTGGGGACCGAAGGACCTGCTTGACTCCTGGAAGCTGGCCCAAGAAGGTTCGAGCTGCCTGTGCAGTCTTTTCAAGGCCATGCCAGCCCCTCAAAATGGCAGCGCCTTGCGGAGTAGCCAATAGTCTGCTGCTGGCGTTTTGGTGGAGGCGCTGAAGGAGGCTGAGGCCTTGTTGTTGCTGCTGCTCTACCCACAGCAGCTGCTGCTGCTGCAACGCGGTAGCGGACAGCTCTCGAAGCGTCCCCAGCAGCAGAAGGCGTTCACTGGCAGCGGCTCGCTCCACAGCGGCAGAGACCTCCATGGGCATTGCTGCTCTGTCCGAGGTTGCACGCAATTGGGCGCACGAGGCGGCCAGCAACTGCTGCAGGGCCTCCGAATCCATCGCGCGAAGAAATCTTTGAATGAAATGTTCGAAGTTATCGGCGGTGCGCCGCATCAAGTCGGAAGTCCGTCTGCACAGAAGCGCAGGCAATACACCACAGGCCTCGTGCCGCGAGTGGCCCCGAGGATCGCCGCTACGACAGTCTCAGCAACTGACACATACATACTCGCGAGCGGAGCACTACGCTCAGCTCTGGCGTGTGCACCCACCTCCAACCCCGCCGCCCGCACCCTCTCTATGGAAGGATCGCCTCTGTTTGGATACGCAGTAATGCCCTGAAACGGTGCTCGCTTTGCGTCCTTACTGCAGCGTCTACTTGACGCTTTACTAGCCCACGCCCTCCCGCTACAATCCACAAGCTGTGGCTGTGGCTTACCTGGATAATTCATAGAAGTTATGCCGCTGAATCGGCGGCGACCCTTTCGGCCTCTCTGGATCCCTCTTGCCACTCAGCAGCTGTTGGAGAAGCAGCGCAAAACGTCGAACAGCGAGAGACCGCAGGGCCTCCAGCTGCAGGTGGTATAGCGTCCGTAGCTCTGAGACACACCCCGAAAGCTGCAAGCAGAGGGACGTGGAGCCACAGAGCGCTGAACGGCTCTAGAAAGCACAGAACCGCTACAGCCTAGAGCAGAGCAAAGGGCCTTTAACAGTCACACGGGGTGGCAGGAAGACGCGATGCGCACCGGTAAGGGCTTCGTCCTGCAGGGTTTGCCGTATCTCTAAAATCGATAAGGCCTCGGTTCCTTTTAGATAGCTTTCAGCATTGGCGGTGCACTCCGCATCGAATTCACGCAAGAGGCCCCGCAGCAAAACAAAACCTTCGGCTGGACCTGGAGTCTCAGCCAGCTCTGCTCTAAATCTGCACGCAAATAGACCAGAAGCGCACTGCCGGTTGGGGTGAGGCCGCTACTGCTCCGAACACCTTCTTGCCATGTTTGCCTCTTTGGCTGTGAACGAAGCTGCCCCGCAAGTTGCTTCTCTTGCGTGGTGACATGGCAGGGCCCACGGCGACAGCTTTATTATCTCGTTGCGCTGCACACCTGGCGAGAGCACGCCGTCTGCATGCCTCTGCATTGAAGACAGAAGCTTCTGCTGGGGGCACCTCAACTGCAGCAGCGCCAGCAGCGGCAGGTTCTGTCAGGGTCTGCGATTGCGTGGTGGACTGAAGGCTCTGTACGGACTCGGGCAGAGCCAGCAACACCCGGCAAGCCCTCTCTGCTGCGTCAAGCAGCTCCAGAGCGTTGCCGCCTCCTGCGGGGCTTTCTTTCTTCGTCGCGCGGTGCTGGTGTTGCTCTGCAGAGTCCAGTCTAAGGGGCTGATCTCGCTGCTGCGTTTGTCGATGCTTCGACAGGGCAGCCTCGGGTGCTCGCAGCTCCTGCTCCCTCGCGCAATGCTGCACCAGCAGAGACTCCAGGCACTTTTGTACGGCAGAAGAACAGTCTGTCATGGGCCTTGCTCCGTCAGGCTGCTCCTGGTGAGAGGCGTGAGCCTTGAGAGCCTCTGGATGGCCACGCCAGAACACAACATGCACAGAATAAAGCTCACGCAGGGAGGGCAGCCGGAGGCTCGCCTGAGTTTGTTGCTCTTGCTGCCCCGTGGAAACCTCCATCCCAGACTCGCCCGCAATAGCCTGCCACTGGCCTTCCAAGAGGCGCAGAGCGGCGTAGGCAGCGTTGCGTCTTAGGACCTCTGCTGCTGCTGCAGCCGTTCCGTCGCCCTCCCCTGAGGCTTGAGACTGTCTCCCTGTCTCTGAGCTGCAGAGCTCGGGATCTCTGAGCAGCAGCACTATGGGCCTTGTCGTGTTCGCTGCTGCCGCAAGAGTCGCCGTAGGTGCACGGGCCGCCTCTGTCTCTGCCTGCTGCAGCATGCGCAGCTGCAGCTGCAGCTGCAGCGCGGCGCGTAGAAGGGGCAGGGGCTGCTGCTGCAGCGCCAGCGACACAGGGGAGTCCAGCACCTCGAGCGGCAGTGGCAACACCAGCATATCCCCGCATGTCACAGCAGCGCCAGCAACGGCCGCTCTGCCTGCGGCAGCCTCGGCTCCCTGCTGCATCCAACCGCCATTCACGGCAGGGAGATGCAACACCACGGGAGATCCGACGGCCTCTCCCGCGTTCCGCGGCAAAGGCTCTGAAGAATTCCTTGCTAGCTGCCAGAAAGAGAATACGCGCATGGCAGGCCCTCGCCGCACTACAGTCGCACTGGCTTCTGCCTGGGCTGCACATTGCTCTGCCTCCACGACAGAAGCCCCCAACAAAGCCTCAGAGGCTATCTCAGACGTCTCGCTGTTGAACAGCACATAGCATGGCCGCCTACTGCCCAGGAGATGCTGGCTGCGCTGCTGCACGGGCGAACTGAGGGGATGCTGAAGACTGCTGCTCCTGCAGAGGGGGGCCCTTATAGGGCGCAGAGGCCCGTGCCTCGGGCCTGCTGGAGCAGCAGAAGCCAGGGGCCCCCTCGACGGAGACTGCCGAGCCTCGGCCACCCCAGAGTCGCACTGCAGCAGCACAGCCATTAGAAGACAGCCCAGCAGCAGCACCAGCGAAGAGGAGGGGCTTCTTCTAGGCGTTCCTCGGAGGCGCAGGCCCTCGCGTCCACCAGAGCCATTCTCTGTGCTGTCCATTATGTGGGTGGGGAGGGGGCGTCGCATGCAGCAGGGTAGCCGACTAAGAAGGGTTGAGGGCAGGAAGGGACAGCTGCCGCGTGAGGCGCGAGACTGATGCTGCATGGCTGACTAGAGGGAGTGTGCCTGCGTGGCTCCCGGGGTGGGAGGCCTCCACATGGCGACTTAGCGCCTGTTGCTGTCCTCTATGCCTTCTGATTACGCATACGAGTGCCTGGGGCTTGTAGGGGGCGGGGGCAGGCGCTGCGGCAGCCGCGGGTAGACAAAACCTTGGACTCGGGGTTAATGCCTCCAGGCGAAAAGCGTTTTTCACTGTAGGCCTACAGAGAGGCGGCAGGGGGGCACTGCGCGAGAGCCGTATACAGGGTAAGGCGTGACCTGCGCCGACACTCGGCCAGTGATGTGCCTGCGATGTGTCCTGCGTGCATGGGAGGATTCGTCCGTGGGAATGCAGATAATGCATGAAGAGTGCTCTTGTGGTGAAAAAATTGGTCTCTCATTGGAGTTGTTGGCGTTGGAACCGAAGGGACGTGTGGGGCTGCCAGCACAGCGAGGATCGTGCGTGTGTCACCTCTGCGCTTCCGAGAACGCGCATGGGGTCCCTGCTATGGCCCGACTATTAAGCTTCTTGGCGAAGGCTTGCTTAGGCATTTGTCTGCAGCTCTCCCAACACATCAGGGGGTGTTCACACAAGGAGAAAATACAGGGGCAGTGGGCATGGGGCTACAAGAACTTCTGGTTGCAAGGAGGCCTTTAGCGGGTCTCCGAGGCCCTCTAAAGGCCTGTGAAAGAAGCAATCTCACATCCTTACCAACTCCGAAGAGTAAACGCTTCTACTTCCGTAGCGCGAGATGAGTTCCACTGAAACCAAGATACACGCTTCTTTGACGGCCCGTATGCAGACACACAAGGAGTGCTCTTCGCTGTGTTCCATAGAAGCAACGGAGAGGTGGAGGCGCTGCATGCATCGAGACAGATCAAGGAAGAATTTCGGTTGCCTTCCCGGTGACTTGCAACTACCAGCTGTTCCCCCCTTCTGGGAAGGCCTGGTGACCTCGGCCTCATGTCCTCAGCCCACGCACTCGTCGCCTGCCTTAATCGCTTTTCGATATAAAAAGGGGCTACGGCCTTTCTTGGCCAAAAACTTAAACGCGCATTTTTCCCAAGTTGCTGGTGGAATGCGTTGTACTCCGTACTGTGCCGGCCATGGCAGGAATACATACCCTTAAGCGGGAGGGCTTTACGCGGGGCCAGCTAGGCTGCGCTCAAACGCCTTCTACTGGGCTAGCTATGTATAGCTAGAAGTTGGTAACGACTGGACCAACTGGTTCTTCACTTCATACACCTTCTATTATACTAGTGGCGCACAAATACGTGTCAGTAACGATGCAGCAATGTAAATTGTCCTCATCCTTTTTGCTGTAAACTCGCGTTCGCCCTATCCGACAAAACGCAAGGCTGTGCGCGTGTGCGCTAGGTGTTATGTGCAAGTAGCTGTGTATACTCGAAATGCTTACAGAGCGCGGCTGCGCCCGCCAAAGCCATCCTTCCCCCTCGCATCGCTAATTCTGAGGGACGCGGGAAGGTGAAGAAGAAAGTTTTCCAAGAAATAAGAATAAGTTCCTATCAAGTTTTTGTACTCTGGATTCAAGTGTCCCTCTACAAACACAGATGGAGCGTTACACAGTTGGCAAGTCGTGATCGCAAATAGAGAGCCTCTTTGCTCTTGCATTCACCCATCAACTTCCAAGAAAAGATGCTGGCACTTTAGCAGTGGATCTACTAGGGGGCATAGGGTGAACGTTTCATTTTAGACGGCCGATCATGGGGATTTCGACCTTTAGGTGGATACGCACGGAAGACGATACCCCATCCGGGAGATACCAAAATTGAATTTAAATATGCAGGCCAAAGTCCTCGGTCTACCGCCACCAAAAGTACAAAAAAAGTCTCTGCTTGTCCCTAGGCTGGAAAGGCCATGCAATGAGAAGAATGCCAGCCGATGCAGCCGGCGCAGCCGGGCACTTTTAACAACGAGTTGGCAGATGCAGTCAGCAGGAGGAACGAGGAAACAGGGGAGGTACGCCTTTGGGGAAGAGACACTCTAGCTGTAAACTGGGATGCTCAGGCATACCCAGTGCCTCGTTTCAAACCCCTCGCACGATTCCATCTATTGGCTAGCTGGCCTCATCCGCCTCTTCACTGCTTGGCGACCCGTATTCTCCTAAAAGGGCCGAACAGTCACCCGAGGGCTGCGGCTGCGGCTTCCGGACAACTACCAGTTTTGGAGCCGCCACACAGACTCCCAAACCAAAGTTTAGAACTTGCTTGCTGCTTGCTTCATGCAACTTGGCGCCATGTGGTGTGGACGCACCGCAGACGGCAGCGTCATCCGCTTCACTGCGCCTGTTACTCCCACAAGAGCTGCTGGTGCTAGTACTCGCACTGCTTGTGCTCGGCCTTCGACCGCCTCCCTCACCCGCCTCAGTGTTACTACTACTACTACTACTACTACTACTGCTGGTCGAAGCATCGCCTCCTCTAGAACTCGAGCTGTTGCTTGTGCTGTTCCCACCTGCTCCAGTGGAATCTAACGCGGCCATGGGCTCTCCCCCTCCGACTAATTCCTCCTCTGAGGATTCTGCATGCAGGCGCAACGTAGGCCACACCAACACAAAAATGTGCATCAAGCTCCCCCTGGCGTAAATATGCCAAGAATCCGCAGTTATAGGAGACATGTATGGCCCACACACTACACCTCAAACTCCAAGGCCCTAACCCGTGCAGCGGTCCCCTGCCTTTACGGACGTGGATCAGAGTCAAACTCCCTGGCAGCTCTAAAGAACTTGAGTTCGTCCTTTTCCTCCTCGTTCCATTCCTGCCCTCCTTCTTGGTCTCCGTCTTCTCCATTAATGCGGCGCTCCTTAAGGAATGCCAGGGCAGCATCCGAGGCCGCAGTTTTGTCAAGAAGCCGGCGATTCAATCTGCGGAGTTCCGCCAGCTGCTCTAATGCCAAGATCTCCTGTTGCAAACCTTGCCGCGATGCCTCTACTTGAGATACACGATCTGTCGCAAGCTTCTCCTCCTAAAAACACAAAGCAACGACACCAGCAGCGACGCACGAAATTCTCAAGGAGCGCCTGCCCCGTTCGGTGCCCGTAGGAGGCCTCTAGGGGTACCTAAAAGGCGGCCTTCAAGGCCACAACTCCTAGAGATCCATTTCCTGTGGCTCCCCCTCAGACCGGCCTCATATCCGCACTCGCTCGATGTGCTATCCTAAGGCCTCAAAGGTTGATCCTCCTGGAGGACTTTGGGGGTAACAAAGTGTCAGTTTGTTGCTCTAACCCCCCTACAGGCGAGAACGGCCGTCCTCCCTCTTTAAGAGAAGGCAAAAGCCAAGCTCCTCTGACAGACTAAGTGATCAACCCCTAAACCTTTGGTTCATAGCTATGCCTTACCTCCTCCTTCTGCACCCTCTCCGCAGCGAGAGCCTGGTCCCTCAGGGGGTCACACATCCGCGTGCCGCCCCACTCCAAAACGTAGTCACAGTTTTGAGGATCTAAACGAGCCACACATACACACCGACAGACACCAGCTGTATCGCCTAAGAGAGGCACACTACGCGCGCATGTGCGGCGCAGGGTCACTAGAACTTCATCTTCTGAGGACCGCCGTCCGCTTGGGCAGTACACAAGCGCGCACGAGAGGCGCCAGGAGAAAAAACCACCCCTAATTCAGATGCATGGCCAAGATAAAAGATGCCTCTCCCCCCTAGGCTGTAAGAAAACACCGCTCACCTGTTTTAAAGCAAACTTCGGCGCGGCAATGCGGGCACCGGCCATAGAAGCGCCACTTGATGATGCCCAAGTAGTCCTCACCCTGCACACAGAAGAAGAACAACCCACATGAACATGCGCCAAATCCTTCCATAGGCGTGAGGGTACCTTACGAAGCACGCATGCCCTGAGTACGCAGGAGGCGCATACATAGGATGTCTCATGCCCCTGCAAGCCATTATAGCACCATCCACTAAAGCTGCAATGCATTGGATCCTTGAGAGACTGTCAGCTGCCTCGCTGCGGCCTTCTGTGACCCCTAAGACGAGCGCTCTGTTGCGCCTTATTTTCCCGCTTCCTCTGTGCCTTTCCGGGAGGTGTCCTACGCCTTCGTTCAATCACGCAGTTGCGCACACTTCGGTGTGTCCCCGTATCCGCCTCCTTACCTCCACTTTCTCCACCCTGGAGTTGAATTTGGTGCCGACGTAAATAAACTCGCTGCATGTGCCGCATTTTAACGTAAAAGGGAACATCATGCGAACGTTCATGATCTTGTTCTTGTGCCGTTTCTGAGGAGGGTCAAAGACGTCACCGCGGCGCCGCTTCTGCTGCTGCTGCTGAATACGCAAAGCCTTTTTCTTCGCCTGAAGCTTGTCAAAATCAAAGTCCGGAGGATAATACTTTACCAACACCTTGCGGTCCGCCATTTTCGAGAAGCGTACAGGTCACAAGGGCGCTGTAGATTATAGCGGGGCTCGGATTGCTGCTGCTGCGGATGACGATGCTAACGTATCTGCACCTGGTGCCACTCTTGCTAGGATTACTGATGATATTGCTGCAGGAACAGCTGCATCTGCAGCGGCTGCTGCTATTTGTGCTGCTATTCTGGGTGACCTTGCCGATATGCCACCACTTCCAGTCTCGCGTTCCTCTCTTTTTTCGCTCTCATAAGAACACTGGCTCGCAGCCGTTTTATGATTGCCCTCTCTTTCTTTGAACAGGATTGCAGCGGTTGCTTCGGGTAAGGACGGTGCGAGGACTACCGCACTGGGTGAGTATGAAGAGATTGCGATGGAAATACGGGCCGTTTTGCCAGGATCATGCTTTGCATGGACTGAACCGCAAACATACAAGCCTATTTATTTTTAACTCGTTCCTTGAGGCTTCATCAAAGATGGTGGCTCATGGCGTGCATGCATGCAGATTGGGACCCTGGTAGCGTCCGCAAGGCCCCCCTTCATCGTAGAGCGGCAGTTGTCGAGCCCTCTATTTTTTCGTTAAGGTTGTGCTTCGTCCATTACATTGTTGTTGCAAATGGGTCTAGCGCACTGACAATTTGGTGCCTTTGATTGGTTATTCGAGCATTCCTATGCGCGTTCGTAAGGCGGACTTCACGCACGCCGCGGCAACAGGTGGAAATTGCGCGGTTTTGTTGTTGAGAAACAAAGGGGTATTTCTAGTTGTTGAGCCGAACTCGTGTGCCTCGTTGCCGGAAATCCCGGCAGTAACAGCAGCACCGGCAACAGAAGGAGACAATGTAAGCCACGCGGTCACCCTCACAACGCACTATTCGTCATTCTTAATATTATTCTGATGGTCTGACACCTCAATGCCTTCACCGCTCCGCATCGAAGGCCATTAATTTTGACTGTCAAAAGCTTTCAGACACAGCAGTGATGAGCAGCAACTTGGGCAGGTTCCGTTTGATCGTTCCAGCAGCAAATGCCAAGCCATCGCCTTCGATTGGCCAGACCCTGGGCCCTTTGGGTGAGTATTCGCACGTTTTATTGGCATGCGTAGTCTTTGCTTGCGATTACCGTAATGAATCAAAATTGGTAGCCGCCGTGACTTGCTTTGCGCGTTCCCCCAGAATAACGGCTCGTGTGCCACTCGGCTGAGCCAAGTTGCATTCATCCGCAGCCTCTTCAGGTTGACATGTTCGAGCGGTTTGGTGCCTGGACAGTTTATGTCGCTTAGAAGGCGCACGTGCGACACCACAGGGCCTTGTGTGGGGAACAAGCCATGCATTGGCTATCCGCGCCTGTTTGCGATTTTAGGAATCAACATGATGGCCTTCTGCAAGGAATTTAACGCCCGTACTGCCAAGGTGCGCCCTGATGTTCCTGTGCAGGTTACCATTGTGCCAAATCCAGACAGGTGAGTGTTGGATCTCTCCTCAGGGCTTACACCGCGAACTTTCTTGTTGTTCTGTATCGTACGCGTGTCTCCGTGGTTTTTCGGGTTCCGTCCAGAGCACGCACACATTTTTATTGCTGTGCTTCAGAACATTCAAATTTAGCTTGAGGGCCCCCAGCAGCACCTGGTTCCTTCTGCGCACGGCGCGGTGTCCTATGGGCAGCGAACAGGCGGGGAAGCAGGTGGTCGGCAATGTGACTCTGAAGGAGGTGGGGTCGGTGTTATTTTCCCGTCAGCTGTACCTCTGCATCCCACTTCCTTTTCGCTGGGTGTGGTAGGGCGGCGGGCGCATGTGTGCAAATAAGCAGTTTACCAACTTCAGCGGTTGCAGCAGAAGGTGAATTGTTTGGGGTAACTGCGCACGCAGATCTACCACATCGCCAAATGCAAGAGCATGGACTGGCCCCTCATTGGAGTGTCCCTTCAGGGGATTTGTCGATCTCTTATTGGCTCCGCCAAAGCGATGGGCATTGAGGTAATGCTCTTTGTAGTCAGTACTTTGTTCTCGTGCCGCACCCTCACCGTGCCATTTTCTCAAGTGGTCGGCCCGTTTGAGGAATGGGCTCCTTCTCTCGCAACCCTGAGCAGCATCTACTCGTATTTTGTATAGGGGGATATCCCTCAAGTCCTATGAGTGCGTTTGCTGTGCCTTGACTCAGGTGACTCCAGAGCTGCAGCCAGCTTTCAGTAAGCGAGACTACACCCCTGTAGAGAACCTCGAACAGATGAGAAAAGACTTGAGACAGAAGCGCAAAGCTGCACGCAGGGCGAGCGCAAAGTCATAGAGTTTATATGCGGTACAAGACAAAGGGACTTTAGCCGCAGGGAGGAGGGACAACACTGTTTCGCTATCTTCGTGCTAGCGACCTCCCCGTGCTTCGATGTTTTGAAACTTTCACTACGTTACTCATTTTCAATGAAAAAGAACGGTACGATTTTTCTAGCACACAGATTTTTTGAATAGGAGCTCTGAAAGTGCAACCGAGTGCTTTCCGACGATGGCACGGGGCATCCAACGCCAAATGCCACCCAACTGACACTGCTTCTGGCATCCCGGAACCCTCAGCGAGCCTCAGCCTTCTCGCAAGTGTAGGACGACAGAGCAGCAATATGACAGGCATCTGTGAGATCTAAAGTAGCTGAAGTGGCGCTTCTGAGCCTTTGAAAGCCCCAGCGTTGGCCGGGCTAATAGATGGGGCTTCTGTTTCCAGCACTGCTGCTGCCGTGGTTCCCACCAGCGCATATGCCCTTCCCAGGCTTCAGTGCATTGGCGTTAACGGGCAGTCGTTCCCTGTTCTAGTATTCCTATTTAGATGCCACTCAGGATGGACAAGGTGGCGCCAAACGGGCACCAGGTGGAATTGGCGTGGATTTGGAGTGGCGTGCAGACATTGATCAACCAAGGACGAAGAATGTGATGTGGGAGGCGCTACAGCAGCGCTAACGAGCTGCAGGTCGGACGCCTCATGGAACGGTGCGATCGGGCGAAGTGGTGTCGCAGTTACATGTGCAGCACCACGAGATTCCCCAGCACCCGGGTTCGGTATGCAGGCGCGCGTACGCGGTGTCGTACCTGGCCGAAGTCCAGTTATACTCGAAAGCAACGCTTTGCTGGCTACAGTAGCTGAAAATGGACGATGGCTCTGCCCCAACAGTGAAGTGCCAAGGGAAACCCAGCCGCAGCGGCGGGGATGGCTGGTCCATCCAAACTCGGAAGCATGGCCTCGATCGCTTACAGAAGTAGAAATCGTCTTTGAGCCATATACACGACGAAATGTGGTTACACATATGCAGTTTGCATCCCTTTGTCGGGCCCGGTGCACAACGATGAGGTGCTAGCGGCTCGAATGCATTTTTGAACCGCTTACAGGAGAGTATGCTCAGCGGCAGCGCAGAGTGGTGCACTTTTTTTGACTTCAAAATTGACCTTGTAACAGAACACGTGATTTTGAACGCCGCCCATATTGCTTTGTGATTCCTTATCACTATGGCATACAGCTAATGCTTACCGGCGAAGCAACATTACATCATGGCTAGTCCTGGATTTGGAATATAGTGCGCGTAGCTCAGGCGCATTACAGTGTTGCACTTAGATTTACGAATGGCGTAGCGCACGCAGCCTTTAGCCTTTGGCAGCATCTGGGGGAAGCTTACTTCAAGAAAACTTGGCGCTGGTCACGCTTTCGTATAAGGTAGTCTTTCTGCAGTCCTATTCACTTCTCATCCACATTGTTTCCCTTATGCCGAGGAAATCGGAGCAGTATAAACTAAGCTAACCCACGTGAGGGAGCTGCGTTAGCTTTATCAGTCTACTTATTGCAACCTAATCAAGGCAATCCTTTGATTATAGTATGTACTGCCACCCCTTTATGGCAAAAGCCTGATGGGGCATAACGCAGCTCCACGGTATTCAAGCTGTACCATAAAATTTGTTGGGTCGAGCCACAATAGGAGAAGTTGTTTTGAGTAATTTACGGTGGATTTCGGGAGCTCTGTTCTAGTAGCTTTTTGCAGAGTACATTTAGTGACCTCTACACGCGAGGAGTCGGTTAATTTGTTTGTTTGTACTTAAAAGATTGCTATTCTCTGCAACGAGCTGTGAATGCTCGGAATGCTTTCAGAGGGAGCAGCATTGTCCATGAATTCTGGCTGGAACGCTTCATCTAAGATCTCTGTAGGGAGAAACTTGAGCCTCTGTCCTAATACAAATTGAAGTTGTTTAGTGTACCTCAAAGAGCTGCCCGTTTCCCTTGTCCTGGCGCCTCAGAGTTCCTGATATTAGGGGTGAGGTCTAGTTAGGGTGCTCGTAGGTGCACCTTATGACATTCTGGCAAACACGTACACAACCTTGCGTCAAGTTGTTCCGAGCCATCCCTGCTCTGCAATAAATAAAACATGCCAGCGCACAGAAATGAAGAGGAAGCCTTTTAGAAGGCAGGTCGAGGCTTGATTTAAGTTATGCATCGGAGTTAGGGCTAATAAAGTGCTTCCTTATAGAGCAGAGAGAGTGGAGGGTTACCCCTAAAGCGCATTGCCCAGCTTCACGATGTATACCCTGTATATTCAAGCACACCCAAAGCGTGCGGTCAGCTCATTCTAGGTTTAGCAATAAAACATAGTATAGGGTAGCAGTTTAGCCGTAGCACAATACCATCCCTCTTAGTGTACCACACGATGTCCGGTTCCTCTTGTAGTAATTCTCCGCGGCCGACTCAGCAAGCGATTGCATTGCTCTCATCACGGCACCCTGCCACCTTGAGTGCATTTCCAGGGGGTATTCTAAGGAGAGAAGCTGTCCTAGTTCTTGCAGCTGCACTGCATGCGTCTCGCTGCGCGTTCGACGGGGTGAGTTCGTATTAGATTGCTACTGCCTTTCTAGTAAAAAAGAGTTCATCGGCTTCTTATTTGTGACTTAGCCTGCTAATATTTTGCACCAATTGTAAAAACAGCACTCCTGGTGTGTGAATAGCACACGATCTGTCCTCCGTAGGCCGTTTGCCGCATGACCTAGCATCAGGGCTCTCCTGCGCGATCCTTGTGCCGTTGGAGGAGCTGCTTAAGTGCCACTTTTTTCCGAGTGGTTTTCATTTTGGTTTCTGAAAAGTTTTGTTATTACAATACCTATGGTTTGTTTGTTGCAACAATCATTCCACCGAGCTCTGTTTATTTGCCTTCGCCGCAACCAGAACGCGGGAAGGCTTGGCTCAAGTGGAGAGCAGGTGTAAGGAACAGTCATGTAGCAGGAGAACTTCTCGCACGGTCCCGAGTCGGTAGGAAGGGCAATTGTGTTAATTTGTGCTTCATTCGCTGCTCTGCAGTAGCATGAGCAATATTTTGGAGAGGCTTTCGAGTTAGCTTCCCGCGGTTTTACATTCACCCCAACGAAGTTTTAGGCGGCGCCACTGACCATTCAACATGTTCGGGACGATCAGGTGGCTTGAAGGGAGGTCAGGCTTTGCCTGGGTGGTTTCGCTGTTCTTCGCTCAACTTTCAGTTGATGCAGCAGCCGTTGGGAGCTACTGGGACACACCTGGAGTGACCGTGTGGGGATCCAGTGGGTTGCAACAGCAGGCCTATGATACCTGGCCTCTGGTGTACGAGGCTCCCTTGAAGACAACATTCGAACCGATGGGTGCGCATCGAACCCCGGCTTCTTCCATGCCCTCCTCTATGCCACATCAGGTGCATTCACAAGTGCCTGCGGGTCTGCCAGCGCATCAACTTTCTTTATCGGATTTACCTGTGGACGCCGAAGGCACTTCTGCTGAAGAACAGAGAGGGTTTCATCTTGGGAAGTATCAATTTAACCAAAACAAGGGCTCCATGCAGCAAGTATTTTTGGACTTCTTTCGGAAACCCAGACTGTCTAAAGTTCTTTTGGTTGCTGCCGTATTGCTCGTCTCCTTCTTCCTTTTCGGCGTTGTGGCAAAGATCTCTCAGGTCCTCATAGCCATTTGGTTAGCCACCAAGGCCCTGCAGCTCGCAGAGCAGGCTATGGACCAGCCGATGGACTAAACTTTCTGTCCTGACTTCTACCACTGCATTCAGCATGCTACCAACGCATGCCAGCTTTGCCTGAAAGCGAAACAAGTAATATAAGGACTCCAGGAGAACAAATGGTACGGTCGGGAGGCCGCATCTTATGCTAGAAGTGTCGATGCATTGTGGTGCTCATCGAATTCAGAACATCTCAACGGAGAAGTGGCACAAGACGTTTATACACGCGGAGAAGAGTAGGGGTGGCAGCAAGGTTTCTTGCTATGCTGATACATGCTCTATCAAGAAGATTGAGGCAATAGGAGTATTTCCTCGTCTTCTTGGGATCCACCGCTCTCATGGCAGAGGACGGGCTTTGTTCCGTTTCTTGGTTTTTGATTATTTGATTCCCACCTTTGTATTTTTCCATACTATGTGCTTTTCGCAGAGGGGGGTCCGCATGTTTGTTTGCCCCGTCAATTTAAGTAGTTTCGTGAGGGCACCGGCACGCACCTCACGGGACACAACCATTTGTTTAAGGCCCCAGATGCGCGGCGAACGTCACGCTAGACGATTGCTCTTTGCATTCAAAGTTTGTGGTCACGCGCAACGTTGTTATTCTGTATAGTGCTGGGAGTGGCTCGCTACTGTAGTTTTATATCAGGGTGGTAGTTCGAAGTGTTAGGTTACCCTATATTCGCATGAAAATGCATAATTCAGAATATTCTCAAGATATGCTGTTGTTACAGTCAATGAAAGAGGCGTACACTAGCTTGGCGTCGGACAAAACCCGTAGGCTTTTGGGATGCCACCTCATGAACGACGAAAATCGCAGTTACGTTGCAGTGGTGATTGCTATGTTCCATCTAATGTCTCTGTGGGGAAGCGCTAACATCCGGCCCAATGCATAGATGACAGAAAGCTATTTCGTGGTTCTCGAAGGAACTTCTACCTTCCCTGGTCTGCGCCTCTCAGAGTTCCCTAAAGGTGGGAGAGATGTTGAGGGTGCGTGTAGCTGCATACTGAAACCCTCCGAGCATTGGCAGGTAGCTACACATACCCTCTGACGCATACTCACACAACATAGCGTCTTACTATGTCAATCAGAAAGTGCGCCGCAATTGATAGGTTATACCGACGAGGTGATTAGTAAGGTCTTGACCATAAACTAGTTCCGGTTAAATACAACTATTGCAAGAGAGACCATACGAGTGAATCTCAGCCTACTATCTCTTCCCCAGCATTTCGGGAGGTAAGCGCACGTGCTCCGTACCTCTACGTCGAGGCAAACTTCAGGCCCTGTCGCCACCATCCAAGGAATGTAAAGCGCAAAAACAGTGCATTCAGGAGAGGCAAAGTGTATATCAAACGCTATACAGAGATAGACTGAAAAGGCGAACGCACAACAACCTAAAACGAACGATGAGCCAAGCCAACACCCCCGCAAAATCACTATGGCTCGATCTACTCAAAGCGCTAAAGTGCATGAACTTCGTGCCAAACGAAAACACAAGACAAGTAAAGTGTGCAAAGGCTACTAAAATTCACACTAGTTCAGCAGTGCCTGTGAACCCCATAGGGCGATCCCTGCATGCAACTTCAGCCGGTACTTGCACGTAGTCGACTTCAAAAGTCGGAACTGAGACCTAAGAGGGATGTAAAGACGATATACCTAAGAGTGGCTGTGCAGAAAATTGAGGGCAGGGGACACCTTTCCAAAAAATGACAACTTCTGAACCAATACACATACACAAAAAATAGTTTGTTCACGAAGAGTACGCGCTGGGGAAGGACGACTGCCAAGAAACGCAAGGAATACCATGCATGGCGAATAGCGCTGTGAATTAAACAGAGAGCAGAGTTTTTCCACAGGCAGCGGGGCCTGCAGGTGCTCTTCCTTCAAGTGCTGAGATCGGCTTTCCCCAATGCATTTCACTAGAGACACTCGTCGAGTGTGTCCTGGACACTCGCTGCTTTACTCCAGGCACCCCTGCGGCTCCCTGAGTATACTCTGCTTCCACATGGGTTACATTCCGGCCGGCGCGGCGAATTTCCTGAAGGATTCGGGCATTGTTGATACTTCTCTATGAAGCCAATATTGGTAGGTCTGTGGGGCCTCGAGCTTCAAGGGCAATAGATAGACTGAGAAAGAGCATTGATTCGTGAGAGGACCACAGATGGTTAAATCCACGTGGTCGCCAACGCCTTCGTTGGTCGCACGGTGCAGCTCACAAAGCCTGTCAATCCACGAACCAGATATCCAGACTCGGAACACAGAGCACATAGTTGCTAATCATAATTCCGTGCTCGTCTACCCTGAATTTTTGCGCATACATTCTTGTGCATTTGCCATTTTTTCCGTGAGCCCCTGCGCTGCCAAGTGGTGCTGACCTCGGACTACCACGTCCCCTGACCCGGATGGGAATTGGGCATTCTGGTATTAACCAGGAATGCGAGGGTTCAATGGGTAGATGAGTGTACTGTTGTACTGTGACACGATTCAGCAGAGGAGGAAGGAAAGCAATTTAATCAATCTTTTCGTGAACATAGAGTAGTAGATACTGCGGAAGAGCGGGTTTGGTGACTTCTATCTGTCCACCTGCGTTCTGTTGGTTCGCAGTGGTCATAAAATGGTCAATGTGTGGGCAGGTCATACAGGCGTGCCAGGATACGCTTAAAGCCACGCAATCCTATCCGCAATGATACTCCTGGCGAGTTCATAAAGCTTTCAGATATGAGTCCATTTCCTGAGCCGTGACAGCTGGAGCAAGGGAATGGATAAGCATGTTTGGTGAGTATTGGCAGCGACGTGATGCTATCCTAACACACAGCAGCCAGCTTCACATTCAAATCACTCCAAATCATTCCACATGGTTGCACAAATACGGGCTTGGGAGAACAACACAGTTTTAGTTGCGGACAGTCTGGGCATGACAGTGCATACTCCTCTGCCGTGGGATGCATCTCGGACCACCAAGACGACGTTGCGAGGTTTTTCACTGTAAAGCAAATCTGAACATTATCAGAAAGGCGTGATCATGTCCTTTGCTTCACACGGCACTGCGAAGTAAAGTCGCAGTATACAAGCGTTGGAGTTCCTGTTTTGTTTGAACTAGATCGTGCCACGCTCAACCTGGTAGTGGTTCACCTATTCGCCAACCCGAATTTTGGTACTAATAGCGTATGTAAATGCGTCGAAAGCATAAGACACACACAAATTCGATAAAGATTCTGAATTGTCGAAAAAAAGAGCGGTTGTGTTAGATGATCACCTGTCGCTTGGGTGTCGCGAGAGCGCATCAGCGACCATGTCGGTAACGCCCTTAATATACTTCGCCGAAAAAACTTACTGCAAGAGGTGCAGAGACCAGCTCTGAATTCTAGGTTTATCAAAGGTATGAAGTCCTCTCTTAGGGTACATCAACGACTGGTAGTTCGCCTGCAGAGTAAGTGTCGCCCATATCAGTGGTGCTGACATGTTTCACGCTCCCTTTCACCGCATAGAATATCATTTCCTGCAATGGAAACCACTGCTCGGTTTCGGTGAAGCAATACGAATAACAAGCGAAAATTTGGTGTCTTCGGAAACCCGTGTGCTGTTGGCAGAAAATAGGACCAAAAGCTCAGGGACTGGAATCAGTTTTAATGAAGATAAAGCTTCATTAATCCAGCAGCACAAGATCTGGAGGCATTGAAAGGCGGCCAACAAGTGTCCTTGCTACGGAAAACTATGCCCTCTGTGTCCAAGGAATAGGCCGCATGTTCCTGAGGAAAACAATAAAAGGAGTATTGATCTGGGCTGATCCGGGATTGCATTTCTTCGTATATAAATGCAAGTCCATTCAGCTTTTAAATACCCTTGAGATTGCTTAAACGTAGAGGGCATGCCTTGATCAATTTGAATTTTCCCGGAGCTGGCTTGCTTCATGAAACCGTAAAGCATAATCCCCAAAAGAACTATTCACATTGACAGCAAACATTGCATGCTTTCACATTCCATTGCTTGCCTCACAACGGCTAATGTGCTTGAGACCGGATGCAATCCATTATTTGCGGACACTTTACCGGTGCGTTGTTTCCGCGCTGATTTGCTGTACATCCTGGGACCACTTGGCTTAACGCTTAAAGGATGACTAAGATAAACCTCCGATGCAGCAGTTCTTCGTCTATGCCGTGGCTCATGCGGATAATTGCTTCATACCAATTGATGGACTAATCCAATTTTAGTATCCCCTACTGCATCGCTCTTAATTCCCACCGAACTTGGTGTTGTGCAGAACTCAAAATACACTTATAGGTCAGGATTCGCATGATGGCTTGAGGTGTGGAAATTTCTGCAGGCCGACGATTTCCTCCCAGATGGATATGCAATCATTGCGTGCTTGTCATTCCACGAATGTGCTTCGAGTACTGCTCGTTTTTCTTCGTCATGAGGGATAAAGCAAGGTACATCTTTGGCGACAAATGAAGTCTTTGAGTAATCACCCTTCCTTATGTCCGCCGTAGGTTTTTGATAGACATGAGCTTATTGACACATTCAAAACCTTTCATAAGCTTACAAAAATGCCTTCTAACCACAAGCGGAGCTACTGCGCTTAAATTAGCTTAAAAGTCGGCCGCTGCCTCCCCGACAGGCCTTCCACCAAATGCAGCTTTCATCACCAGAGGGTTTGCAAAATTTTGCTTTCAAAAAATTCAGATTACTGAGTAAATAACTGGCTTAATAAACAACAGGCAAACGTTATAGGAAGCTAGTACATCCCATTATATTCAAAACTGGTCGCTGAACGGCGAACAGCTGAATCGGATGCCTCCTCAGCGAGCCATTCAACTCCTAACCCGATTCAACGATAATGGAATCTTATTGCGCTTCCCAGAAGAGCACCGCCCTTCTCTTGCCCATGACACTCAGTGTTCTTGACCTGAGGAAAGAGGGACCGCTAGGATGCGCGTTGCTGCACCCTGTGGGATCTTCGAGTATTGGTAGAAAGTAGCACTGAGCATGTAAAGTACACTCACACAGTATTGCATGTGGTTGTATCCAACAGACAGTCCTCTGCAAAAACTGAGACACATGGGCAGACATGTCAAAGGATAAGCGTTTTACTTATTCTGAGTCAAGCATTACAAATGCACTAGAATGGGTTTAAGCGTAGCTTACCCCGCTAGAAGAGCAGAGAAAGGGGCTATTTGGAATTTCCTGTATAGTATCTAGTGAGACAGCGGGGATTTGTCCTCTTAATCAGACCCCTGCTGTATTCCAGATTAGCAATCCGCTGATACTCCTAATTGAGCAACGAGTAATGAAAAAGTCAAGCTGAACTCGACGAAGGTTCGTTAGACTCGGAGTGGGAACGTATAGAGACCTTCCTCGTCTTGTTTCTCCTTACTGGAGTCCGTTATCCGCTAAATCTCTCATATCTGTTATTTCCATATCGCTCTTTCCCTAATTGAAGCCTAAAGTGTCTGGGTGCCAGGGTTCGTTCAGCGGCCGCTGGGGCTGCAATAGTCGTTGCTTCTTGTTCACCCGAATTGTTTGGTTTTGTTAGAGCCTTTGGGAGACACTGTGGCATTTATTAACATACTTTCCTGAATTATGTGCGTAATTTCAGCAGTCAAATCGCTTCGCATGGAGGGGCATGCCCTCTTTACTGCCCAGCTGGCCACATTGCCACAAGGAGCTTTACGGACGGTGGGAATTCTGCCCTTGCCTGCGCCGTTTCTGCTAGCTGACCCCGAGGCTGTAGTGCACCTTATCGTATAAGGTGTTCTGTGAGTCTTCATTGCCTTCAAAGGCGCCCTGGGACCTTTGAACTGTTCGTGGTCCCCCTGCACTCATCCCCCGCTTCCCCTAGCTAAGGTTCTATAGATGGCTACCGTACGCTCCGGCCTTAGCCGCTTATCGGCGTCTTACAAGGACCTAGGCTACAGCCGACGGCTGTCTTACGTCAGGGGGCTCCCCGCCAGTTTTGGCACTAGCGGCTTCAAAGCAGCGGGTACAGCAGCAGTACGGGGTGGCCATGGCAGTGGAGAGCCGATAGCGTTAAACTGGACGAATTCCTTTTACCTACCCCTTCAATGGAATTGTCTGGCTATGGAATATGCAGTCGACCGCAGACTCTGTGGCAGAGCCAAGGGCCAGTCCGCCGCACATTTGAGCCTGCGGAGCTTCGGCAGTGGCACCGGAGCAATGCATGTGTTACGAGTTCCGCCCCTGGGTGATTCCATCACCGAAGGGACAGTGGTGGAATGGCGCTTTGGGCCTGGGTCTATGGTGCACGCAGAGGACGTTGTCTGCGTCTTGGAAACAGACAAAGTATCTGTGGATATCCCTGCGAAGATTTCGGGCAAAATTGTCAGCATTGCTGTGGAGGTGGGTGGAACAGCATTTGTGGGGGGTGATTTGGCCGTCATTGAACCCAGTAGTGTGGAGACAGGAGGAGAGACAGTTCCTTCCCCTACTCCACCCAGCGGGGCCACCCCCGCACAGCACACACCACCAGCTGCTTCCTCGGTAGCTGAGCCATATGGGCTAGCTGCAAGGGTAAGCACTCCTGTATCAGATGAGCCGCAAAAACCGCTGCGTTACAAGCCACGTATTATGTTCAAAAGCGTTCGCAGCAGGCTGGAACGGCTTGGGCTGCTGCCCCCGCAGCAGCAAGGAGAGGCCCCTCCTGCGGCAGGAGCTCCATGCAAGGCAGCCCCCCCCCAGCAAGGGAAGGGAGGCAGTGAATGGGAAAATGCCGCAGCTTCTGGGCCCAATGCAACTGTTGTGAAGTGAGTCTTGGCTGCTGATGACTTCACGAATGGATGAGTGCCTCCCTATTCTTACCTGCATTCATGGAAATTCGCTCTTTATTGTTAGTGCATCACGTGGGTAAAGGAATGACGGCAGAGCATTTCTACGTGTCTTGGTGTGTTCGTTGAGCCCAAGGCAAATCTAATGATTGCAGAAGTGGCTCTGCTCTGCACGATGCGTGTGCGTGCTATTGTGTCTGCAGTTACAAGGCCATAGAGGACTTGCCCACTTTTCTAATGCGACCGGCCCTTAGCCCGGAGGAGGTAGAGGCGATTAATGAGGGGGGTTTGACGGACGTGGATGCCGCTGCCAGTGCTTGGACTGTATCCCTTGCTTTTCGTCCGGTGGCCTCCAAGAAGAGCTCTAGTTCCAAGAGGTCTTCGGCCTAGGTTGGCAAGAGATCGGGAGTTGCGGACTGCTCTTCAAAGGCTGAGCCGCTCGGGCGACTGTCGTTACTCCTTTCCTATTTTTAGTATCCGCCTGGAAGATGATCACAGAGGACGCCTAGGAGAGCAATTTTGCCTCCTCATACCCAATAGGGGACTGGCATTCACTGAGAAGGGGAGAGATGATGCGCAGAAGAGGGCCGCCTATTAATTGGAATGTGTCAGGCACTAGCGGACACTGTGTTAGATGCAAGGGATTATTAATCGGGTGTCTGGCCAGCCACTGGGGTGCAGTTTGTATGGAGGCGGAGAGGCAGTCGGCCTCAAGGGTGTTTGCTTTGTGCCCGGTCTTGATTCATGCATCATTAAAAGCTTTCTTCGGGCTAACCTGGGTAATTACCACACTGAATTGTGCGTGTATTCCAGCAATTAGGCTCCTCTGCCCATGAACCTTTCTCATTCCTTGTGAAAATAAAGGCAGAAGAGTTATCCATTCTGCTGGTGTCCTGTTTCTCAATTTCCAGTCGGATAGACAGCATGGCTCATCCTAAAGGAATATAAAAGCCTTTAAAGGCATGTCTACACGCTCGATAAGGAGCTGGCTAGGCTGGTGGGGTGTGCGTACAACCGTGCCCCGGTGGCTCGTGGCCCGCTCGCATCGAAGGCTCCCTCTATCAAAACGCTACTGTACTATCATGTGAAAGCAGCAAGCTAAAGCTAGCATGAGCCATTTCTAAGATCCAGTGCGCTATTCCAATGATGCAGCTGCGTGCTAGAGGCGACCAAGGGCTCCTTGATATCACCTTAATTTGTTTACACATCAACAAGGAAGAGGGCCGAATGCCACTTCCCATAGCTTCCCAAAGGCGTGAGGGCAGCTGGTGTGTGAAGGCCCGTTGATCACCTCGGCAAAGGTAGGCCCCTGAACCTTCGTGCAGTTGTGCTTAGAGTAGCATACGAAAAAGGCAATATAACATTCTACGGCACCTGTGCAACCCTCTAGCTTTCCCCCACTTCAGAGTGTGGCTTCTATACAATCTAGAGAGATACAAGAAGGCGAATGAAGCGTACGAAGGGGTTTTAAGCCATTCGTCATTTTAAGATGCAGAGACCGAGAAGGCTGTGCAGCAAATGTACTCTAGGTGTGAGAGCATGGACTGCCATTTAGAGGGGAAAACCATGCGACCGAATCAGGCCTACAGAGCTACGTAGTAAGTGGCCGAAACGAGCGAAAGGCTCTATGAAGCAGTGCGTGTTGGATGTTGCACCAACACCAAGCGGTACGAACTCTATCAAACAGGCGACCCGCTGGCGCAGACTTCCCCGGCGGTCAATAGCTAAGGGATGCTGTAGGGACGCCGCAGCTCCAAAGAAATACGTGTTTTGCGCCAAGAGGAAAGAAAGTAATGCACTTCCCTGCGATAGAAGCGCAGGCTGCAAGGAAAGCTTAGCACGCACAGCAAGTGCATCAGTCTGTATGATAGCCAGGCCATGCCCACGCTGATTTTCGCTTGGTGTCTGATCAGATAAAAGAAGGACTCCCTGATGCATAAAGCAGTCAGCTAAATTTGTACTCAGATGCATTCCCTAGGAATGAGGTAACAGGAATGCCGACAATAATAGGTTTGTGGACTTCAAATTACTGCCAGCTGTAACGGAGTTGGAGAAGCAGGGTGCTGATGTATTCCACATTGTCAAGCTGGCATTAGGTGGCCCACGCTCGGTTGTGTTGTACGCTTGCAGTGAGAGGGCTCAAGCCGCCATTTCTGTGCTGCCGCTCAGCTTCTAACCGGAGAAGTAACAAACATAATAAGGAAACGAAATACACTGCAGTCAGCACAGTTGTTTCGGTATACCTCTCCTTGTCCTCCCAGGCTCCTTGAGCGGCCTCTTTTGGCGCTATTGCTGTGTCTTTCTTTCTCGAAACAGCAGCAATATTACGATGGAACAGAATGGCCAGCTGCTTTATTTTTTCAGGCTGACATAAACACCCTGTGCATTCGCCAGGGTTTGAAACTGCGACTGCGGCATCTCCGGCACATCAAACTTCACAGCATTAGATGGCGCGACTACGAGACTGTCGAAAGATGTAATCTTCACCTCTTGCCCAATCTTCACAGCTTTTAGCTGCGTACATATACACATGCGTACGCAGCAATTGAGCGTCGTTCAGAATCAGCCTCACCCAAATCACGAATCTCACCCAGAAGGCTGGCTGTGCCCACACATCTGTCCCCGAAACAACCTCATGAAGCACTCCCTCCCTTTTCCAGCTCTTACCTTGCCCTTATTTGCCAAGACGATCTTCACCTTTGGCGGGGGCTCCGCGCCAGCAGCCGGCAGTAACGTGATGCTACCACCGCACGATGAAAGCAACTTGAAAAAAGAGGCCCAGCCCTCATAGAACTTGATGCGGTCTGCCGGGAACTCGCTGGACATAAATTTCTGAGGCACACAACACCTCAACCGAGCAGCGGTGCAATGTTTACTGACACCCTAAATGAAAGCGACATCGACAATGCGAAAAGGCTGGAAAGACCGAGCTTCCAGGTCCGGTGGCATCAACTGCTTCACTTGGGCCTCGAAAAAGCCCAGTGAGACACCATAAGCCCACATGGGGTGCTGAAAGCTAGATATGACCAGCCACATTTCAGTTATATACTACAAAGGATGGCTCTGCAGGACAACGCTTCCATCTGCGCGTGCTAAGTTGTACTACACAGTAAAACTTCGTATGCTACCATACAACTGCGCTGTGTGATATTTCATTCGTGCCCCGTTATCGTACATTGTCTCACACTCCACTGCACTGTAGCAGAAAAGCCACGTCTTACTTTAGTACTCCGCAAAAGTGCCAGTAACCCTTTTTCGCTACAACTCAGTACCTGGCAATTAGTGGCATGAACCTCAATCGCGGATTTCTTCTCAAACTTGTAGTCTCCGACCTCTTTTTCCGGCCGAAGATATGCCAAGACCCCGGCACCAGTCAAGGGTTCTTTGCTCCATTGTGTTAGCAACTTCCCGCCATCTGCGTCCTTGTAGACTAAGTAGGCACCCATCCCGACGGGCACTGAGGGGCCCTCCACTTCTGGCGGAGGTCCCTCGCAAGCCTCCTTAGACGGAGGCGGCAGACCAGCGGCCTTGCCAGTAAAGAAGGTGGGAGAGCTTTTTGGTGCTTTCTTACCAGCTGGCTTTGCCAGCTTCCGTGGCCTCGCCTTAGGTTTTGCTGCGGACGCCGATCCCGTGCCTCCAGAAGCTGCCGCTGCCCCCGCGACCCCAGCAGCTGCTACCTCATCTCCCGCTGTCTCCTCTACCAAGGCTTCCTCTTCCTCTGATTCCATCTGAGTCATTCCCTCCATGCTTTCCTGTGCCTCTGTTGAGGATACTACTATCTCCGACGTATCCACTTCCTTTGAGGCCGCCACAGGGCGGCAGCAGCAGCAACAACATGGGAAACAGAAGTAGAAAAAAGGGCAGGGAGCCCCTGCCTTGCAACAGTTGCAGCAGTTGTAGCATCCCTTGCAGCAGCAGCAAACATCCGCTAAGCACGGGCAGCACCACAGCGTGGTTGCCGTCGGAGGCTCAAGCCTTTCCTCTTCCGAGCGTGTCCCCTTACTCATCTTCTCCCACCACAGCAGAAAACACAGAAACCGTGTGTTATTTCGGGGAGAAACCAAGCCGGTAAGGCAGCCGCTGCACCTCAAAGCGGGTGGCCACAAGAGGGGTACCACGGACTACAGAAACGCTAAAGAGAAATTTAAAACGCCGGATTGAGCCAAAAATACCAAAGAGCACCAGAATAATGTATGGAAGGAGGCCCTAGGCGCACCACAAAAAAACCATTAGGAGTTGTGGGGCCTGCAGCAAAGCTAGCGATGGCCCACTCGCGTTGTTGAGGGCTCGTATAGAGCGACCCAAATTTTGCACATTCAACTTGCTAAAGAACTCAATTTGTTTTGGACTAATCATCTGTTGATGAAGTTCATAGATGAAAACGTGACACACTGCCACAGAAAAGCGGCACAAAGCAATCAAGGGATACATTGAATTGTCACTGTCCGACAGCCTTCTGAGATACACGGGAGCGCAACTCGGAACATCCAAGCTTACAAAAAGAGCCACCAGAAAATAACATTGAAATACTAATGAAGGACCATAGAAAGTCAATAAGCGCCAATAATATAACACCAGTACCGACACACCCGGAAAACCCCTAGAATCTTTTCGAACACGGTTTCTCAGTCAAAAACGTGCAATCCATGCTAGCTCAGTAAGCTCTGTCCGGGCTATGAATCTTCCAAGATGCATGTCCAATGCCCCCGGAAATTCCTTTGTTGCGCAACCCCTCAGCAGTTAACTTGACAGTTAGGTCACGTACACAAATTTCGAGGAATTCTTCCGACTGCAGCCGCCGTTGGCCTCTACGTTATAGTCCTGCTGTTCTAGTTAAAGCTCCGTTCTGTACATGTGGACTCGGTGTTTGCGCAATGCACACATAAAAAACAGAGTTTCACTGCACCCCAAGTCCCTAACAGGCCCTTAGGGTTTATTTCATTGTTCCGAAGAAAGAGCGATTGATGCGAAAACACGATTGCCAACAGTTTTCCGTTGGTAAGGAACAAATGCTTACGACCGCGTTCATCAGGTCATTCCAAAACCTTGCCTCTTTAATACTTCTCCCGGCATGTTTTTGCCTCCGCATGTGTCTTTGCTCTGAGGGACTGCCACTTGGCAGTTCGGAGGCGTATTCCTCAGAATGCAATTTTTCATCAGAGGTCTCCACGAGCACTATTACACGCATCCTTTAGTGGAAGCATCAAGGCAGAGGGGTGTGTAAAGGATGAGGAAGGGGTAGAGAAGCACTCCGAGATGAGACGAGCAGTCTGTGTGGCGTTCCGTGCCGCTTGAGCCCACAGATCTTCTCGAAGCAGCGAGGCTGCCCCTACCAACTGCAAAACCAGCAAAACCGAATCAAACCATGGTGCTGGCACAAAGACCGAGGGCATGGGGGTGAGTTACCTTCAAGCGCAAGCTGTAATAGCTCAAGCGTGTACGTATGGCGCCTTTGTAGACAGGATGCAACTATACGCAGCCGGATAACCTTTGCAGATGCAAATTACACAGCCTGACCGCTGCACGCTCATTTAATGTGCGACAGGGTGTGCAGCGGGAAGTTGACAATGTGAAATATATATACATGTACAAATACGTACTCCCTATATACCGCGTAAGGGCGAAGCACTGCAACACGCATTGTGTGTGTGCCATAGATGGATCCTACATTTTGAGTGAGTGCTCGGTGGTAACGTTCTCTAAGGGAGTTCTAGCTCACAATTTGGACGTTCTTTGCCTCTTTGTACAATTCGCACTTGGCTGTCAACTGGAATTCGAATTCCTAAAAAATGCAGCACAGTAAATCTGGCAGAAATAAAGAAGGCGTACACACCAAGACACCGCGACAAATGGCAGAGCAACACGAGTAGAGAAGCATAGACAGTGAGGCCCCTTCATTCCCATGCTTTTTCTGCTGATGACTACGCTTAGAATTTTGGCTCGATGCTTCGTGAGGTATTGCTGCTGATGACTTGTTCGAATATTTCCAGTCATTAACGGGGATCTAACAAGCTATAGTCACGGCCTCACTGAAAATGCAAGTTGCTGCATGATATCGGCGAAAGTCCGGCCCCTGGTGTCCAGGGCCCCCTTATCCAACTTGCCCAAGCTTTCAGCTGTGACATCTACTACCCGCATCACCACCTAAAGCAGATCATCGGATGCTAGAATATACCAGAATGCACGTGTGGGAGCTCACGACTCTAAGGGCCCCGTTGCTGATAAGTGGTAGGTAATAGAGAAACGAGGAATTTCCCGTTGCATCATTAAAAAGTAATGGGAAGGCCTTGGGTAAAACCACAGAAGCATGAAGACACACCTGTCCCTGTTCTCCAAGGGCGACGCAACTGAGAGTTCCTGAGACGTCGATGAGCTTCAAACACAGCATCCAGCTGCAACATAACACAAGGCAACCCAGAGCGCCCAGAGTGGTATTGTGATTTGAGTCCATGCCTCACATAGATGGCCTGTGGGGGCGTAGGGTCTTGGTAGCGACGGGGTAGCAACGCAAAAAGGATTTCACACGGACAAATGGTTCCCCTGGCTAGGTGCTCCTTTTGTCTGCACGGAGGCTTCGCCTTGATTCACAACGTTTCAAATAAATCCAACAAACAGTGAGAGTATGCAGACAGGCCACAGTGTCCTCCTTCTGGAAAGCCTTACCGTGACTCCGGGGTGACCGCCCGCCTGCAGTTGTTGCACTTGAAGGCGCCAGAGGTCGCCGCGGAAGGTAGCTCTTTTTGCACCTTCCGCTTGCACTGGGGGCAAGCCCTGAGCGTCTCCGCACAAAACGAGCAGAGGAAACGTTCTGTAAAGTGTGGATGCCCCTTTCGACACCCAAAGGTTTGATCCAGCATGAATGCAAACACACCAATGCCAACACTAAGAGGTGCTGCTTATGCACTGTGAGGCATTTTTCTCTGTTTCACAAAGATGCCTAAAACAGAGTAGCCAAGCCAAGAGGAGCACGGTAACTGCAGCAGCACACTTCCAGAGCACCATAGAGACAGACATAGGACACGTGCAACACATGTTCCTAGGGAGCCAAATTGCTCATGTAAGTTGTAGAACGAAGCGTCACCAGGGAGAATGTGCATTTACTGCACCCGATCGTAATGCAGTGCACAATACGACACAGCATCATAACCCTAACCGGGTGTCTCCTTGACTCACAGCCACACGAGTTTGTCGCCACGGAGATCGAAGACGCTTGCTACCACTCGGAAGGTTCTGGTGGTTCCCGGCTCCTCCAGCTGCAGCGCGGCAGCCGCTTTCACAACCTCCGCTAGCGTCTTCAGGGGGCGGCACACACAGAAGAAAGCAGCACATAAGGAGAAAGAAATAGAGCAGGTGCCCGGCAGAGAGAGCAACCCACAGGAGCAATGCGGCAAAAACATGCGTTGGCTGTGAAAATCGATTACAGTTCCGCAATACATAGATGTATGGACATCATACAGGGCACATTAGAATGCATAGGACTCGCATTCACAGTAACGCAACGCGACCGGCAGAGTGTACGCAGAGGCCTCATTTAAATGCGTCTCGCGCCGTGTCAGAGGAGCCATCTGGGTCGGTGGGATTCGCAGCGCGGTAGCACAGGGGGCAGTACCTGCAGGCCGACGGCTTTGGCACCCTTAGTGCTAGCCTCTGAGAGGAGACGTGCGCCCGCAGTGCGCCACCACTGCCACTCCCGTTCCACCTCACTTTTGTCAACACCGCACTGCTCTCCCCCATGCGGCGCATCAGCTGCCTCTGATGCGGTTGCAGCTGCGTGGAAGAAGTGGATTTTCATTTGTGCGGAGGAACTTAAGCAGGCGCGGCCGCCGTATTCATTGACTCTGACGCCTGTGCATACAGCAGAGCGCGATATTCTGGACCAAAGGCAGGTCTAACCACCACTGCTACATGTCTGCAGCAACTACAACCGTACCACAAATTCACCCCAGCCGCCAACGCCGTCCACTACGAGGGATTGTGTGAGAAGGTAGAGTGCCTGTCCGCACTTCGGAGGACAGAAGGACACAGGATCGAGAAACTCAAGGAAAGCTACGGCTCCCCAAAGGGGCAGTGGATGCCAGTGAAGGCATGTCAAGATGTGCTCACCCTTGGCAGCCACTAGCGGACAGTTCGAGAGAACTTCCTGACGTAGCGGCATCGCCTGGGTCCCGAAAAGAGAAAGAGATACAAAGGCTCCAGAAGAGTCTAGCAGCGTCAGCTCCCGCCGCACCAATTCTTCATTCTTCGTCTTGACGCAGCAACACACATGCATGAAAATCAAGCTGCTGTGGGTCGTGAAAGTATTTCCGAATACCATGTTGTTCCCAAGGTGCCTATTTGACTTTGGAGCAGCAACGGCATAAACCCTCCTCGCCTCCTGGTAGCTTGCAGTGCACTGAAGGGGGCATTTCAGCCTGTACGTAGCCCTCGGGGGGCCCTCGATGAACGGATCCCTGCTTTGCTCCTCTAAGCTGCTGTTACAGGGTACAAGGTAGTCTGTTGCATCGCCAGTCTGGGAGCCATGCTGCAGGTGGTGTGCACTATCTATATGGCCGCTAGACTTTGGACAAACCCTAGAGATGATGGTCTGTGGCTCCTTGGCCTCCACCACAAATGCAAGGATGTCAGCCAACGTCCCCGCTGGCCGCTGCTGTATATCCGCGAGGCTGACGCGCTCAAACCTACGATGCGCACGAACGGAAAAAGAAAGCTTTCGTAAGAATGCGTGAGCAGGATCTGCGTGTGCCTTTCTCTGGGGTGCACGCATGGCTGCGTTCGTTTTACCACATTGTGACCACACAAGGACCTCTTCCCCTCAGAGTTGGAGCCACAGATGGCGAGAAGCGGCCTGGTGGGTGGTATTGTAGTACAGTTCTCAAGGATGAGACTGGAAAGGGATAGGGCACCGGACTTTTGGTGAGGAATACGAGGATCGTCTGGTGCTTCGTCTATTTGTGCGGCTGCATCGAATTTGATCTCCACCTCATGAGGTAAAGGGTTATGCAGTCTGAACGACAAGCAACGCATAGCCCTTTGGAGATTCACCAGGACGTGCCACTTCAAACCCCTAAAGTCTCCATCAGGCCGATGGCATTCACTCTCAATAACGCGTCATCCACCCGGCCGGCGGAGTAACAGCTAGGATCGGAAATATTTGAAGCCTAATCATGGACTTTCATGCGCAAGAAGCTGGTAGCAAGCTCTTCAGAAAGGCATGGCGCTTTAAGGGACAAGCAAATGTACGTCTGCACACAATTTCCGGCACGCGGTACAGACTGGCACATCTACACCTCACTTATTGGCTCTTTGCAAAGTGCCCTTGCTAAAAGTATACAGCCCTCCAACATGCAGCTTGGAATACCAGAGAGCTACTGCCCGGCCAAAGAAGGTTGCACGAATTTCAGTGGCCTGAGAAGACGGAAAGCATAAGATTAAAAGAAGTCACCAGTGCGGGGCACTCGGGCGCGTGCTGTACAGATACTACACATCCCTAAAATTTACACCAGCCGCCGCCTTCATGAAAGCGAGTGCAAACATGCAAAGAAGCCCACCGCGTACGAGGCCAGGTTGAGGCGAATCAAGGAGTAATAGATGGGAGGACAAGGGGGAGTGCGGGGAAAGACACAGTGGGGAAGGCACCTGAACAGACCACTACTCACCTGATTGTCGATCAGGTGAACAGTAAAGAGACTACTTTCTCCTTTGGCATTTGCAAAGCTCTTCACCTCACTCCTGCGAGCACAGACACCCGACCCCAGCTGTTCTTCCAACGCGCGAATGCGTGAGTGCCCCAGAAGTACAGGAGCGCAATAGAACAATGGCAAGGCGTAGCCTCAAAGGCCCAATAAACGCCCGTAGTGCGACACGCAGAAGCAAGCCCACGTCCTTGCTTTGCAACAAATACACTGCAAAGGCACTGAAGGAGGCAGTTGAGGATCCCACTGTGCGGGTGCCGGCCGGATCTGCCCTTCGCTGCCTTCAAGCTTTCGCGAAAACACATACTTGTACGAAATGCGAGCAAGAATCTCCCACTGATGAGAGTATAGGTGCAGATCAGAAAGGGCTGTGCGAACACCCCGTTGCGCCTTTGCTACAGGGCCCGACCGGCTGTGGGCGTAGACAAGCGACAAGCAATTTGTTGATTTTTCTGTCAGACACACGCACACAACTGTACCACAGCCAAGCCCCTTTTAATGTGAGCTTCAACGAATCGTAATGCGATGGTGAACGAGCTTCTACGAAAAACGCAAATGCGTTTCCGTAGAGGTTGTGCGCCTTCAGCGTCTCACGAACCCTCTGAGAACGCTATGCCAGATGAGGCTGGACCCCCCATTTACCTTTGGATCCATCTCCCCTCGCTGCCCTTCGGCGCTTTCTGGCAGGTAGTGCGCCTCCTGGCACCTCCGCCGCTGTCGGTGCTGCTGGGCTATCTCCCGATTGCTCTGCTACTTTTGATTCGAAATGACCAGTGCCGTCATTGCTGCTGTCTGTTGCATAAAGTGAGTGACTCACAAGGGGTGCATTTGGCCGAATCCAGTGCCCTGGTAGCAGTTGAATACCCGTCACCACGGGTGTCTGACGGCCCCTGAAACCGCACCAAGAGGCGAAGCCGACACACTTGCGAATTTCCTTCAATCTGTAGTGCGCTTCCCAGAGAAGGAATTACCAGTCCTCTAGCAGAGAGAGGCCCAGCACTCCTGCAGTGCCTGGAGGAACGAAGGCGTTGATGGACAGACGCGGGGAAGATGGATGCCGCACTGTGCAAACGAGGGCCTCTCTGAGGAGTACGGAGATGCTAAAAGACATACTTGATGATGCACTTAGAATAAACCGTTAGAGATATCAGTCGGTTAACAAGCGATCTGGGCTCGCACGGCAGTGTCTCGCGTCTCAGCAAAAGGCGGCCATACTGGATCTCCAGGCACTGCTGCTCTTTTTCTGCCTGCGGTCTATTGCTGTCATTGCTACTAAAGCTTGCTAGCTCAGAAAGTGCCACCCGAAACCTTTTCAGGTGCTCCTTGCTTTCTGATCCGTCAAGTGGAGAGCTGCCATCAGTGGCAAGGATCCTGCAGAAGGCAAAGGGTGGGAACCCTGTGAGAAAGCTAAAAAGAGCAGCAAGCAGACCGTCAACGCTTCGAAGCGGCTCGCATTGTACAACGGGATCATTTACTTCACTCTCTGTAGGTCCTTTGGCCTTTAAAGTGAAACTGTTGTGTGAGAAGAGGCATGGACCGCTCCTCTCTACTTCGGGGGAGAGTGTGTAAGGAGGTAACAGGTAAAATGTCAATTATATCCGGAACACGTCTTGCTATGAGTTCTATGGCTGTGAAGCCAGTGGGGTTGAAGACTACTCCAAAAGGGGCAGAGAATGAAGAGGGGAATGCGCCTTACAAGAGGTGATCCCTTCCAACTTGCGAAAACGTTAACACCGCGAGGACGGGTGCAGTCCACATTGAGCCCGAGGCAAATGCATCCCAAAACCCAACAGACAGCGGCACATCAGCAGGCGCCAAGGCCTCGTGCTGCTGGCCTGCATCTTCAGCAGACATGCGTGTGTACAAAGGACGGCCGGCAAGTGAGCTAAACTGGACCCATGGGAACGGACTGCGATCAGCCGTGAAAGCTTCCCTTCCTTCTCACGAAGGGGTTAGCCAGACACGCCAGGTCTTGCCGCTGATGGGCATAGAAAGGTGCCCACAGCTGTCTGCTAGGTGACTTCGGTCGAAGATGGGCCAAACGACAAAGCCTAGTTTGATGAAGAGACATACCCACCACACAGCGGCCCTTTGGAAAATGCTTAAGCAAACACGGAAATTTGAAATAAGGTACTGGAATCTCCCCGCTGCCGCCAAACTCTATGCAAGTCCGATGCAACGGCTCATCGCACGCGGGGCCCGATGCTGCTTGACCGATCCAGTTCCGCATCGCGGTGAAAGGACGAAGAGTGTCGCTTCTTCAGTTTGAGGACTTCTAGTAATAATTTCAAAACTGAAGGGGCTGTTCGGAAGTTCAAACTGCAGTGCTAAGCGAAACCGTTCTCTGCCCCTCCCATCACTCCGTGTCATCGAGCATTGAGTCTCCCATCTAGCAGAGGAAAACAGCGCTCCCGTGTTTGGGGGAAGGCTGCTATTTAGACAGAAAAACGGGTCCACCCCTCACGGGAAACAACAGCCTTTAGAACTAGAGCTTTTAGCCACGAAGGTCAGACCAGAGCTGGTGAGAAGACTTGAAGGGCTGCGTAGCTCCTATAGCTTTGGCCAATGTAACACACGAGAATGTCATGGGAGATAGTCCCACCAGAATGCGCCACGAACATATCAGACGTAGAGCGGAGAAAGACGCGCTGACTATGGGTATACGCATCACCCCTACATTCGATACACACACGCACACGGCTGCACTCGTTCACGCCGCGGCAGCTAGCTTCAGCTATCCACAAACGCCCATACGGCCGTCCAAAATTGGTTCTTGGCCCTGAAATCCCAAACATGGTGGCATCTGCTGCAAACCCCAAAGAGTTCTCATGACTGTGCGGTAGGGCTCTCCCTGCACTAAGGGGTCGAAATTATTGCCCTGGAGACGTCGCTAGTCGCGTAGTGCTCTTAGATACAGCCAACAAACACATGTCCTCTTACAAATAGAAAAGTTCCCATATCCAATCCAACTGTAGCTCCACACAAGATCTCGGCAGTCAGGGATCCACTGCAGACTCGATCAAAACTCGATACCCAGTTATTGAGCGGTTCTCGAAATAACTTCCAACTTCTCCTACCCGAGCCCCTTCGTGTTACCACACAACGGGAAAAGGACTGCCCGGAAGCGCGTAGATGCACCCTGCAAGCAGTCTTCCCATACACACCTGGTTGCATGTTACACCTGGCACAAAGGCACACGCCACGTCTTCTTGCATCTAATTAAGGTACTATGCAACAAAAAAATGTACGAACAGACAAACCAATTAGTCATGGCAAAATTATTCAAGTGGAGCTTAGCTCGCTACACTACTCGAGGCTCTTTGTTTGACAGCCGCTTCAGCGTTTCGCAACTACTATTGCATCAGCAACCGATGGGACCCAGGAAGCCTCCTGCCGCGTACGCTGTATGTGTTCCTATTGTGTTGTGGTCAACCTAGTGAACCACATGACGAAAGCCATTGCTTTGCTAGGAAGTAACCGGTCACGGAACGGCACGCGGACGTCTTTGCATTGCAAAACGGCAGTATGCAACCTTGTTGCCAAAGGAAGACCTTATGTAGCTGCCAATTACACACTTACTACCGTCCAAACGGCATTCTTCTTAACCGGATACGCATAGCCGCCACCATACTTCAACGCGCGGGAAACCTTTACTACATGCCGTAGCACGTATGCATTTAGTATTCGCGCGACGTAACACCCAGCCGGCACTGTAAAAGCCGCTAGGCTGACATTGCGCACAATTTTCCGCCAGTCACTAAAAAGTGAGGCATGCAAGGCCCGCAGAACGCAGGTATGCAAGCCGCAGTGAAGCGCCCACGTCTGGCTTAGGACGTGACTTGTGGACGCGCCACACCTGGCGAAAAGTAAAGCTGTGAAGCGGAAGTGGCAGTTGAATACGGTAGAAGCGCCTCGCAACAGCCTTAAGAAGCGAAGTAAGCGCAACTTGAATCTAAAGCATAGGAAGTACAGTTACATAACTAAACGATAGGGTCCAAGTGTCGAATTCAGCACTGCATCACCACTTTCGAGATGCACCAGCTACGCTTCTGCAAAAGCATATGCTCTTGAAGGGCTACCCGTGATGAACTCCAGAGCCCTCGCATGTGAGGAAGTGGCAGACCCCAAGAAGAATTGGTGATTAATCAGTACCTACAGAGATACTCCTAAAAAAATAAATAATACACGGCACACCTCGTGGGGGTATTCGCGCGACGTAACACCCAGCCGGCACTGTGAAAGCCGCTAGGCTGACATTGCGCACAATTTTCCGCCAGTCACTAAAAAGCGAGGCATGCAAGGCCCGCAGAACGCAGGTATGCAAGCCGCAGTGAAGCGCCCACGTCTGGCTTAGGAAGAGACCTGTGGACGCGCCACACCTGGCAAAACTGCAAGTCTGCACACCTCTAGAACCAAGGCGCACGATCTATGTATTATGAGTGAACATTTAAGCAATGCCTGGACCTTAATTGTCCTTTCAACTCTTCAGGGTGAGTACCAACAAAACAAGCCATTTCACCGCCATGGAAAGAACAGCAAAGCCCTCATTGCCAATTTGGTGGGCAACAACCAACGTAAAGCATGTACGCACGCACTTAAACTGCTGGTCTATTTAGGACCACCAGTGGCTGGGCAGCGCACCTGGCTACTGTCCAGGCGGGAAAATTTCACTTTCGCCTCTCAGCTTTTTTAAGGGACGCCGGCTGCATTGTTTCCCAGCTGACGCGCTCCATGAGGCATGCGGCAGTTCGACGCGAACAACTATTCCATATGCACGAACTACACACTTGAATGCAAGATTACTTCTCAAGTCTGTCACTCCTAAGACATACGGTAGGTTGCTGTAAAGAGGGATGCAAATTTCTGCCTTCAAACCGTAAATGAGTTACAGTGCATCAAAGGCATACAGGAAAAGCGCAACTTGCGAGAGTTGCTTCAACCAGGGCAGTTTCTAACCTCTGCTTGCCTCCTATGCCAACTTATTCAGGGGGATAGAGAAGAAGCTTTCATGACCCCATCTTTGTGCAGCCGCACACCACAGCATCAGCCCAACATGCAATGGTGGGCACGCTGCGCTGACGTCAGGCCCATCGGAAGCTGCCCGCTCAGCGTCAGCATCGAAGGCAAATGCGGGGCGTCACAGTCAGTTATACGTGAGCGGGCTGCTAAACTTAATGCGGAATGGATCGCGCACGTCCTGGTTGCCTCTGTGGTCGCCTCGTTCTCCTCGGTTTTCGCCACGGTGATCGCCACGGTAGTCGCCCCCTCCCCTGTTGGTTCTAAAGCCACCCCCTCTGAAGCCACCGCGTCCAGTGCCCCGGCCCCTGGCCCCCACTGGATTAAGACCTGCTCGGCCTCTGAAACCTGGTCTGTTGCGGTAGTAGTTGCCATCTTCGCGGTCGCGTCCACCCCAGCCAGCGCGATCTCCCTCCCGCATGAACCGTCTCTCGTGAGTCAAAGCAAACCTGCAAACAACACCCATCGAAGGATGCCCCCATGTGCTGGGCTCCACGCAACAGCCCGACCACCCCGTCTCACCAGAATCAGAGCATATCGACTGCATATACACTGCCTAGCTACCAAACCGCAAGGATGACCTATGAGGTGGCACAGCCATCAAAACGCAAAAGACACCCAAACAGCACGATTGATATGGCAACCAATCTGAAATACTGACTTCGGGTTCTTCATGTTCAGCGTCAGCTCGTTCTGCTCAACAGCGTTTGTGATGTTTTCTGCGAGCGTGAGCGCAAGTTGCTGCAGGCGCGTGTGCTTCACGCGACTAATCAAAATGAACTGGCTGGTTTCATCCCAACTCGCGTGGATTTCCTCGTTGATCATCATCTGCGCGAGAGGGCATACGCACACGCACCTGCACTGTGTGATCTCAACAAGCAAAATCACTCTTTGCGCAGGCAAGAAATGTCCACAGCGTTTCCCGCCGTCCCTCCCCGCATGTGCCTTGCTTTCTGGGCGGGGTTTCGCGCATTCTAGATCACCTTGCTGACAATGGAGTGCACGGCATTCAGGGAGAGGTCGAACATGCTCGCGAGCTGCCCGATGGCAAACGAGTCATAAAGCGACAAGAACTGAGAAGCACAAAAGCAACCACATAAATCAGCCACTCTGCAACGCAGGTTCGACGAGGGATTGCCTGAGAACTCGCTAGTCAACTCTACACGATATGCTTTAAAGAAGTATGCTTTGGGGTAAAGCATCTTACTGTGAAGATGTAGGTGCGCATAGCTTCGGCCTTGATCTTTTGCAGAAGCATTTCTTGAATGTGCTCCTTGTTGATCATCTTCTCCCAAATAGTCAAAGTCCACAAATACCGAGCGCATTCGCTCCAGTCACCCCGTTGTAGAGCCTTCGTTGCGGCCATGACTGTTTCCCTCGCGTTTTCTGGAGGCCCCATAAACGTCTGACGGTCGTACATTTCGAGCATGCGCCTAAAGTGCTTGCTGATCAAGCGTTTCCTGGGGTCGAACGCGTCGTGCGCCATGTGTGGCACCTCAAGCAACATGGCGCAGCTGCAGAAACGAGGAAATTCGACCGAAGTTTATGCACTGAACAGAATTTACTCTGCCGCGGGGTTGGGCGCAAGTCTGCAGCACTCAAATAGAGATTCAAAGAAGCGGCCTTACATGTTGTGAACACATTCGATCAGTTCCATGCTGATATGCATGTGATAAGGCAGCAATCTTCGCTTTTCTGCACGTTCCTGCTCTTGTGTGCGCTCGACATTTTTAAGGTTGGAGAGACCCTGGGCTAGCAGCTCCTTGTGTTTGGGGCATATCTGCGACAAGCATGCGTGGGCATCTTGGATCAGTCCATTGCGGAAAGCACATAGACCGAGCTGCACCAAGTTCCGGTTGTACAAGATCTGGGTGGAAACATCGGTCTGCATAGCCAACTCCTGGATGTTAGGCGTGTGCATCAGATCGCGGGCCTGGTAGTAGTCGTCGTGCAAACTCTTGCTATACGCCACATGCAGTAGCGCGCGGATCTTGTCGCGCTGGCTTTGCGCTGCGAAACCACAAAAAACCGCAAACTGAATTGGGCAAATAAAGGCGTCAAGCCCGCACCTTTCATTACTGACCGAATGGTGCGATGGACAAAAAGTCGGTGCGTAACCGCCTTCATGCGCGAACACGCGACATCAGTAGGGTAAAGCTATTTCACGTCTGTACACTTAAAGATCTGATGATCCGCAACGATAGCACTGGTTACATCCGTATGCGCCGCGCAAGAAAGCGGAGGATAATAGTGGGACCGTCGCACAGTATTTGAAGACGTAGCGCGTCAGTGTTTCAATGAAGGCCGTGGGCGCCATATTATTTTCTCCGGGAAGGTTAACACAGAGTTCATCAGGCAACTCCTTGCGCAAGACATCCCACATCTTGGTTGCGATCGCATCAGGCCTGCAAAGAAGCATGCAGTGCAATCAGAAATGCCTCAAAAATAGGGCGCGCTACGCGGAGGGGCACACACACGCGGTGACACCCATCAGCTGCTACCGAAGTGGCACTCACTTATAATGCATGTGCTCGTTGACCTTCAGAGCGACCGTTGCCGCCTGCGTCTTGAAGCCCCGACCATCAAGGAAGCAGAATGTGCGCCAAAGGAGGGCCAAGATGTCAATGCTCTTGCCAAGCCGTTCCTTGTATTCGTCCGAGTGGACGTCTGTCGACTGCAGCGACTTTATCAAATCGTCGTCAAGACGCTCCACAAATGAGGCGAGAATGCACGCCGATACTTGCTGGATCTCTTCTGGGGTCGACCCCTCTGCTATCCCCGCTATGGGCACCAAGTACGAGCCCTTGTTCTGTTCCATGATGGTAAGGAGGAGCTTAACGCCGGCGAACGTTTCCATCCAAATCGCAAGTGGCATGCAAGTAAACACGCCAGACGTGGTGTCGAACTCCGCACTGATCAAGTGACCCAACGCTTCAAGGTGGCACTGGGGGCTCACGGTTTCCGCGAGTTCGGCCAGACGCTTCAAAATGCGCATCTGCTCCATCTTGTCAACGCCTCGCCTACCGCGTTTTTCTACAACCATCTGTACGCGTTTCGCAATGACTTCCTCATTCAGGTCGCTGGTGTCGAACAAATGCTCCATGTCCTTCGTAGTGAATCCTGCCTCTGCTCCAGCGGGTGCCGGCTCTTTCGAGGCTGTCTTAGAGGGCTTCACTGAAGGCTTCTTCTTTGCAGACTTGGACTTCTTCTTCTCCCCTTCCTCGCGTACACCCCACTTCGCCATGGCGTCTTTGTGCCGGTCGCCGTCGTCGCCTAATGCGCAAAGATGCAAGAGCAAGGCTCAGGGATCTATGAACGCCCAGATCACAGAGCTGATGCATGCAGACGCAGAGAAAAAGCGATTTCCAGGTCCATATCCAAGCACTAGATTCCATACGCCCTTTCCTGCACTTCGAAAAAACACTCATTCCTCACCTTGGCTCTCATCGTCTGCTTCCGAATCCGACCATTCGCTGCCGTCCTCAGACCCCTCCGCCTTCTCCTTGTGGCTGCCCTCGCCATCTTCGGAGTCGCTGCTACTTTCTTCACTCGATTCGCTCTCCTCGCTGCTGTCCTCACTGAAGTCGCTGTCCGACTGCACCCACCCACCACGTGCACGAGCACACATGTGCACACAAGCGTGAAGCCAACTAAGAATTCTCGCCGCGGGTCAACCCTTACAAACAAGTTCGCAACAGCACCACACACAGCCCCCAGGTACGACAGCAGTCCCCCTGTACTGCATGTAGAGACCGCAATGACTTACGTCACCCTCGTCGGAGTCTTCGCTTTCCGTTTCGAACTTGTCGGGATTCTCTTTGCACTCAGAAATGTTCGTCGCCCACGGCTCGGTAGTTTTGCGAACCTTAGCCCTCAGGGTATTCAACGCAAGGGCCTTCGGGCGAGACAGCTTTTTGAAGCTTTCCTTGTCTTTGTGCTTCTCCTCGACGAATGTCTCAAGAGCAACAAGGGCGCGAACAAAGAAGTTCGGCACGCCCTCCTGCTCAATAACCTGGTGCGCCTTGTGATAGCTCTTCAACAGCGTGTCATAATCTGACACGCAAAATGCACAACATTTCCACCGTGGCGGGCCTCATTGATCGCCTCCGTCTCGCCACAAAGCCAGTGCTTTGCACACTACGCAACGCGACCAAGCCCTCGGAGAGCATAGCATCCGTATGCCGCCATCGATTGCATACACAGCATTCATATTCACACCCACATACCCTTTCCGAGTTCCGCAAAGTCCAAGATCTTCATGTGATTTTCCATCTGACGGATGACTTCGCGCATAGCGCCCCAGCGCCTATCTTTCAGACTCTTAACAACACGTCCCTCATCATCGCTAGACGAGGTCTCAGCAGCAGCCCACCGAGAGGACGGAGCAGCCACCTTTTTCTGCTGCTGGAAAAACGAAGAAACAAGCAAAACACGTACTTAAGAACTCTAAAATGTTCGTAATCCTCGAATGCCAAAATCCAACAGCCCCACGGGCACACGTCCAATAAAGAATAACAAAGACACAGTTCATACAGATGTAGAAACAAAGCTTATGCACAGAAGTACATCACTTGGCTATTACCAGATCCGTGAAGAAACACAAGGCAGAGGAATGCGTATAACTGCAGCGCTCCAAGTACAATGCAGTTCGTCCTGACACCAGGGCACCCCTTTTGCATGGGAGCACACGATGCAACAGTCGAGAGGTCGCCTTCAATCATATGGTAAGTAATGAGCTACCCTTACCAATCCTTCCTACCCAGGCTACCCCGCGTGTGCATGCTGCATACATGCGACATGCGTCGCACGCGCGCAAGTGCATGAAGGGTCGGCACACGCGGATAGCGTTGATATATGAGTCCGCTTACAGAGAAAAAACGTAACGACAAAGTGGCAAATGCAAAAGTCTGCACTGTGGCGGTGCCTTACCTCCTGCTCCTGGTCGTCACTCTCCGAGGAGTATTCTGATTCCGAGGATTCAGCCCCCGCCGCCCAAAACTTCGATTGCATTTTCAGCAACACCTTTTGTACGGCAGTAGTGGTTCAGCACCGAGAGAGTATGCGGTGCGGGAACAAGAGCCCGACACGCCGTGGGGTGAAGTCTGCGGCTGTGAATCTCAGTGCAGAGGACAGTGGCCCTATTGTGCCAACAGCAGCATTCCCGTTCTGTAGGCAGAACAGCACGGAATTCTCTAGACATCAATACAGCCGCATATCCTGGGCCTTTAGACCAACTTCTGGCTGCTGTCCTGGTGCTTTTCACGCAGCCCCAAATTCCTCCACCAGCCACTGCACTCGAACAATTCAACAGGACACTGTCCTACCGTCAAAATTCAAAGCTTCTATGATCTTAATCGGCGGCATGCCTATATCGTAAATGACATTGCGATAAAGGCTTTATACCGGACTTTTTCAGCCCTAAGTTAAGACTACATTAAGAATGCCAGTGCCCACCATGTGGGGCGGTGCAGGCGCTGAGGCGTTACTTCATACTTTCACATAGTTGAATTGCGATAAAAGTGTGAGTGATCAAACGGAATAGTATTCTCATTTTAGTTTCGACGTACGTATCCCACATGTGGTTGACAGCTTATCCCTGCGTACAGCTCAAGTGTATCGCACAACTTGGGATGCTGCTGAGGAGGCGCGCATGCTGAAAACCAGTCAAGTCACTAAAAAGAGTAACCCTGCTTTATTTTTTTAAAATCTGTCTCCCATATGCCACAAGCCAGCAAGGTCTCGGGGCTCAGGGCCGACCGGGTTGTTGTTAGCGGGACCCCAGTGGAAGTTCACAGTATAGAGCGCTGTCTCACTGCTGTAGTGCTGCCCCTACGCTGGTAGTCATATGAAACGGTTTCTATGAGGTAATTGCATACTTTAGATGTCACAAGCGCAATCTATGGGCGGTAGGACTGGCTTTTCTTGTACGTTCCTGTACGCCAGGCAGTTTTGAGGGTACCACATCTTTCAGAACACTATCAAAAGTAAGGGAGGTATGCATTTTCCAGAGGAGCTTTGTCCTTTACAAAGCTCTGAACGGCTACGGCCCCAGTTGAGAAAGCACAACCAGCAAGGAACCAGCTGCATACTGCAAAACCCGACGGACATCCGTAGTAGTTTACTGCCCAGAAAACTGCGCGCATTTGTAGAACTTGGAGTTAAATGCGATATGCAGCAAGTGCAAAGCACAAAACAAATTGCACAATCATTTTTCCCGAAAAGCTTGGTAGAACTAGTGGGATGGTACCTTACCGAGCGTGGTGTAACGTTCCAGAGGTCTCCGTAGGGATGCGCCAAACTCCAGCCTGAACGCACTGTGATGCCGCTTATGAGCAGCTGTCCAAGAGAGCTACGCCCTTCTGCCTGCACGCCTCAGACTTCCCACTACGAGGGATGAGGGACACCTAGAGTGCTCCTGTAAGCCTCATATTAACTGTACCTAGCCGGTTGGACCAACTGCATGCAATGGCGCAGAAGAATGTTGGCCCTATCGTCACTCCCCAGGCACATAAACAAGCGAATGCAGTGCGAATGAGGGCTGCGAATCGGCATTAATTGCCACAAAGAAATCGACGGGAACAAGCGCAAACAAATTAGCCAACAACGTACGCTGGAGAAAGCCAACATGACATCGCGCGATCGTCCAATGTTGTCGGAGTGCTGAATTGTGTGAGCCTGATGCTACGAAAAGCCACAAATCAGGTAAAGACTGCGAAAGCTTAAAATGTACACTAGTTCAACCGTGCCTCCAGGCCTCATGGAGCATTGTTTGCGTGCAAATATGATGGGTGCATGCAGCCTAGTCGAGTGTAACGCTCCAAAAGAGGCATTAGGAGGAATGAACAGACGCGATATCTGAGAATGCCTGCATATGAATCTAATGGCATATGACACACTGATAATAACCAACGACTGCAAGAAAGCAACGGGTAGGGAAGAAAACTGTTGAACTCTAGAACCACTCAGAAAAAGGAAAATCCCCAAGCCGAGCACCCGCATCTTTGGAAATATAGGCTTGCAACTACAGAAGAATGCGGTTGGTACATTTTGTGTGTCCGTCTGCCTTTGGCTGGTTGGTAGCGGTTATATCAAGGTCGTTCCGTTGGCTGTTCGTAATGTTGCGCCAGAGCCCACTAGCGAACTTCGTATCGCTTTCTGTGATGCCAATACTGGGACATCTGTGTAGCCATATCGTTGCGACTCCAGCTTCTGACAATCTGCGCATGACAAAGCATACGTCTCTGCCACCAAATGCATCTCAGTCCCCCAGAGACTGGGAGTGTTTTTCCACTACAGTGTGAATCCCATCGTGGCAAGAAAGAACATGATCATGTGCCTTGCGCAAAACGGGACTGTCAAGGTGAGGCGGAATATATAGGCGATGGAGGGTCAGTATTATTTTGCGCCACAGTAGGCCATCCTCAACGTGCTAGTGCTTAGCTCTTTTGCGGTTTTGTACTTTGGCGAGACTAGCGGATGCAAGGGTGTCAAAAGCGTACGACTTGAGCAGTTTTGGTAGAAAGCGTGAATCATCAGAGACAAAAGCGCATTGCGATGTGCACTAGAGACTCGCTGGAATATCTCTAGAGCACATCGGCGACCACGTCAAGGCCTTGATATGCTGCGTTGTGCAGGTGAAGTCATCTACAGAAGGTGCCCCATCCAGGAAGTTCTGTAGAGAAATCAAGTCCCCCAAATCTTTGTTAATATACATCAAGAAGCGGTCTGTCTGGGCAGCTCCCACCCCAGAGATTTCCTTTCGCCACCCTCGAAGCAGCTACTCTGTTTCGGTTAAGCGGTGCGAATAACAGGCAATACCCTAACAGTTCGAAAAACCCGCAGTCTGCTTGGAGAAGACGGCAGCCACCCCACAGTCAGTAGCATCGGTTGTTCGGAGCATACGACTTTTCCAATGCAGAAGCACAAGCATCGGGAGGAGTGGTAAGGTGGCTTAAGCCGTCCTTGTTGCGGCATCAACCTTCTTTGTTCAGGCTATAGACTGAGTTTTCTTTGGTAGATCGGTCAAAGGAACGGTGATGCGAAGAAGTCCGGATTTATATATCAATAATAAGGTGCAAGTTTATAGAACTTCTAAGCATACTTGCCGGCGAGTAAAAGCAAAACTATGGCTTGAATACTTTTAGTTTTGCCGGATGTAGCTCGATGCCTGCAACCGAGCACCGAACCCCACGAATGTCGATGTACTCATCCAAAACAGGCACTTGCATGCTTTACATTAGCACTGTTTCTTCCGCAGTAGCTGTAGAGCACGCCGTAGTTGTAGGTGCTTTTGAACGTTTCACTTGCATACTAGGCCGTCGTCCATGTAGGCAACCATCCACTCCTCCTTCATGGGTCCCTTGAAGTTCCAAGTAACTAGCCGTTGCGGTCAAGCTGGAGCACTGAAAGGATGAAACGTCATGCAGGTATACTCGAGTTTTCGAGTGTCGGTATTGGATGCCACAGTGCGCTTGCCATCAAGATGAGGACGAGTAAGCAAGCGTCTGTGAAGCCAAAACCCATATACACTGTTGATCCGTGCAGTTTGCCGAGTATCTTGCCAACACAAGGCATGGGGAACTTTTGTTTGAAAGAAGTCCTATTTAGGGGCTCACAGATAGCGCACACGCGCCACCACCTTCCGTCCTTTCTTGGCACAAACACCGCATTTTTGCCAGGCAGCGCGCCGATTCTTGCGCTTACCTTTTATAATACGTCATCTGCTTGCAGTGATTCGCAGTGGCATCTACCTTTTGTAGCTTCGCCTTTCGTTGCCTTCCGGCGCTCGGTAGAAGCCTCAGACTTCGGGACTCCGCCAACGAGGGAACACACAAATTGCAGTTCTGCGCCAACTCCTCAATTGACAGATCCACTTCATGTCCCATATCAAGTATCGCTGCAGCGATATCCTCTAGGCCCACTCCCTGCGCCTCAGTCTGCGTGGGGGTGTTCCGTCACTGGCTTGCCATCTTTGCTCACCAAAGATCATGGCTCCGCTAGGTTCCGTTATGTGCTTCAATGTCCTTTCTTCTTTTTACATGCACTCCCAATTATGGATTGTAGGAACCCATCTCCCATAATGAAAATATGGCGTTGTTGTGGGCTGTCTGGGGCTGCTCAAAAGTATGTGCTTCCTCGTTTCCTCTGGCTTTCTTTTCTCGCTCATCTACGACTGTTGGCTAAGGCTGGTTGAAACAGAACGGGCATCAATTAGTTCTAGGTCCTGACGTGGCTCTTCCCTTCCAAGTGCGTAAGAGCTGCGCTCACTTGCTATTGAAGCCTCAACCAGTGTCTCCTCTGTGATTACTTCACCAATGTGTTCTTTAGTCATTGAGTCGCTAACCACCTTGCGACCACCTGATGGGACAGTTTAGGTACACCTGGAATTCACCACTCATCTGGTAGTTGCTCGTCTATCATGCGCCTTTGGCGACCTAATGCCCAAATCTCTCGATTACTAATCTATTGATAGATATCCACGCTTCGGCTTTCTCAGTTCTCCCTTGAAGCTTGCTGGTGCGCTGCACTTGGAACAACCGAGGTGTTTAGGCATTTATGATAGCTGGCTACAGAAGTCCCTCTACGCAGGCGAATTCGGCTTAATAAGGCAAGCCAAATAAACATGCCGCACAGGGTATTTTTTTAATGATCTGGTGGGAGATAGCGAGGTACAACTCCATCCGGCTGATGAAATGTTTGAGCACTTGCCTACCCTTCATCATGCTTTCGTCGTTGGCATAACCCCAACGACGCGTTCATAAACATTTTATCGGCAGACGTATTATGCTTTTCTACCAGCTGTAAAGCTACTGCATGCGCATCAGCTTGCAAGCCAGCATCTACCGCACCAACAGGCGATGGGTCTCCGGCAGTTGCCATCGCCAGAGGCTTTACCTTCCAGCGTCTTGCCGAGTAATACCATATATTGGATTACCAAGTAGCTAAATCGGAATCACATAGCTGCTGTAGGAAGCCATATATCCTGCAGCATACAGGCTTAGTGGGAGAGCGGGGAAAAGCTGCATCAACCGTGCGGCGCTACCAACTTTACCTGTCCATCTTGGGTCTACGCTGAAAGATACTTCACTCTTAATAGAAAGTTGATGGAAAGTTCTTGGGTATTTTCCCAGACCCGCTCCTGCTGCCTTGCCCCCGCCTTTCATAGTTGCCTTTTGAGGGGAGAGGGAGAGCCAAGGTGCGCTCAGCTGACTCTGCACGCACTCCAAGCATTGGCAGTTAGTTGCACATAGCATGTACGGCTCACGCACACAACATTATGTCCTTTTCTATCAGGCTTACAGTAGTCTACAATCAAAGCCATCCACGAATAGACAAACGTATTAGATAATTTTATAGTACTAACTTCTCAAATAGAACTGGTGTCTTAACCAGTGTTTTGGGGTACCTTAGTCGGCTACATGCATCTAGATGTAAATGCTTACAGTGCTTAGAGGGTACAGCTACTCGGCGCCCACCTGCGGCGGGAAGCCAAAGCCCGTCTTCGGAAGAACAGTCAATAATGTTCTATTACCCCCGTATTGAGTCTGCTAGTAAGTGTCCTTCTACGGATCGCCTGGATGGAGCCCTGCACGCATAGTGTGGCTTTCACGTTGCCCTTTCCATTTTGGCTTTTATTCACGGTATGTTCTAGTGCAAACTGTTGAACATCTGTGGACACGATTCACTCGTAGGATGAAGGAAGCGGTGAGGACAGGGGATTACTAAAGAGCAAGACAGAATGCTTCAAGTCCAGGTTTTCGCAGTGTGAGTCGAAGTGGAACAGCACATGCTTCTCGGTGGCTCATGTACTTTACTATTTGGACACATTATAGTCTAGGTGCTTGATTCTTGTTAAGGACATTATGAGAGGGCGCTGCAGAGAGCAAGTAGTCAAGAATCTGCTTACCCGCGGGATGTGAACAATGAGCAGGGAAGCATTATCTGATATTACACTACTGCTATCCTCAATGAAGCCAGAAATGGTCGTTCTTTGCATTGAGTAGTCCATCAAGAGGTGCCGGGACAAGGGAACAGAGTCTTCTACGCAAAGGAAGTAAGGGGAAATTAAAACAACAAATGAATAACACGACAAAGCTCCATGGACCAGGAAGATAAGAAGAGGAAGCGGTAGACGTGCAGACACTGAAAAATGTAAAGCCAAATGCAGCTACGCAAAATACGTGACAAACAGACAGCTTATGCATGCAGCCAGCGCTACCCAGCGCCAACCAGCATCCATTGATTCAATCACTGTACAACCTCCAGCAACTGGAGTGTTACGCTTCTAGTCTGAGCTTTGAAGGACGGCCCTAAGGTCTACGATCCTATCGATACACCAGAAACTTGTAATATATCCCCTTCAAAAAACCCTGCCTGTTCTTTGCCCTAGATACATAGGGTTCCACCCTGAGTGTGGATAGAAAAAGTTTGCGTTGACTCATATCCCCAAACATCCCTACTATTCACACACCCAGTTTCACAAGCCAACTTGGCACACAGGAGGTTAGCGCTTGTTCCTACAGTATTGAGTTTCACATGACATGCGAAATTTTGCGAGCAACCAAACAAGCGAGCCCACATGAATAATATACTTCATATAATATGAGCTACCTAACGTTAATTTAGCTTTATAAACAGAAAAAGTTCGTGAGCGGGCTGGCCTACGCATGAAGATAAAAAGGTTCAATTACCTGATAGACAAAACTTGGATTATTGCCTAAAGAGAGTTTCATTCCCAGATGATGTCAAGTCGAACGAACCGATGCATTTGTTGCCCAGGTTCGTACCTTCCCAGCAACAGCTGTGGGGGGCAAGACTACATCTAATTGCTGGTACATTAGTTACATGTGTTTAGGCATCAGCAAAACTTTGACTAGATGGTTTGTTTATTCGTGTACCTCATTTATTGCAGCGTGCTGTTAAAGCGACACAAGAATTCCCAATGTTGTGTGCATGTGTGCTAGACGTTGCATACAGGTGGCTGAGAGTGCTGAGTGAGCTGACAGGTTACAGCTACTCGCACATTAGCTGCCCTTCTCTCCTCTTATTGCTGTTTCTGAGGGAAGTGGGAAAGAGAAGGGAGGAGTTCAATAAAGAACATTCAATATCTTTTCAGTAAGTCCGCATCGAGTCTGGGGTGAAGTGCCTTTTTAGGGGTACGTCAGACCGAGCGGTACATCATGTACATTTTCCCTGTCCGGAGCAGTCTCACGCCCCCTGTCTTCCTGAGGTCTCAGCCTCGACGTTTCTCTCACTCTGCAGGGTAACTGTTCTGTCGACACGGTGAGAAGTGCATACAAAAGAGCATTCTGCGGTGTGTTACCGTAGAATGAGACGAGCTCCAGTAGGCACACGCAGCAGAGCAACTGAATTATGGATGTTCATGGGAAGACAGAAGCAAAGATAGCCCACTAGCTATCAAAGTGAAGCAGGTGATGAAATTAAGTATAACGTGTGTACACTAGCGAGGAACAAGAGGCAAAGCCAGAGGCGTCATTGGCTGCTGAGTGGAGGTAGATCGAGGTCGCTCATCCTAGGAATCAAAAGAGGGCTAGAACAGAAAAGCCATCAGTCCCCTTGAGTACAAATTGACAATTATACAAAAAACAGAATAAAGGCCACAAAGACTGCTGCAGGATGTGAACAGCTCCAGCCGCCGACGGCGGACAGGGGCTCGCATGCCGTTTCTGCCAGCGGCTGCTGCTGCTGTGTCCTGCTGTTGCCCGAGCAACAGAGAAAAGACTGAGTCTTCCACTGCAGAGAGGAAGCAGTGTCCCTCATCATTCTGTCTGTCTGCTGCCGCTATCCTCGCCCCGTGAGTGCTGCAGTGTGCAGAGAACTCCGACGGCGCCTCGGGCCGTCAGTCTGGCCGCTGTGCTGCCGACGCCTCTGTGTCTTCGTTCTACCACAAACAGCCAGAGGAAATAGGAAAGCAATATCGGCGGCGTCGAATATCTCCCTGGGCTAACCTCTGCAGCAGGTATTTCCTTGAAGCAATTGCCGCAAGGTTCCCAATTGTTGACTCCTGAATTTTGTCCAACGAGACTCTCGTGCCTTAACAAGAAACCAAAGCCTCCCAGCGACGCATGCAGCAACAGCATCTCTAGGAGCCTGCAAGGCTCCCTAGCTAGGGGCCGCAGACTGAAGATTGCACCGTAGTAGCTGCTGCGGCGGAAAGGACAGTGGCATCGTCCATCGGTGTGGAAATAGAGCTGCGTCTGCTGCCAGTGGAATTTTGCCTCTACCTGATCTCATCATATTCAAATAGTCTGCTGATCCCACTCTTTGAGAGGCGCAGCGGCAATTTCGCCCGGGCCGTAGGACCAGCGGGGGCAGAAACCCCATCAAGAAAAGCAGCAGCTGCCTTTCTCACCCTCGACTGAAAGGAAGGAAGGGTGGAGAGCGTTTGCAGCCACAGACACACAGTCAACCAGAGTGAGGCAGAGGGAGCTACAGGGGCGGCAGCGATGTCTGTGAAGCTCAGAGAGTTCATTCGCCAGGTCCGTGCCGCTCGCACTGCAGCGGAGGAACGGGCAGTCGTCGCGAGGGAATGTGCTCGTATCAGAACCAATTTCAGGGTGAGTTGGTTGTGTTATTCCTCTGATCTTGTGCCACCACCGTCTTCTTGACTTCTACCTCGGCTTTTTTGTGTTTCCTTGAGGGCCGCTCCACTTGAGGTAGTCCCCTGAGGCGGTTGCAAGACAAGAAAGGAGAGAGAGAGGGAGGGCCTTCATGGCTTAGTTTACCGCGACTGCGAGCTAAAAAGGGAGTCGCGATTGTCGCTGTTCGTGCTCTCTCTTCTCAGGAAGGGGACAGCCGACACAGACACCGAGATGTAGCGAAGGTATTGTTCATCTCCATGCTTGGATACCCCACGCAATTTGCGCAAGTGGAATGCCTCAAACTTGTTGCCAGCCCCAGGTCTGCATTCAGGAATCCTAATTTAACTCCGTCTTGTTTGCCGTTTTTTCTTTGGTCGACTGCCCTCACCGTCTGGCCCTTTCTGCGCATGGAGGGTCCCCAAACACACGTGGCTGATTCGTATGGGTATTGTGCCCTCGGTCTTGCCATTCTTGCGTCTTGTAGTTTGTGCATGTCTTGGGGCACATTTTGCTGTGATGCGGGGGGATTTTTGGGCTCAGGTTCTCGGAGAAGCGGGTGGGGTATCTCGGCTTGACGCTCCTCCTAGACGAATCGTCTGAGGTGTCCATGCTGGCGACAAACTCCCTAAAGCAGGACCTTCAGCACACAAATCAGTATATCAGCAGTCTTGCGCTCTCCGCGCTGGCTAATGGGGCGTCTCCGGAGGTGTGTCGCTCGCTGCTTCCCGAAGTGGAGCAGCTGATCAACTGCAGCAATCCCTTCATTCGGAAGAAGGCTTCCCTCGCCGCGGCCAAGTGCGTGCGACGGCTTGGGGAGGAAGCAGCTCCCCGCTTTCTCCCCGTCCTCCCCGTCTTGGCAGCAGATCGAAGCCACGGGGTGTTGCTGGGAGCCTGTGCGCTGCTCTTCGCGCTACTCGACGCACAGCCGCAGCTGCGTGAAGAGTGCCGGCAGCAGCTTCTACAGCCACTCACCAAGGCTCTCAGGACTTGCAGCAGCGCTAGCTATGCGCAGAGTGCAGAATACGACATTGCGGGCATTGTGGATCCGCTGCTGCAGTCGAGGCTCCTTAGGGCAGTGGCCCTTCTGGCCGAGGTATGTGCGGCTTCCGCTGAGAGAGGGAGGCTGGGATTTTTCGGCGTTCGAGGAGATGCTCGAAGTACCAAGCGCCTTTCTGCCAGAAGAAGAGGCAGCGTACCGTAGCTCGAAGCAGTCCAGCCAGCTGTTTACGTGGGGGTCCCCATAGGTTAGGAACGGGGAGATGGGGACCTTACGCGCTATGGACTCCGGCGAAACGTTGCTGCCTTGTTTCTAAACCTGCAGCTGGCATCGGCAAAGCTAATGCAGCGGAAGAAGACAGCAGAAGCATGCGGTGGGTAATGCGCTTGGTTCTGTGCGTTTGCGGATTGATTGCCTCCAGGGAGACCCCACATCGAGCGCGGCTGTGACGGACCTGTTGGCGCACGTGGCCACCAATACCGACGGGTCTAAGAATGCTGGCAATTGTGTTTTGTTCGAGTGTGTAAGAGCGATCGTTTCTATCGACACGGACCAAGGTATGCAGTGCGTTGGTTTGGAAAGTCCGTTGTTTCGCGTTTATTTTGCCGGTTGCTGCCTTACACTTGATGCCTCCTTGCCACTGCCTATCTACCAAGCGTACTTCTCGTGCGTTCTCCTTGAGTATTTCGCCTGAGTAAGGAAGGACTCGGGAGGGCGGGAGGGCGGGGGGGGAGAAGGCGTGAATTTCTCTTGGAATTTAAAGGGTCCCGCCTTTTTTACAGTCTTGCTCAGAGAGCTTCTGTGTAGGTCGCTTTGTCTTGCTGTCCAAAGGACTGCGCGTTCTGGCATTGAACATTCTTGGTCGTTTCCTGTCTTCACGCGAGCAAAATCTCAAATACGTTTCCCTGGAGACGCTCCACCAACTTCTCAGGACAGACACAGACGCGGTCACCAGACACCGAGACACACTTCTCGATTGCCTAAAGGTGGGACTAAGGGGGCTAGCTCTTCTTCTCTCTTCCCGCCTCTCCCTTTCCCCGGGTTACAGCAACACTGGCTGGCTCCCCCAGACCAGTGCAAGCAGCAGCAGCGTCGTATTTGCGCTGCTGCAGCAGCTGCAGCTGCTGCCATGTTTACGGCAGACGGAGCGTCAAAAACGCCACTTCGGAAATTTCAAGCATGCGTGCACCCGTGCTTGATGTCGTGTCTCTGCACCTGGAAAGTGTCCTACTTCATTGTTCTAGTAAGCGTTGTGCATCTCCTGAGTTTGGCATTTCTGCGTGCAGGACGGAGACGCATCAATCCGTCGTCGGGCCCTAGAGGTACTGATAGCTCTGCTTTCGCCTCAAAACATTCAAGTGTTGGGGCGTGAGCTTCTGTCCTTCTTGCTTGTCTGCGACAAGGAGCTCAAGCCCATAGTCGCTTCGCGTTTGGCCATGGCCGCGGAGACGCATGCACCAACACGCAGGTGGCAGTTTGACGCAACCTTGAAGCTCCTCTGCCTGGCAGGTACGCGGCAGGTGCAGGGCGATCTTTTCACTGTTTAGGGAGGATGCTGGCACATACATAGGGCCCCCTCCCCCCCCCGTCAGAAGTCGTTTACTTCAGGAAGAGCGCAGTCAGGCACAGACAAGGACTTATGCGCAGCCAAATAGAGACGGGCTGCATCCACGCACGGCCAGAGGGAAGGGTAGTCACAGCCTGTTGCGATGAAATTCCTGCTGGGGGACGTGTTTTGTGCAAGGCAACTATGTGGAGGAGTCCGCCGGCAATGAGATGCTGACAATGGTGCTGACGACGCCACAGCTACAGAGCTACGCCACCCATAAACTCTTCTTCTGCCTCAGGGAAGGCAGCGCTACGAGTGCTGTCCTCTGTCGGGTATGTGCCGCCCTAAGGCCCCTATCTAAACTTTCTTCCTTAGCCCTTAGGCCATCTATTGTGTCTGGCCGACCTCATGCATCCCTCAGTGCCCCTAAACTTTACCTCTTATGTCTGTGGGTTCCTGAGTCATTGCGCACTTCAGGTTGCGTTGTACTGCGTCGGGGAATTCGGAGATCTGTTAGTCGCCGCTGACAAATCTCAGTTGATGTCTTCGGACAGGGGCCAGTCACAGAAGGGCCCTCTGGATGCTCCAGGGGCGATCGAGGACCCCTCTGCCGCTGCCCTGTCTTTGACTGCCGGAGACGTTGTAGAAACGCTTGCAGGGATCTGCCAGGCACTCTTGTGTGGACATACGAAGGCAGCACCGGGTGCTGTTGCTGTTGCTGGAGCGGCAGCGACAAGCGCCTCCTCTTCCAACTCAGTTACGGAGGCCCTTCTAACCTGCCTAGCCAAACTTACTACAAGACTGCCGGATCAGGTATTGTTGGGGCTTTTTTCCTTGTGGTTCTCTCTGTCTGTATGTCTGTCCGTCTGTCTCTCGGTCTGTCTGTCCGTTTATCGCTTTCTCTTCTTTGCGTGTTATTTACCACGCTTGTCCTTGGCGCGTCCGTCGTGGGTGGACTGCGCATTTTATCGTCTCGATAGGTTGTGTCTGCTCTCACGTCCCCTTCGAGGGTGTCGCTCGTGCGGGCCTGGCTTTCACCATACGACTTCACTGCCACTCCTTTCTTTCCAATATCTGTGCTCCAGAGGGATCGCCTACTACAGCTGTTGAAGGGGTTTGTCGGCAGCAAATGTTTGGAGGTGCAGCAGCGCAGTGCGGAGTTTGTGGCGATCTTGGAGTCCAACGACTGGCCCCAGGCAGAGCTTGCCGCTCTCTTTGAGCGCATGCCACTACCGCAGCAGCAGCAGCAAGACTTGGGAAAGCAAGAGCGGCCTGTCGGTGAGACTTGCTTCGACCTGGCTGACCTTCCTTCAGAGCTCTCTCCCGAAACAGAAACCGCAGACTCCGCTACAGAAAAGCTTCAAGGCACACGAGGCGAAGGTTCGTGGGAAAACACTTCCGCGTCTGAATCATCCCGAAAGCCCCTGTTGCAGCTCTTTAGCCTTTCTTCACCCCCTAGGTCCCTCTTCATCCTCCGCCGCTGCAGCCTTACAGTCAGCGGCCGTGTATCCCGCCGTCTCGTGGTGCCATATTGCAGTCCTCTTTTGTGTATCTACTTCAAGGAAAGAAACCCGGAGGGAGACCCTTAAAGCTTCCTTCTATCAAAACGTGTCCCAGCCCTCTTCCTTATGCCTATGTCTAACATTCACTTACTGCCCGCTTCGTGTCTAGATGTGCCTCTTCCATCACCGCATCATCATCATCCTGCATGCGCCTCTAGCGACAATGTGGCGGCCGCCTGCTTCGGTTTGTCTGCACAGCACAACTGTTGGAACTCGATGATCTCCTGGGTCTTGGTGCGACTCCCAGCGCTCCCTGCAAAGCCTCAACTCCGACAACTGCTGCTGCTGCCTCCATGGGCAGCAGCAGCAGCAGCAGCGGCCTAGACCTCCTGGCTGATTTGTTAGGTGGCGCCTCCGTTTCTTCTCCGGGGGCAAACCTTCAGGGTCCCCAGGTCCCCACCACAGGCGCAGCTGCACCATCAACACCCACTGCCGCTACAAAGCCAGCAGATCCCTTCGCTGGTCTTTTAGATCTCAGCAGCCCTCTCGCCACTTCTGCCGCAGTCCCCGCCTCGCTTGTGCCGCCTATGCTCGCAACGGAGCCGCTGCCTTTCCTGCTGGAGTCTGCGTCGAGTTCCACCAACATAAACACCACGGCCCCTTTGGCGAAGCCAGCAGGAGACCACACGGACCCTCTCGCAGCGGTCTTGAATGCACGAGCATCCTCAGGCGGCACAACCCCTTCTCCCTCTGCAGCAACGGCAGCAGCAGCTACTGCGGCTGCCGCACATGGCGATGTCGCTATAGTGCCAGTTATAGATGAAGAGGGCCTTCGGGTGGTGTTCAAGTGCCGCAGGGGCCCCTCGGGGACCGTAGTAGGTGCTCCTGCGTATTGCGATATCCTCGCGGAGTTTGCGGCGGACGCAAGCAGCAAGCCGCTACAGCAGTTTCGCTTCGAAGCAGCAGTGCCAAAGTATCTGCAGCTGCAGTTGGAGCCTCCCACAGACTCAACAGTGCTCCCGGGGGCCCCCCCAGTACAGCAGCGTCTGCGGGTCAGTTGTTGCTCGGTAGGAGTAGGGGCAGCATCGGTTCCAGCGAGTCTCCCGGGTGGCCAAAAGCCACTGCTCATGAAGTGCCGGGTTACGTTTTCAAGAGACGGCTCCACCGTGCAGAAGTGTGCAAACGTCTCCGCCTTTCCCCCTGGTCTTCTGGATGCGTAGAGTGCTCTCGACTTACTGAGGGCCCCCTTGGACGGTATGTCGGGGTCCCTTCGGTCAGGCGAGCACGCACTAAAGGTCTCAAATAGCGTTCTCCCGAGGGGTTTCCTCTGAGTGACCCCAAGAAATAATCGGTCGAGGGGTCACTCCAGGGGGCCTTGGCATCAGGGGGTATTCTTCAGGAAAATTAGAACGCACAAAATCACTGGAAATAAGGACGATCAGAAGAACGCACAAAGGGCGAGAGTTCCGGTAGTTCTGCGCTTTGCGTGCGGAGCCACCGAAATCGGCAGTCACAATGCAAGGGAACTGTGGCGAGCCTTACGAAGGGCTGCGCGGTCAAGGCCTACTACGATATAGTGAAGTTTCTACTGTTGTGCGGCTACTTGGCCCTCCTGAGCCAGGGGGCTCAGAGGGCGTCTACGGAGAGGCTGGAGATCCGAAGGACGCTCCAATGAGGCCCCAGATTTGTAGTGAGGTAGAAGGATCTGTGCGGTATCAGTGTGGCAGACTAGGGGATGGCGCTGTGGTACTTGGGTCTTTGCGGCTAAGAAAAACCGGGAGTGCCACGAGCAGACAGTACGTGTGCCTCCGGGCCTAGTGTGTGAGAAGATTCGATTTCACTAGAGTAGGGTGCTTTCTTTGTAACCGTTGTTCCCCTTGTTCGACAAAGGCGTGTAAAAACAACCCGGAAATCGCAAAGTCCGTGGGGCCCCCTGGGCCCGAGCATAGGACACAGGCGGCACCGACTAAGGGAGCCCTGCGCCTTCCCCATCTCCAAAGCAGGCTCAGCAGGGGTGGCCTTACAGTATGCAAACCTGGGTTGACACATCAGGGGCCCTGTTAATATTGGAACTCTCCTGCTGTTGCTACAATAGGTCTAAGTATTGTCGGATGCCTAGCCCAAAGCACAAGCGTCTACACAGTCCTACGCCATGCCTTCCTAAGCAAGAGATACTGCTACTAAACCCTAAAAAAGAGGCGCTGCTTTGCAGGGGCAAATTCCCCGCTATCTAGAAATCTTCATTCACGTTTCCTTCCAGTTCTTAACTGCGAACTGCTGTACGCATGACGATACCGAAAACATGCCTTTGAGGGCTCCCTCAAGAGTTTGTCCGTCGTAACATGAAATAGTAAATTGCATAGGGTACCGACCCCATTCCGGGCATGCGGAAATAGATATGGCACATGTGCTCACGCACTTAGGATGTACAACAGAGCCGCCCGAAGTACTCGTTCCCACATAGACAAATCTTCCATCCCTCCAACCAGCCCGAAGACCTCCTGCCTTCGGAAAGCCGCAGGCAATACCTGCCGTCTCGGGCGTCCTATGTGCAGCAAGCGATTCAGGACGGGTAATGTGGATACGCAAACGGGTTGTCTGGAGAGCAAACATTCGAAGTTGAGAGGCCACCCCCTGCACCAAACTGTTCAGAGGGCCCCCGACCTCTTTGAAGGCGACTTGACTGCTCCATATGATGAGTATCCATCTGACTTGAGCCTCGTATCCCTCTGTTTTGACTGAGGGACCCTGGGGACGCTTTGCCCATACTAGAAGGGGAAAGCCCCCTGGAATATGCAGAAGCACGACCGCCTCCTCCAGTTGTTGCGCTAGTGCTACAAGCAGATGGAGATGGGGGCTGGGCAACTTTTCCTGGGTGAGAGGCTCCAGTTGATTGGCCTCGCTGGGCCGGACCCAGACCCCCGCCAGCGGTAGCATGCTGACCAGGAGACAGCGGCCTTAATGTCATTTCCCTCCCCAGGCTAGACCGTGCACTACGGGTGGTCATTGAGTTTGCCACGGAGCTCTTGGTAGTTTTGCTGTTGCGATGAGAGGCGACCTTTGGGGGCTGCTTGGCAGCAGCAGTGACGCTTCTTTTTACCCCTTCCACTCCACGCACCCCGGGGACTCGAAGTTGGCCTTCCCCCCGAATAATAGCATTATCTCGCTTGGCTGCCTGATATGCTGCCTTGCTGTTCAAGGCTGGGGCAGAGGAGTAATAAGAACGGGCAGCAGCGACTCTACTGATGCTACCACCACTGGAGGTTGTCGTGGGCGCCGCCCTGTGTATGAGAGGATCAAATTTTCTTTGCTTGAAAGAGTCAAAGACTTGCCGCTTCTTGTGAAAAATGGACGCGCATATGCTTTGGTGCTTAGCTACCCTATCTGCGGCGAACCAACGGTAGCAAATCGTACATTGCAGCCGCCCCGAGGAATCAAACAAACTACTCAGAGGTCCACTAGAGGACGGGCTGCCGCCAGAGGCAGGCCTCGCCTTGGGAGCCTTTGAACAAGTAACCAGGTGTTGCTCCAGCTGCAGCTTAGGCACCTCCTGTTGGCAGTGCTGGCATGTGAGACGTATGTGCTGCTGCTTTGCTGCGCAGGCTTTCTGATGTATAGGGAACGAGCGCTCAAAGAACTCCCCACCACACATCCCACAGATTATCCCCTTTCGCGGCATCACGACAGCCCCGATGAGCTCGCAAGCGAAGTCGAAGACGCTGTCACGTGCCAATTAACAGATAGACTGAGTACCAAGAATAACACCGAGAGACACAGGACAGAAAAGTGGCGAATAGGTACGTCGAGTCTCTAGTGGAAGTGGAGCCCCATGCACAGTAGAAGAAGCTAGAGGCTGGCTTGTGGCTGGAGAATAGACCTGGATCAGCGTAAATCAGCAGCACAGGAAGAAACAGGCACTGCGGAGGGGTGAGCGCCTTGTGAGGAAGTGACTAGCAACGTGCGAGAGCAAACCAACGCAGCCAGGCGTCCATCCCGAGACCACGAGTGGCGAATCGAGCCGACCCTTGTCACCTCGAGCAGTGGCAAGTCATAAGTGCCCAGTAATGCGCGTAGTTTAGCCCTGCACAACCAAGCGCCTGAGGGTCCAAGCGCTAGGGCGATGAACGGAGTTTTGGTGCACGGTATTGCGAGGTACTTCATGCGCCTTACCGATGGAAAAAGAAGCCAGAGCGATTGGAAACTACCAAATACCTATTTGAGCCGAGCTGCAACATATTTCAATGCGGGCGAAATGATTTATTAAGAATGCATGTCGGAAACAGGGGAGCACAACAGCTTGTCGCCGCGCCTCTTCCCATGGCGACAGCGAGCTGCTTTCATGAGTGTATAGACACGGATTTCCTCGTTTCTGCTGTGTATGAGCTTAGCAAGAAGTCATGAAGCCAAGGAGGAGTGACCTTGGCGTTTTCTGGAGCGCCGCGGCAGCGGTAGTAGCTGCCTCGTAGTACAGTCACCTAAATGGACCACCCCACGAAAGTCCTGCACTCCAGGCAATTCCTCAAAGTCCTGAGTCATTAATTTTGTAAAGTAACGCAAAGTGCAATGGCACTCTAGCCCCCGGGAGCCGAAGGCTGCGAAGAATTGCGAGCCATCAAGACAGTAACACCCCGAAGGCCAACCAAGCGATTTGGGCATCCCCAGCCCTCGTTGCAGTGAATAAAACCAAGACTGTACCTCCTGCACCGACTATTCCTTGGCAAAACCGAGCAAAATCAGCTTTGGACGATTTGGGAGGCCGGTGATACATGAACCCCCCGCCCACCTTCTGGCGTGACTCGCCTCTGTAACGCCGCCTTTGTGCGCGCGGCTGCGCCTCCTGCGACGCAAGGGGGGCTCCCTGCCTCCGAGTTACTGGCGGCTTGGCCCCATACAGGAGCCTCGTGACGCTCAGCGGGTGACCGAAGCCGTGAGGCCCCTGCTGTTCAGGGCTGCAGTCCGTCGGACTGCAGTTCTCGCGCTCCATCTCCTGCGCATGCATCGACAAGAGGGGTGGCAGCAACAGCGATGGTCGCGTGCTCCATGGCTGCTCACCCCCTGCAGTGGAGCCCCTTTGCTCCCAAGGGGCGTAGCAGCGAGATGATGCTGTGGTCAACAGCTGCTCTGCTCGTATCCATCGTTGTTGCTGGCCTTCCGCAAGCTGCTGCCAGCGAACGGAGCCATCCTCGAAGCCCTCCAACGCAGGAGCCTACCCAGGAAGGAGTCTCTCCCCTTCCCGCGTGCAACAGCTCTGCCCCTTCCGATCCCATCGTAGGCCAGTGCCCTCTTGTCACGCCTTCCAACGACAGGGATGGCCAAGTGCCCGAAAGCGAAGCACTCCAGGAAAGCCCTGGAGACTTCTCTCAGAGTCAGCCCGATCTGCAACTCGCAGGCTTTGCTGCCCTTTCTGTCGGTGGAGGCAAATCCCAATCGGATGCTCCCGCTTCCCCAGATGCGATGGCCATGCCGCTCCGTCGTGCGAGACCTTTTTACGCCTCAAAAGAGGCGTTTGCACCCGTGAGGCGGGGCTCTCTTATAGAGGGGAAGTACTTGCTGCTGGAGCAGCTGCACTGGCCCGTCTTGCCGGCCTCGCCTCGCGATGCTGTGGAGGCTCTGTCTGTAGAGGGTGAAGGGAACGAGGATTCGAGGGGCGCTAACGTGCAACTGAAGGTCCAGAGGGAGCTGCCCGCGCTTCCCGACATTAGCAGCAGCAGCTATCCCTTCATAGACGATCAACAAAAAACATTCGCAGAGAGCGAGTCCCTTCGTGTGTCGTGGTGGAATGGGGATCTCTTCGCCCCGGCAGACCTTCCAATTAGCCCGCTTTTGCCATCGCCAGCCGAACACGCAGAATCAAGAACTGCTCTTGCCAAAGCTATCGTGTCTGTGTACTCCGAGTTAGTGCTGTCTAGGAAGCCCATGGAAAAGGCGGAGGGATTCTGCATCGACCCCTTCATGTAAGTTACTGGGAACCGTTCGTGGGCCTGGGAATTTGCGGCTACTGGATATCTTTAAAAGGCCTTAATCACCCTTCGAACTGCGAGTGAACGAGCCAACAGGTGTCCGTGTGTTTCACGGGGGAGCAGATGCGGCGCAGGCAAACTGCGCAAAAGGAGTAGACCAGGGCTAGAGAGACAGCGCGCGGCTGCGGCAGTCGCTAATGAAGAGACAGCAAGGCAGCCATCTGCACAAAGAGGCACGGGGCACAGGCAGAGAGAGGAAACAGCTAGCGGACGAATTGCGGCAGAGGGCCTTCTTGAAGTAGGAAGGCCGAGCAGACGTAGTAGCAGCCAGAAGTCACCCATGTGCACCCGTTTGGGCCCCACAGGCCAGCCAGTAGGAGGACGGGAGAGAGACAGAGTTGAAAATCTTTTGTGCTTTTTGCGGATCTGAGGCCACAGATTTTTGAAGGCCTTCCCCTCCTGGTTTCAATTGCCCTCGTTGCCTCCACCTACGAGCAGCAGCAGCAGCAGACGTTATCGTGTCTTTAGCCGTTTAGGAGGTGGAGCCTACGGCGAAGTGAGGCGCATGCTGTTTCCAGGAGCCTTGTGTGCGTATGGGTGTGTGTGCACCTGGATGATAGTCGACACGTATGCATATGTATGTGCATCGCAGTGCATGCCTTCTGCCAAATCCTCTTGCGTTGCATCCGCCCAAGCTGCTGGCGCCCTCCACTAGGCTGCTTCTAGGGTGTCGGCAGCGGCAAGAGCTGACGGGCCAGTATATCCTGGAACGGCAGTGTGTGCTTCTGGTCCTTAGGGTGATGCGACTCGCGGATGCTGCTGGGGGCGTGTTGCAGGTGTGGCGTGCCATGTCGGTGGGAAGCGAGGCCCCTTTTGTTGAGACGGTCCTTAAACGCATGCGTTGCGAGACTTTTGAGGCCCAGGGGGCTTTGGAGGGCCAGCAGCAGCAGGCAGAGCGCTTGCGGCGTGGATTAGCTCGGGAGGTGTTTTTTGGTAAGGCGTTTTCACGCGGTTCTCAACGGTCCACCATGTCTTTAAGCATCCTGGGGTCTCTCGATGCCGCCTCTACTCACAATTATGGGTGCTGCTGCCTGGGCTGCTGAGGCTTCAGGCTTGTGGCTCCGTGGCGCACCTCACGTTTCGCGTTTTGTTGAGCTTCTTCCCGCTCTTCCGGTGTCCTCCTCACCGCCTGAAGGCTCCGTGCAGAACGAGGTTCTTGCAGCAGAGGCAGCAGAAGACTCGGAGTTCGACGCTGAAGTGGCGGCAGCAGCGGAGGCCGCATCCAAGTTTTTGCCTGAGCTGACGAGGGAGGAGCTGATTCTAGCGGCGAAAAGCTTCCAGCTGCCCTGCGGCGGCAGCTGGCTGGTCTTTGCGAATGAGGGGCTCTCCCTCACGCACTTGTTTTTTAGAGCTGATCCGGGAGGCAGCGGGCTTCTCGAGCCGGTGAGACACCAACGACAGACATCTCTTAGCCACCCCCACCGTTATAGCCCTAACAACAGCTGCAGCATTTAGAAGCAGGAGCCTGGTGGGCAGGGCCTTTGGCCGGGCCTGTGCTGTTCTGTATTTTGACACTCGCCTCCTTGTCGTTGTCGCTGCACGCAGAATGCATTGTGGTGGCACTTGAAGGCTTCTTCTTCGCTGCTGGTGCCGCTTCGCGTGCGGGGTATTGCTGCCACCGCTGCCACGGCAGCGGATGCCTCGTTTTACCCTTTGCTGGCGCAGCTGCGGGACAGTCAGACCGATTTGCTGCTCTTTATTCGTTCTCTGCTAAAGCAGCTGCTGACGGCGCTGCAAGTTGCACACGAACGAGGCATAACTCACAGGGATGTGAAACTGGTGCGACCTCGGGCAGCGCGGTGTACAGGTTCCTAATAAAGGCTTTTGCTGCCAGCACACTACGTAACCCTTTAGAGAAGCTGCATGCATGCCGTGCAGAGGGGCTGTGATAGGCACACTTGCCGGAGATTTTTCCTCAGCGCTTACGTGCTCGCAGATCTTCCTGGCCAGTCTCCCTGCTGTCCCCAAGCCAGTGTCTCTCTCGCCTGCAAATCGCTCCCTCCCCGTCAGCGCGTCTCGGAAAATGCAAGGCTTCGTTGTGTTTGCTCCGTTTTCTGGATGTCTGCTGCTTCAGGAGAATGTGTTGCTGCATCCCTTTCTGCCCATATCCGTGCGGCTAGCCGACTGGGGTAGTGCTGTCAGCCATGACCCCTCGTCCTCACTGGCCAGCGGTGAGGCTGCGCTGGACGCTGTTGGTTATACTGAATATACGGCAGTTCGTATCTCAGCGCAGACAGCTTTTTGCGTGGTTAGAGTGGCACCTCCTCTTCATTGTGGAGCCCTTTTTCTCTGATATTGATCTGGCTGTGGCGTCAGGAGGCTCCGTGTTTTGCGTGTTGCGGCTGTGCCGGCTGAGCTTCCTTGCACAGGCGTCCTTGCGTTCCTCCTAGGCCCCTTTGTCGCATTTCCACATGGCCACATTGCTGGCACAAATGCTGTGCTGCTGCTGCTTTTCGCAGCGCTGAGGGTCCTGTGGGGTGGTGAGGCTCCGTCGCTTTTGGAGGAAACAGAAGGCTATCAGCCCCCGGAGGTGTGGGCTGAGGAGGCAGCGCAAGCCGAGCAGCAACAACATTTCAAAGAACAACAAGGATACTCCTGTAGCAACTGCAGCAGCAGCAGTGAGGACGATGGCAGCAACAACAACGGTAACGGCAGGGGCGTGGGATCATTGCATCGCTTGCCTTCGTACGACATATGGGGAGTGGGGTTGGTGTTTCTCAAGCTCGCAATTGGCAGTCCTACGCCTCTGGAGCCTATAGACGCCAGACAGTCTGCTAAGGTGCGCATATACTGCCGCTGCCGTTTCTGCTCCTTACCGTTGCTGCAGCCTTTGCTCTTGCCTTTCGTGCTGCTGCTCTTTTCCTGCCTTGGTTTTGCTACCCTCACTGCGACTACCTGCTTTTCCAGGCTCCTCGGGAGTGTGTGTCTATCTATAGCTGTGTACTTGTTGGGAGTATGCTGTTTCGCTTGCTGTTGTGTGTTTAGTTGGCGCGTGCATCCCAAGGGAAGCCCCCTGAAGTGCTGCGTCGTGATTTATTGGTTCTGGCTCTAGGAGATTTGTGTTTGGTGCCCTGGGCCTCCGATCGTCTGCCTGCTGCTGCCGCGCCGACTGCTGTTGCACCAGCGCCACCTGCCCCGTTCATCTCGACTTTGAAGAACGCGCTTCTCTCTGCTGTAGAAAGCCTCTACTACAGATGGACAGATGTGCTCAGGGCAATCGCGTTTGCTGGGTACAAGGAGGCACAGGTGAAGGAGCAGGGGAAAATCCATCCTCGGGGGTCCTCTGCTGTGTTGGCTATGAAGAAGGACCACTGGAGGGTAGGGCAAGTCCCACGCAAAGCACACCCCTCCACACGCATGCCATAGAAGCTGTAGCCTCCAGTTATTGGTTTTGCTGCAGTTTGTACCGATTGGCGCTTGGCGGCGGTGAGGATGATACAGGTATTGTTACCTAATCATCTGATTGGCCAGGTTGTACAGCGCAGCGCGGCAGAGGGCGACCACTGTCTCAAGTTGTATGCCTCTGCGTGACGGCTAGGAGACCCATACACGAAAGTCTGGATCTTAGATAGCGCCCCTACGGATAGTTCCTATTCTTGCATCTCATCTGATAGTTGGTTGGTGCACAGGACAGTGAGGTAGATGGTGAAGGCCTCTTTACGCTCCTCTCGCGAGTGCGAAGCTCTGACGGAGGAGGGGAATTGATATTGCGACAGCAGCAGGCCTTGCAGGGGCCGACGCATTACGGCCAAACTAAACGGCTATTTGGGGACCCCGACGACTCTGACGATTTTAGAAATCAAGGGACCCAATCACACAGTCATCAGGACTGTAGTGATGCATTGGTATGTTACGCCTCATGGTGCCATTATGAGGCTCTGCTGCGTTGCATCTGAGCACCTCCTGGTCGAAGGGGGCGGTGCGCTACTCCGTCTGGTTTGGCCGCCAATTGCGCTTCTTCGTGCTCACGCTGTTTGGTCTTTAGATGTTATAATAACCACGAACGTATTCGTGGACTCAGTTCAGATGTGAATTTCCAAGGCGGGTGGGGTGTGCGTGGCCTTTTTCTGTTGTAGTTTGCCGAGCTGCTAAGAGCTCGGGATCCAGCGGGTCTTGGGGTGCCAAATCCCCTCGCGAGAGATCTTTTAAGAAAGCTTCTCGCCTATGATCCTCAGGTAATGTGCATTGCCTTCTCGCTGACTATCCTCCCGTTCGATATTCTCTCTCCTCGTTCGCCTTCCCCCCGGACATGCTGCCCGTTGCTTCTTGTTCTGCACACGCTTTGCTCTCTCTTGTGCAGAGGCCTTCCCTTGTAGGTGTTCCCTTTTGCGTGCATGCTCGTGCCGAATTTATGGGTGTGCATGCGTATCTCTTGAAACGCTTGTCTATGCAAACCCATGCGCATTTGCAGATATATGTTTTCTACCTTATATTATGAGCCTCCTGCTGCAAGTATGCACTAAGGATTAGCGATTCGGGCTTTCTGGTTCTTTCCTGTACACCCACCATTTCTCTTATTTGTGCTTGACTTTTTGAAACTCAGGAACGCCTGTCAGCAGAGGCCGCACTACAGCATCCCTGGTTTTCCGTATCCGACACTGCGGCTGGGGCATTGGATGAGCAGCGGACAAAGAGGCTCTGACTTGGCCTGGAGCTTACAAAGTCAGCTCTCCCATTGCGCCTGAAGGCAGCTACGAGCGGCGCAGCTACGCGATTGATGTGCTTTATATCAACATATAATCCGCTTCACGTAACAGGATTATGCATATGTGTAAACGTACAAAATCTGTAATGCTACCGCATGGGGCAGTTAGTAACTGCTATCCAGAAGATTCGCAACCTGGGTAGCCAGGCGAGGATTTAAAGAGAAATGGTACCACGCCTAAGACACGCATAGCCCCCTACGTGCTGCTTTGCCAGGTGGCCCTGGGTTTGCCGGTACGCGAAACAGCAAGGGCGCAGCCAACTGTCACGGCACCTGCCGTTCGAACAACAGCATTTAGGGGACTCCACTCACGCACACGATAACTTTTTACAGGCACAAGGACTTACAGAGTTAGCGTCAATGAGCGTTTGAAACACACGTCTACAATAGTATGGCTGAATGAAGACGCAGGATGAACAATATGCCTGACTTGCACGGCTGTAATCAGGAGGCATAGCCATGCATTCCAATGCCATAGGGCCTTACAGTTGAGAGACAAATTCTAGAGGCAGCCGCACTCTACAGTAGAAGCTGGTCGGACTCTGCATACCATCATAATCCAGTGCCATCTACAACTTGACCCGGTGTTTGGGAGGCCTGGGAAAGCCGAATGCCGCAATTGACTATCAATGCGTCTACCGTGAATAATTTATCCACCATTTCGCCTAGTCCTCAGCAGAATGTTTTGCGGACCCATTAGGTAGATCAAGAGTGGCAGTGCCTTCGAAGTATAAGCAACGGACGTGGCGCAATGGTGCAGGGTTTCACAATTTGCTTATCGGATACACACACACCCCACGCAGGATCTGCTTACTCTCCGAGAGGCGGCCCTGTGAATAATGAACGCTCCTCGACTTTCTAGTGCCAGATGGGCAAAGGGGGAGCCTGCTGCCCGTGCTGGTGTCTTACAAAGGCAGCGTCACCCCTGAAGCTGCTGTTTGTATAAGATCCTCTGCTGTCTGGGTGTATGCATCTAGGCTGCTCTTTTCACAAAATAAATGGTCACCCCCCAACCCCCTCCATTCTGCACTGTTTCTTCTTTTTTGCAATGTGATACAGAGATTGCCCTCCTCTGCAGGGGGATGACAAGTAAATGGCTCTTAGGAAGCATGGTTCTTCGTAGGTAGCAAGGAATACGAACATCATGGCGGTCTCATTCCTTAAGAAGGAGACATAGATAGGGTGCTATATCAGTCTTTGCCGTGGACTGTAGCTTTCTGCTGAGGTACATGCTGCCGAAATGTTGCCACCTTTTGCCACTGCTTTCCAATAAGTGCCCCCTGGAGACCAAAACACGCTATAATTAATCGATTTTCTGGTTTAGATGCTTTCTGTGCTCTTAGTGTTGAAGTGGTGTCAAAACAGCTCATGGGCTGCAGTTGGCGTTTTTTAAATCGTTGAGACAAGGAGGAGGGTGGACCAAGCGGCCGCAACTGAACCTTCACCGGAGAAAGCCTCATAGTTGCATAGGCTCAGAGACGGAATATATACAGAGGTACACCCGTTTGCCCTTGGGACTGCCGGCTTACTCGGTAGTGACGCTGAAGCTGTACTGATCAAGTGTTTGGTGGTATTGAGAGCCTTGCGCGGGGACCAAGGCAATGGGATACCTATCACGGGCCACAATACGATCATGACTAACGAAATTAGTTCAGCAGCAAGTTAAGCCGGTGGAAGAATCTGCGTGTATCACCGGCTCGCCTCCGCAGACCTAACGGGGTCTCGAGACACCTAAGCTCTCAGCTGTGCCCATTGCTCTTCTCAGTCACTTCAGCAGAAAACAGAGCAGTATACAGCAAGCTACAGACAAAACTCCAGTCATCGCAGTGCAGACAACAACAACGTGAGGACTAGCAGCAAGGGCCCCCTCGACGCCTCGGATATCCCCTGCGGGGCCCCGCTTGCGAAAAAGGCTGAATACGCAACAAATCTCGGGGAGCGACTCGATTTCGCCATATGGCTGCACCGTTTACATTTGGTATTTTCAAGGATTAAGGGTCTTAATGGCTGGCCCCTCAACTTGCCACACCAGGAGAGGTGTCTTCAGTCGGCAGCGGATGGCCTCAGATGGACTCCAATGGGAGTATCCCTACCCTGGGGTCTACAGGGCCCCGTGGGTACTTACCAAAGACACTCTCCGCATAAGAAGCAGGAGGGTGCTTTAAAGTGGAGAACAAAGTCGGTGTGTCGCTCCCTGCGGCAGTTGCTGCTGCTCGTGCTGCTGCATCTCTTCCTGGTGACGGCTTGCACTGGGGCTGCCTCGAGTGTGCTGCTGAAATCGCGGCAGCAGCCGAAAGGGCATGCCACCCTCTTTGCTGTTGCTGCGCCAGGTAGTAACAATGTGAGGAGCCAGAGCCGCTGCTACAATGCCTGCATCCCCTGCAGAATTACATGTTGCCTAGCAGCGGCCACAGCAACAGAACCACCTTCGAAAGCGGATCGCTGGGGCTTCCTTAGCTGCAGAAGCCATGCATGCCATGGCTTCGGGGCACTGGGCAGCGGCAGACGCCGTGTCAGCTACACCCGCGCCGATCATACCCATTGCGACTCCAAGCGCAGCATTTTCAGCAGCACCACCAACGCCAACGGAAGCGCTGATAGCAGCAACACACCGGGCGACGTTAAGGCCGCTGATCCAGCCGCGAGCAGTGGGAGGACGCGTGGCAGCAGCAGTTCGCATGCGTTTTCGTCTACGGTGCTTCTCCCGCGCTCTCCCCTGCGGCTTCGTGGGGATATCTGGAGGTCTGAATTAGCGGTGCAACGGCTATGGCGACGGCACCGAACCTATGAGCGGCTGCTCCTGCAGATATGGTGTCTCAACAGATGGGCGCAGGAGCATAACACGAGCGGCAGCAGCAGCAACAACAACTCCAGTGGCGGAACCAGCAACATTGACACAGGCCACATGGAGCAGTCGGAGATATCAGATGCGTGGCTCGACGCTCTCGGGTTTGCGCTTACGCCTCCGAACAGTGAGGATCGCAGCAGCAGCAACGTGCTGCTGCTGGACGGCCCTCCGTATGCCAATGGAGAGCCTCACTTAGGCCACGCAGTAAACAAGTGCCTGAAGGATTTTGCCGTTAGAGCAGCGCTATTGCAACGCCGTTGCTGCCACCTCCTGCCCGGCTGGGACTGCCACGGCTTGCCCATCGAGCTGCGAGCTGCCGCTGCTGAGGAGGCGCAACGGAAAGGAGGGGAAGCTTCACCAGCGCATTTCCCCATCCTCAGCGGGCTGCAACGAAGAGAAGGGAACCCCGCGGATGCCAGCAGCGATACTAGACCGAGCCGCAGCAAAGAAGAAGAGGGCGAGTCTGAATCTCTGCGTAGGAGGGCCCGCCTTGTGGCTCTTCACTTTGCTTCACAGCAACAAAAAGCGTTTGAGCGGTGAGCCCGTCCCGGCAGCTGGAGCATGATTTGCTCTTCCCTGCTTTTGACGGGAGGCACGCAAAAGCACATCCTATGCGGTGCTTTGGCGCGCTTTCAAGAGCTCCTCTCCCGTCTTTATCAACCTACGGACTTCTGTGCATGCATCCCCTGTATTTCCCTTGCAATGCTTGTGTGGCTGCTGTCTCCCTCCTCCCCTTCCGGCGTTTTCTAGGGCAATCGCTCGCGTGTGCGGACGTCTGGTTGAAGTCTCTCGTGGTTCTGTTTTGAGAACTTTCCTAGCACTCCTGATTTGTAGGGGCTCCGTTCCGCTTGCATTTGTCCCTGTACTGCCGCCAAGTGCTTAATGCATGCGCATACATTGGCCTACTCGTCTATCTCCCTACGCCCCCAGTTAACATCTCTGCGCAGCAAGGGTCTGATGCTCCTTGCTTCCTTGCGCCATCCTCGTTTTCCTTATGCATGTATGCATGTAGTTCATGTTCGTATCGTTTCCCACTTATCTTTGGTACTTCACAGCTAGCTCAGTCCCCCTTCCACCTATATGCCTGCTTGCGTGCTTGCCTACATCCCAGCCTTCGCTTCTCATATGGCCCCTCCTCTTGCATCTCTGCCCGCTACCGTGAGTCCTCTCATGTAAATGCATGCGCAGGTTTGGTGTGTGGGCACATTGGGAAGATGCTTACAAAACGCTGGACACCGACTTCAAGGCCAAGGAACTGCGGCTCTTCGCGCTCCTGTGGAACCAGGTCAGTCTGCTGCGGCAACGGCCGCGTCATATTCCACGGAGGATGCTTGCATGGTCACACAGGCACAAAGGGGGAGAGAGTGGAGGGAACGGGGGTAGGAGGCAAGGAGGCAGCTGCAGCTCTGCGCTCCGTTGGGGCAACAGCACGCAGACACATGCTGGCCTGCGGCCAGGGAGAAAGATGCGGTTGTCTGCTCGCGAATCATCCTGACCACTTCTGTTCAGGGTCTCATATCCCCCTCTCGCTTTCCTGTTTATTGGAGCACTGCAAGCCTCTCGGCCGTATCAGACAGCGAGGTGATCTTTAAACCCACGAACAGAGAGTGCCTCTACCTGAAGTTCTTGCTGCAAGAGCCTCCATCTCTCCCAGAGCGAACCTTGCCTCTCTTCAAGCAAACGCGAGGCCCGTGGTACTTCGTTTCGTGGACTACCACTCCCTTTACAGTCCCCGCCAGCAGAGCCCTCGCGCTCCACCCCAAAGCGCAATACGCCATCCTTAAAGCCTCCATGAAAGGCTCCCATGGACTTTCGGACGCGTGCTGCCCCTCAGAGACAGGGGGCACAAAAGAGGAAATATGGCTAGTGGGGGAAAAGTGCGTACCGTCTTTTATGGAGGCTTTGAGGAGCGCAGAGGCCTCCTGGACTGCAGAACAGATCGGCACACTTTCCGGAGATCAATTGGGCGGACTGCGGTGGGTCAAGGCACGTCCAAGCTTTTTTAACAAGCTTCCTTAAAGGCCTCTCGGTACTCGTTCCCTGGTTGCCACCGCAGATGTACGCCTTTTTCTTTGCCGCTGCTGTTCATTTTGCGTGCTTGCATGCATCAATTCCGTGGGTGTGTCTGCATGAGTGCCTTTCTGTCTCTATGTGTGCAATAAACGAACAGACATATGGTTCTGCCTCTGACAGTGTGATCGTTTGCTTCTATGCCTCTAACTCGTACTGCACTGCCTTGGCGCCTTGCTGCTCCTCCCAGATACGTTCATCCTGTGGCGAGCAGTGTGACTTGCCCCGTCCTGCTGGACCCCGTGGTGGAAGTCGATAAGGGCACTGCCGTCCTTCACGTGGCCCCAGCACATTCTCAAGAGGACTTTCGGCTCTGTGCGCAGACGCCCAATTTCCATTGATAGCCCCCGTTCTACTACCTGGACAGCCCTAGGGCTTCCGCAAAGATCAAAGTTGCGCGAAGAAGCTGCCCTTGCAACTTTTAGATTCCTAATGAACGGCTAGACCCGATGGGAGGACCCTTATCGACAAGGCAGACGGCTATGACGACAGACGCGTTCCTTTAATCCTCATGTGCGCTTTCTAGATTGTGCCAATTTGTTTCTGCAGGCGAGCGAGCAGGGCGGGGGACCTTTCTGGTTGTTAAACGAGCTGGAGGCAACACAAGCTCATTCCGGGTGCCCCTGCTCCCTGAACTGGAAGAAGAAGAAGCGGCAGCAGCCGCGGGGGCTCCCCTTCTGTGCCCTGTCGGCCCCCAGGGCACCTTTCTGGGAGGCATCGGCAGCGATCCCTTTAAAGGGCTTGAGGCATTGAAAGGGGGCGAGGATGAAATTTGTGCTTTTCTGCGTCGTAAGAACACTCTGCTGCTGACCGTAAGTATCTCTGGGGGCCGTGCAAGTGTGGGGAGGAAGGTGCCTACCGGTGCCTCTCATCAAGATGCACTGCCCATTCGAGGAGCGCCCCGAAAGTCTCCCCGAGTGCAGTAGCATAAGCAAACACCACTGGACGTCGGTGGTATCCTGCTTGTTCTGGTGTTTGTATCCGTCTTTGCAGCAACGATTGGTGTTACCTTTTCCGTACGACGAGCGACGCGGCTGCCCTCTTCTTCTCCGCGCGACACCCCAACTGCACTATAACTTGAGGGGGCTCCTGCCACGGGTTCTTAGGGACTTGCACAGCATCAGGTGGCTGCCCGCTCGGCGCAGCCACAACGTGCAGCAGCAACATGACATCAAGGAAGGGACACAGGAGGGCGACAATTTCAAAGGTACTTCGACGGAAGACGCAAAAAGCGAAGGCCGCAAGAAATCAGCGGCAGACGAAATGCAAGCAGCACCACAAGCGGGTTCTAAAGGAGCAGCTGCTCCTGGATATGAGCGCATCCGGGCCGCTTTGTTGACACGGCCGTCTACGTGGTGTATCTCTCGACAGCGACTATGGGGACTACCGATTCCCCTTCTTAAGAAACCCAAAGTAAAAGGCCTGGATGCACTGTGTGAAGCAGCCCTCAATCTCGAAAAGGGAACAGAGGCAGGATGGACGCAGCTGGGGCTCGATGAGGACCTGGATGTATATGCCGAAATACCGGGAGCAACAACAAGTAAAACAACAGAAGGCCTACTATCCAGGTAAATAGTGCGTTTCTGCGCCTTTGGAGCTTCGCAGAATGCAGGAGCAACAGAGACAACAGTGGCACACCAAGTGCAGGAAGTTGCATATTCATGGGGGACTGCGGCGTTTGGGTGCTGTGGTTTTGGGTTTCTGCTGTTCTACAGGCTTCGGAGTCGCAACTGGTGTGGAGCGACCTTCGACGTGTGGTTTGATGCAGCTTCTGCTTGGCTAACGGCTCACAAGTTTATCCAGCGGTGGACAGCAAGCGCTAATGCTCTTCTAAGCCAACATCTTCCAAAAAAGCTGCAGCAGCAGGCGCAGTGCAGTCAGCACCAGCAACCGAGCGTGCAGCCTCAGCAGCAGCCGCCACCTCAGGTGTCTCAGCAACAGCAGCAGCGTCACGAAGGAAGGGCAGAGCCCTATTGCTGCCTTGTTATTGAGGGGTCAGATCAGAGCAGAGGATGGTTCCAGAGCATGTTGCTCTCTCACGCAGGCGCCCGGGAAGCCCTCCGTCGGCAGCAGGCAAAGTGGGAGAGGACTGCTGAGGCTTTGCAACCTGGAGACACCCCCGACACGCGATGCATGTTTAAGCGACAAACAGACCAGCTCGCACCAGGGATTGCTGGGCCAGGAGCTGATCGACAGCCGCTCGCAGGGGAAGATTTGGGAGAGTGGGATATACCAAAGCTTCCATTCAACTTGGTTGTGACTCATGGGTTTGTTGTAGACTCGAGCGTAGGTCTACTGCAGCTATGTTCCCCCCTCCATCTTGTCGTACCTTGGCTCTTGAACCTCCTGCTGTGTGCTGCACTGGGGTTCTTGTGTATCATATGTATGTATTTCCTCCAGGGAAACAAATTAAGCAAGTCCAAGGGTACCGCCTTGTCGCCGGCCCTCTTCTTCACTGCTGAACGAGAAGCCCAACAAGCGGTCACAGCAACGAAAGCGTTGCCTTCTGCTGCGTCGAGCATCCCGACCATGTCACAGCCCCAGCAGCTCTCTCAGCAGCGGCAACGGAAGGATGGGCAGCTGATGTACGGGGCTGACGTTTTGCGTCTGTTTGTTGGATCTCTGGACTTTGGGACGGATATGGCGTGTCCTTCCTGGGGTCCGGAGCAGCGACGGAGTAGAGACACTGCAGTGCATGCATCCAGCGCTGCCTATATCAAGCTGAGAAATTTATTTAAGTACCTCATCGGCGCCCTTCAAGACTTTGACCTCAGAACTGTAAGCACCTAGTAGGAGAGCTCGCAAGGGCAGTAGTAAGCGGATCAGCACGCTGGTTGCAGGTTGGGAGAAGCCGCAGTAACAGGCGATAGAGCACTTGTTGGAGCACGAGGGACACCAAGAGCTGTAATGGCTGCAATAATAGCTGCCCGCAAAAACAGGCACAAAGCACTACTTGTGGAGGCGATGTCAGAGTTGAAAATTGGTATTGGGACGCTTCGCACTGACTACAATCCAGCAAGAGTAGCAAAAACATAACCCGAAGGAATTCGATGTTTCTGCAGCACGCCGTCTCTTTAGAGGACTTACCGCTTCTTGATGTAGGCATGATACTGAGGCTCAAGGCCCTGGCCGACGGGATGGGCACAGCCTACGAAACGCTACAATCAAACAAGGTGCTTTTTTATTTGTTGTTCTATTTGCCACAACATCCTCTCGTCCTCCGTAATTCCTTTAAATGCTTTTTAGTGCTCATTTTGTAGAGGGCATGAATACGATATCACTGGCGCATAAGCTGCTGCAGCTGGCGCTGTAAGCGGTGTGTATGCGTGTTCGTGTTGCTCAGGCTTTGCGTTTGCTTCTTCGATTTGTCTCTGAGGATCTGTCAGCAACATATCTCGAAACAGCGAAGGACAGACTATACCTCGACCACTATGGAGGCTACCGCAGACGCAGTTGCCAGGTCATGTAACCCTTTGTCCATAAGCACCTTTCTTTACCGCGTCTGAGTGCTCCTGCTTCAATGTATTGGGGAACCTTTTCCTACACTTCTCCAGTCCTAATTTTTCTACGTGGCTAGCCTGAGGCCCTCTCACGAGTGTCCCTTTGCTCGCTTTTAGTCATGTTGCCTCTTCGTGCAACTGCTGCGGTGCGCAGACAGTACTCGCTATTTCTTTGCTGGCATTGCTGCCACTGGTGGCCCCCCTGACTCCCCATCTGGCGGAGGAGACCTTTTGGAGGATGCCTCACGGACTACGGAGGGCCCTGTGTGTACACCGCACCCGCAAGGTGTGCGACCTGTTGGGTTCAAAAGGAGGCGAATTGGCAAGGACTCTCGGATTTTACGAACCTTTGAAGTCCATCTTTGAGGTGCGTCTTCGTCCTTTATTTGGATCGGTCTCCCCTTCTACAGTCCGCTTGCATCCATTCGTTTTGCCTTTTCGCTTCTTCCTATTTTTTTGTGACTCTCTTTCTTTGTAGCGTCCATATGCTCTGTGTATCACTGCATTTTTCGAACCTCTTCGAGCTTAGCACACAGCAGTCTGATTCTCGTGTTCTTGCTACCGTGACTCCTGCAGATGGGATGGCCCCGCATGCACTATGCTGTAGCACCCCGCAAAGCGGCCGAGGCTGAGCGGCTGTGGACGCTCCTTTTGCTCCTTCGCCAAGATCTTCACTGGCTCTTTACGAGGGCAGGGCAGCAGCAGAAGGATTGCCCAAGGGGGCACTCCCGTTTGGGGTCTCTTAACGACTTGAAGCTGACTATTGATGCTCCGGTAATGCCCTTCTCAGTTCAGCTACTGGTTGTGTCACTGAAAGGTAGCCACTGCCTGGTAATTGTACTACCTTTCTGCGCCGGAACAGGTAGAAACGAACGGAATGGAAAGCATGCTGATCGGGGGTGGATGTGCATTTATAGTTTAGGAGTTGCACGTGCACTACGATATAGCGTTTTTTATGCGTGCAGAGTAGGGAGAGCCACGAGGAACTGCGAAAGCTGCTCCCACAAGCGAAGCTATTACGGCCAGCTCCGCATTTTCAGTTCCCTCCGGGGCAGCAAACCTCGGGGAGAAGAACACCTGCACACTGCCGTTCCTACGTGGACGATTTGCGGTGGCTGTTGCAGTGTTCCGAAGTTGTGCTTAGGGGTCCAGAAGCTGCGGAAGACCACCTAAGAGAAGAGGGAGGTGCAGGAGAGGCCCTCGCGTCGCTGGAAGCGGCCGCATCAAAGTCAGGTTTGGGGCTGAGGCTCTACAGGGCCCAGGGGCTGAAATGCCAGAGGTGAGGAGTCGCTACGCTACAGCGAGAAAGCGCACCAAAAGCTTACCCAGCATTAGACGTGGCCTGATAATTTTCAGTTGAAGCACAACAAAAAGGAACCCAAAGAGGTAGAGGGATAGACGGCGATAAGCAACCGATGAATGACGCGAAATAGCAGTAGATGCACTGTGCTACAGGGTCTCAGGACCCAGCTGACGTATACCGGAAGGAGGCTACAAAGCTCTGAGCCCTTACAAGCCACAGGACGATTTAAGGACTATCAGATGAAGCTCACTTCCTCTGCTTTAGGTCACTGTTAGCGAGTTCCTTTATGCTATGCGTTTATGCTGCTACCGTTCTGCAGGTGTTGGATGAGGGACCCCTCGCATTCTCAGGGGCTCGCGACCACCGAAGACCTACCAAATGTCGCATATCCAGCAACGGTAATAGCAGCTGCAGGGAAAGCCGTTGGTTCTGCCGTTGAGGATACCCCATTCGCGTGCGCCAGGTGCACCGACGTTATGTACCACAGCAAAGGCAAGCAATGAGGAGCAGTAGCAACAGGCGGAGTCCGTAAGGCTACGGCTTCGCGTCGTGATCCCACATCTTCCCATTACTGATAAGTGTTAAAATGTTTGCATATTTCCTCTGGAGCACGGCTAGATGGGGGCTGAAGTTTCTAAAATGTTTCTTTACCCACCACCAGTAACTCTTTCGAGTGGCCTCTCAGTCCTATTCATAATCTGAGTCTGTGAGGCCTTTACATGATAAGGGCAGCTAAATAATCTCAATTATCATTCCTCGACGGGGCAGTACGTTGGAGCGCTACTTGGTTGGCCTTCCGTTATCTTTGCCGAAAGAAGTGCGGGGTGGTCCTTCCTTCTAACATATGAAAACCAACAAAAATAAATAATCTAGGGCGTCTCTAAAATTAGACAAGCCGGAGCACACGTTAAAGTTGCCAACAACGCCTCTGCTACAGAGGCTCGCCGATGCACCGCACCACCCCCCTGAACAAATTCATTAATTTCCTTGGCAATGACAGGAAACGTGCCATAGGCCAGTAGTCTACATAAGACTCCCCCCTGCTTTCCCACGTATTTGAAGCTAGAGATGAGCAGCAAGGAGGGATTCTGGCAGTCTCACACGCGGAGCGGCTGGAAGGAGCCTCTTTGAGTACCTATTAAACACAAAAGCAACAAGACACCCCTGCGCCACACAACAGAATGTAGCGGGTGCTAATAGAAGAGAATTGAGTAATACAAAAACATCGAGCCTCCCCGGGATGGCAAGTGGCGACTGGGGCCCTCCACACAGAAACATGCCTGCTGAAAGGGCCTTCCCGAAAGCGTGGCCTCGGGTCTACTTTCCCCCTTCATCCGTATTCCTTGATTAATATTGATGGTAGATTCAGCTCTACGCGATCTCGAAACAAAGAGCTCGACAAACTCGCCAAGTTTACCTCCAGGGGGCCCTCCCAGGGAAGCCCCCTCGGGCTGTTTCTATTTTAGCCGCCTTGCCCCTTGGAGGGTTCTTGCATCTATTGTCCATAGGCGAGGTTGGGTCCTTCCGGGCTGTCCCTTCTCGTAGGCTGCTGCCGTCATCCTTCTCAGGTCCGCACGGCGATGTTGGGGCGGTTTGTAGGAGTAGTGTTAGGCCTATGCCTTGCGGCTACAGGATTTGCCACAAAGGCCCCACCAGCTGTATCCAAGCAAGGGCCAAGTGGCGATGGAGGTGCTCAGGGAGTGTGGGGTTCCATCGTATGCAACCCGTCTCAGATTCCTGGCCTCACCATAAGCCTCAATGGAACGCCTCTGACCAGTGCAACCTTGCTGCGAGCACTGCCTCACAAGAGCTTTCCAGAAAGCTCTTCTGCGGTGCAGGGCATCTTACCGGGTGCCTCTAACATATCGGCCGAATTCCACCTGCCGCCTCTTCTGCCGGGGTCCTACCTGCTGGAGTTCCTGCATCCGAGCCTCCTCTTCCCAAAGTACCAAGTCTCTATTAAGGGCACTGGTAGCAGTATCATTGAGGTATACTTGTTGAACGAATACATGGTCGCATCAAGTACAACTCCCCTGCCGGTGCCCTTGCGGGTGGTGCCAACTGGAGTTCCCCGCTACTTCCCTGTGCAGGGAGGATTTAACCTCTTTGATCTTCTGCGGCAGCCCTTGGTGATCTTGGTGCTCGTATCTCTTGGAATCATGTTTTTTCTTCCTAAGATGCAAGAGGTACAGATGGAGGCAGAATCCCAACTGCCTCAAGAGGAGACCCCCGAGCACCATATTGTCGATGGTCACGGGTCAGAGGCCCCTGAATCTTCCTTTGTCGAGAAGCTCATGCGGCATGGCGGGAATTAGGGACCTTATTTAGAGGCGCTTAGAACCTCCGATGAGGCTGCTGTGTGCAAGTGACTTCTACTAGGGGCAGGGGTTTGCGAGTCGCCCACCACAATGCCCCGTTGGGGGGTCCTGCGAGATTAGGGATTCCCAAAATGGCATTTATAGTCTCTAGTGGGGTTCCGGGATGTACTCAGCACCTCTGTGAGACTGGTCGTGGCCTGCCCAGTATCTAGTCTCATGTACCAGCTCCCTGGCGGCCTCCACTACCCTAGAAGGAAACGACGCCAATTAAGTTGACCTCGTGAGGGACTGTCTTTTTCAATGGAAAAGTCTATCAGGGGATTTAGCTTAATGGTGCAATGAGAAACGACAAAAGTTTTGAGGTTCTTTGAGTGGTGCAGGAGCTTGCACAGGGGCCTCCCCGAAGTTTGGGAGACCCAAAGAGCCACCCGTTGCAAGGAGGTGTGGACTTTGCAAACACCACCGCTGCCGCTTGCAGCTGCAGACATACTGTAACCAGTGCTGTCTTCCGTGGCATCGCCAAGGGCGCATTACTGGGCACCTTCAGCGCCCACAATGTGGATAGGAGCGACTCTTGCTAGTGAATAATTGGTTTTGACAATAGGGCTCGCAGCCTTCTGCGTGCACAGAGGGCTGCTCAAGGCCACGGGCCCTACTGATACTTTAGCTCAAGCCATTACAAGGCCTCTAGCACTGACGATGCTGCTGCAGTCGCCGCTCCTGCCTTTCTAGAATACAAAGAGAATACCTGAAGGAAAGGCGTAGTCACCTTCCTTGGCTGCCGCTGCCCAACCATCTGACAAACCAGGAGGCTTCCTCAGGCGGAAGTCTAGTGCTCCCGCCTTCTTGCCTCGTCACTGCTCCAGAGAGCGATTCCTGCTGCAGGTCTGCCTGCCTTTTCTGGAGCGTGCCGTGCCTCACAGGCCCCCCGTTCCCCATGGGGGGCACAGCCACGAGCCGCCCGTCGGAAAGGCGCATGCATTGTCGCTGCTGCTCAACAAATTCGGGGGCAGAAGCAACCTGCTGCTGGTATACGGAGCCTCCAGGGGCGGAAAGGCGCATGCGGTGTCGCTGCTGCTCAACAAATCCTGAGGCAGAAGCAAACTGCTGCTGGTATAAGGAGCCTCTAGAGGCCGCCATTGGGGGGGGCCCCCGCACCGGCGTAGAGACCACCGCAGGCCCCGGCGGACCTTGACTAAGGCGCGCCGTCGCACTCGAGGCAGTTGCAATAGCTGGCAATTTCAGCTGTTGCTCCTGCCACACTTGTGGCCTTGTATACCTGATTGCTTGGCTGGTGCAGTTTTCACCCCTTGAATTTCCAGTGCGCCCTTCAACACGGGAAGGGTTCCCTTCAAAGACACCACCATCCTCGACATAACAAACCGTCGAAGGTGAGCATGAAGACCCTTGGATGGGCCTCCTGAAGGATTGGAAGGGGGGGGCAGAGGTTCGCACATTGGCGGCGAATCCTTCTACCGCGGGTGCGGCAGCCGCTGCTGCCAGTCCTGGTGCTGCACCTGTGAGCCCATCTATAGCTCTCCAAGGCATCATTCGCTGCGCTGATTCCCTTCTGGGAGGCAGTAGGGAGGATTCCTGTGGACACTTTGCCAAACGAACTGTCCACATCTCTTGTTCTTTCCTAGCCTCATTCCAGATTTTGTCAACCATACGTGTGGTCTGAGGCAGCAGCTCCTGCATTCTCTGCCTCTTAATAGCAGCCAGTATCATTGCCTGTTCCGCTGCGAGGTCCGCCAGCTCTTCTGTACTGACCTGCAGACACTCCGCTAGAGCCTCTTCCTCCAGGGCAGCAGGAAGCGCCACATTGCCATCCCCCGTAGAGGCTCCCTGTGAGGCCTCCATTTCGGTTTCTCCTGATAATTGGGAAAGAACCAAACGGGCGAGGCCCTCGGCTTCAAGTGCACCGATTGTCAAGCCGCGGGCTATTGGGAATCCTTCCTTCACGTAGTGAAGCTGCAAAATCACAATCACCCCACACAGAAGAGAGCAGGGCACTTAAATAGACCCTTTCCAACCTATAAGGGCCCACTATGCGCAACAAAGGATCAAGCCTACCACCACCAGGGAAAATAGTGCACATTTAAAGCTAGAGAGCCATGTAACTCCACAGCCACGTGACTCCCTAGGCTCCTCTATTCACTGCGTATCAGGGGCCTCGATGTGGTATACAACTGTTAAGGATTGGGTGCATAGTTTACCGAAGTGTAATGGCCCAGCTTGCCATGCCAAATAACCCGAAACGGCGTCAGGATCGACCCGTCAGGACCGGGTGGCCTCCTCTTCTCTGCGTCTGGCTCGAAAGCCTGCAACAACTGCAAGTGCTCATCAAAAACAAATATGGGGGTCCCATAGAGCAGCAGTAGTGCATGCATTTCCCTGTAGTCTGCCCACTCTGAACGCAAGCCACACAGAAACCAGCAAACACGAGGAAGAGATCCCTGAAAAAGTAAAAACTGATAGGGCCGTGGGTGTTACACCTTCCCATGAACCTACAGAGATTGCAAGGAATAATTCTGAGCGCCTTCCTGTCTTTTCCGTGGAATAGCACTAAACCATACTCGCCGCTTCCCTTAGTCAAGGGCATCGCTAGTGTCATATAATAGCACCCTCAACGGCTTTGAGAGATACAGCAGCGCGCCACCCCCATAAAATTTAATAGACTGCACTGCATTTGTCATAATGTGGCCTCAACTGTGTGGGATTTAAGAAGCCCCCGTGAAGGAAACCTATCAGTTCCCAAGCGCCTCCTCGGGATGACCCATAACACTATAAGGGGGATGGATTTTCCTGGCATGTACCTCCATATGTCCTTTTGGTTTGAATCCACCGCTCGAATGGGCCCTCACTTTCGTCTACAAAGGCCTCGAAAGTTTCCTTGCATCTCACCTGCGCAAAAAAATGAGAATAATTGAGCCTATAAAGAATCACACCTGCTGCTAATTTACAAGAGTGGGTTCGAGATTCCCCCTAGCCTTCGAGGCCCTGATGCCTCGAATCCCCAGCAAAGGCCTCACCATAACGTCCACTGCGAGCCACCGTAGAAACAAATGGTGGTCCTGAGATCCGTAGAGCTGCAACATCGAACGCAAAGGAAAGAGAAGTTCGCTCTCTTGCAGTTGCTACTGCTGTTTCGAGGTCACCTGCAGTCCCCACGAAGAATCTAGCTCTCGCTGCTAGCCAGACCAAAAACGCCATGGAAATTTTGTACGGCACCTGGTCAGAGAAGGCTCGATAAAGACAGTTTCCATCTCCTTTACACTCGCGCGTTGACAGATAGGGGGCCATAGCCGCAATGACGGGATCCTCGGCCACATTGAAGCTGCGGGTGACGCTGCTGTAATCACCGCCACTGCTCGCAGGATCCCTGCTACTCACATGGCACAGTTCCTGTGCCTTCGGCTCACTCTGCTGTGACTCTTCTTTGGCCTCTTGCCGGTCCTTTGGGTGCTGCTGCTGCTGCTGCTGCTGCTGTCTTACCAAGTCTTCAGAAGCAGCTGTCCCTGGGCGGCCCCCTTCATAAGTCTCGTTTTCGCCCTGCATCCTCTTTTCAGTGCTGTGTTGACTGCTGCTCACGCATTCCTCCATCTGATGTTTCTGCCTACGGACTCGTCCGTGGCTGTCCTGTACGGCGTCGTGGGCTGCCTCCTCACCTAACGTGTCGGGTTTGCTTGCACTTAGAGCGGAACTTTCGAGCTGTTGCTGCTGCTGTGCTTTTCTCACTTGCTCTTTCTCCTGTGGCGCAGCAGCTTTGGGCAGCTTTCTCTGCTGCGGCCGCACATATACCATTGTCTTGGATCCCTTTGGCGTGACTCTGACAGGAATGTTACCCTCTAGAGGAGTGGGGGGCTCGTCCCCTCCTCTGAGGTCTCCACTGTCCCATGATGAACAGGTTGACGCTGTTGAATTCGTCGCTAGTGGACGCAAAGCTACGGCAGTTTTACCGGTCTCGCGCTTCGCCGCTGGTGGTGCTACTGTTAATGGAACTGCGGCTGCTGATACTACAGCTGCTGATACTACAGCTGCTGCCGCCTGTTCAGAGAGCAGAGCGGAGGCACCGTCAAGCTGGCCAGTCTGGGAGGTGCTTTCGTTTCCGCGCTGACTGGGGCTGAGGCCATCATCACTGCTCGTGTTACTTCTAGTGCATTCCGGTGCGGGCTGTATGGTAATCTGAACGGGGACTTGATCCTGACTATTGGAATTCTCGCTCTCGCAGACCCATCCCTCGGTGAATTCATGACCCCTGCATCCACTTCCGAGTAATGCGTTGGAGGCGGAACTAGCCCGATCTTCTACAGTATTCGAGGCTGCAATAGCACTGTGAGCTTCAGGCGGGGCGCGGCGCATCAGCCAACTGCCGTCTGGAGTTTTGCTGCATATTATGATGTTAACACCCTTGCAGCAGTGACATGCAAACCGCAACAGTTGGCTCCCCTCCAGCTCAGCCCCTAGGCGACCCTCCAGCGTCCCTCTAGGACTGGCAGCAGTGCCGTGGGCAGCAACAACGGAGACAGAACCAGACAGAGGGCTTCTCTGGTGCTGCTCCGAGTCTGTGGCCATCATGATGGGGCCTATTACTTTCTGTTAAATCATAAAAGGCGAGACCCCTAAAGGGGCATCCGCTGCACATCTTCCTACCCTGCTGCGGTCGGCTGCTGCTGCTGCTGTACCTGTCGTGGTTCGTCTGGTGTCCTGCCAGCCACAAGCCCCTCCCTGAAGCATCTCAAGAGAACAGCAGCAGCAGTGGCAAGAAGAACCATCCGGTAGAGAGTGGGTCTGTATGCGGTACAGGAACCTCCAATACAGGAACTAGGCGTTGCTGCCACTGTTCCGTGTGTAGCAGCAGCTGCTGCTGCTGACAGTCAGGGGCCGGTGGCCACAGCCGCACTGCGCATGACTGCTTTGCGCACATCCCGCCAACCCACGTTAACTTTTCTGCTTGTATTATCCCTATCCTGGACCGTGTTTCTTCTGCAGAGTAATTTTAGAGAGAGTGGTGCAAGGGCTGCTCTGGGGAGATGCACCCCACTGGTGAGGCCTTGCAGGTGGCTGGCTTGTGCTGCTAGAGTTGCTAGTTCTGTCCCTGATGTTGTTACTTTTCCGACCTTTAGAAGTCTCCAGCAGAGCTATACTCTAGCAGGACCAGAGAAGGGAAGTGGGGCCACAGATGCTCTGCCCTGGGTAAATTAACATCGGTTCGTGCCTCGCATAGGGGGCCTCAGTAGATGGTCTTAGGCCTCGTCACCCCCTCCTAGGTAGGAAATTGCTATGAATCAAGTACATTTTGCGTGCTTATCCAGTGCCGACACAGTCTAGTGCTACAGCAGCTGCGACAGCTTGAGCGAATACTGACAGTGAGCCATTGGTTTGACCGTCCAGCCTAGTTGTGCGAAGGGCACATTAGGATAATACTATTGGGCATTGAGACTTGATGGTCCAACTTGTTCTTGAGGAGCTTTATTAGTTCCTGAAATCCGTCTTCGCTGCCTCGATACACTATGGCCAGATACGCGCGGGAGGCTGAGCAGCTAAACAAGGGCAGCAATGCCTCAATGTCTAATCGGGAGAATGAATCGATACCCTGCTTTCATTGGGTGATGGAGAGCCCTATAACACGAGGGCTGCTGAACCTGGCGCTGCCAAGGGATTGCTACACTGCGAGCAAGTGGGATCCTCTTCCGCTAAACCGTGTTTGTCGTTCACCGTAACCTCGCAGAGCCTTGTGATCGGGTGTTCGGGTTAGTTTGCGCTGTAGAGAGTTGGGAAGTCGAAGAATGAAAGCTGCATTGATAAGGATATCAAGCAGCTGTTTCTTTGCGGCTTTCCACTGGGACTACAGCACGTCTAATGCACTCTCGCATTTTGGCATGTATGTATGAAACGACTTGAAGAGAAAGAACCATGCACTTCGCGTTTACTGATGGAACACTGTGACCGGCAGCAAGAGCCCACCACCGGGCGTGACGCCGGCGCCCAAAGGGGCAATTATGAACGACCTGGACTTCGGTTCTTTGTGCTTCGGCTAACAGCCAAGCAGAAGGGCAACCAGTCAGCTACTTCCTGTCTGCCAAACAAAAACCGAAGGTCCAGTCACAACCCGAAAGGTATCAACCCCTACGCTGGCAGCAATAGGGGCTTGTCCCTCTAATGATCTGTGTAGTGCCTGTAGGACACCCAAGAATAATAGCCGAGACCTACCACGAATAGGAAGGGTGCTGTCGCGTACAGCATATATTGAGCTCACTTCGCGCGAGATTGAGAGGTGGCAGTAACACTGCAGTTGGTTACACCTCAGTTATATTGTTACCCACAGGATGTACAAAGCCCAAAATGGGATACAGATGGAAGCGTCGCCTGTCTCCGGGGTCGCCAGCAGACTAAATACATCTTGCTGCGTAGGAATCCAACAGCTCCGGTCATGCAGACCACATCTCAGTCTGTTCCCCTGGACTAATCAAGGCCTCCCTTTCCTGTTCGGCGATATCAGCAGTGCTGGAGTCAGGGGCTATTTCATTTTCTACCTCAACAACAGGAGAAGACCCTTGACCAGCCCTGCAAGCAATGAAACGCGTGAACATCGAATAGTTGATCTAAAGGTCACTCACAAACAAGCCTCAAACAAAGAAGGATTGTAACGGAGCAAGGACAAGAGAAACACCACAAGGCAGCTGTCCACAAAGTGTGGGATATACCTTGGCAGCGGCAGAAACACCACTATAAGCATTGAAACCTTAAAAGAAGCTGATGCATGAGGGGCTGTGACTCACATGCTGTAGGCCGCACCACCGCCCGCTGCAATAACAAGAAGACCGCCAGCAATACCCCCGGCAACAGCCGCAGTTGGGAAGCCGCCGGTTTCTTGTTTTTCCTCCTCGCTACTCTCACCAGCCTCACCACCACCGCCTCCTCCTGCGCCACTGCCACTACCACCAGTGCCACCACCGCCACCACCTTCTTCAGGTACTACGGGGCAATGGTTTTCACAGCTCTCTACCTCATTTGTATGTTCAGTGCATTTGCCGTCAAAGAAGTCGAAAATCACCATCGTCTGACGTGACCGGGTCCCACTGCAAACTGGACAGTCCGTCCACTCAGTAAAGGGCAAAGTGCAGGGCCCTGAGCAGTGTAATTACGCACAACAAAATGCTTTAACCCTCGTACGGAACCTTCCGAACGCAAGTTGCCTCAAAACCCCGTTTCCATTCAAAGAAAATCCCTGCACTCGAGGTATCTCACCCTTCAAAGACGGGCACCCACGCGAGCTGGAAAACGTGGAACGGGGTTGAAACCTTCATAGACTATGATAAAATACTCAGGGACCTCCCATCAGCTTGTTGGGGCTACATCATGACGATGTCTCTTACCGCAAGGATTGTTCTCGCACTCCCTTTGCTCCGTGAGCAGAATCTTTTCGCCATCGGCGAGTTCCTCATTCTGTTCGGCGATGGTCTTGCCACCGTACATTGCTTCTTGTTTAGATTGCCCACGATGTCTTACCTGCACCCCAGGGCCGCATCTTTCACTGCAGGCGCCCCATAGTTCCCAGTCTCCTACGATCTCGTCCACTGGACACGGCTGCGCATTGCACGTCCGCAAGGCGGATTGGCCTTCTGGGTGCTGCTGAATGCAAGAGCGGCCTCCAAACTGAGCATTGTCAAGCCACGGCTCCCTCTTACGACTTTGAGAGCCACCTCCACAGCTCCTAGAGCAGTCCGTCCAGTCGTTCCAATCCCCACAGTTAGCATCTATGGGGCAAGGATTTTCATTGCATACTTCAGTTTCTCTTACTGGAATACCCTGAGCTTCCAGAGTCTCCCCCCCATACAAGTCGCCCTCTTGAGGCAGACCCACGCGACCACGGTATCTTGAGCCACCTCCGCATGTGGCCGTACATTCGTTCCATTCAGCCCAAGGGCCGGGCTGCTGCTGAACTGGGCAAGGAACCTTGTCCACAATCTCAACCTCGGTCTCACTTTTAGGAGGGTTTTGCTCAAGGCAAGACAAACCTCCTCCGCTAGCTGGTGGAGAGTTATAATTACTTCTCTGTCGTCTCCTCGTTGCTGTCCCGCAAGTCGTGTTCCAAGTGGACCATTCACCAAACTCGCCGCAATGGGCATCCACTTTGCACACTGGCATTGTGCAAGACTTGGTGCGCGTAAGACCGGGTGCTTGTTCGGCGCATGTGCGACCCTGAGGGGCTTCGCAAGTGCTGCAGGGAGGGGTCCCTGGCTTCTGTGGACTGATCTCCGTGCGCGTGCTGGTCTGCAGCCCTTCTTTGCTGCACTCCCCTTCACATGGACCGTAGTCGCTCCACTCGCTGCAAACTGCATCTTTCGCCAAGTCTAAGCAAGCAGCCTCAATAATGGTGCTGACTTCTTCACTAACTTTCGTCCAGTCTGTCTGAAGGTACCGTGTGCAGTTGGTCTCACTTTCGCAGCCCGCAATACTGGTGCACTCTTTGGCTTTCACCCCGGCACCGACCCCCAAAACCACTATAATGGCTCCTTTTTCACGCAGGTTGGTAGCGGAAACCAGTGTGAGATCGGCCCTGCTGCTGACGCCGTCTGTCATCACCATAACCAACTTCGGTACATCTTTCCTGGCTCCCTTCGTAGTGTCGTAGAGGAGCTCACTGGCCATGTCAAGGGCAAGGTTAGTATAGGTATTCCCAGTGGGAGATGGAAGGCTCATTATCGACTCACCAGCCAAGACAGGGTCAGTGGACCGCGGGTCTGAGAGGTCCCAGCGTAATTTGGAGGTGGTGGAAAAGGTCAGCAGCCCTATTCTAACGTCTTCAGGAGTGACAGGCATTGCAAGGTAAAAATCGGCCAAGAACGCGCGTACCTTCACATAGTTAGAGGAACCAATAGAACCAGACTCGTCAATCACAAGAAAAACATCTAACAAGCTTGTGCAGACCTGGTCCTGGGCGGATTCTTGGGCGACACCTGAACAAATGCAAAAGCCACAGACACAATGAGCCTCGCATGCACAGAAAAGCTATGTCTGAAGTAAAATAAGCACGCATACCCAAGGACAAAACCCACAAACTCCCCAATTGGTGTGCTAGCCAAAGGTCCCCAAAGCAAAGCAATGCCTCTCTTAGGATGTCACATCTTAATAAGTCACTCACACCAAAATTCACTAAAACAAGCACTACCAGTACATCCGACTACCCCATGATTGTACATCCCGTAGCCCACACTCTGCAGAAGAATGTACTCAGGGAGACACCCCACAGCGACAATTATTGCAGAATTGCTTCTCAGACGACGACTGTTGCTTCTCAGGTGCCAAAAATGCCACTTTCAGCCAAGAAAAGAGAACGTTTAGCGCCTGTTTCAGCTTGAAAGCCTTTACGCATACCGGAAGGCTACAGTCAACGCATCATAGCTAGCACATCGTCCACCCCGTGTGGCGGCACTGCATAGTGGGTTCATTCATAAAATTTTGACTGCTTTTTGCTGTAGGATGGTTGAAACAAACCTGTTTGTGAAGAAGGTAACGTAGAACTTAAAGCTAGCACGCCAACCAGCACGGACAGTGTCCAGCCGAATGCTGGCCTTCTCCGCTGCGGACGTGCCATTGCTGGGAGCTGGAAGACGGTGTCAATCTAAACTTGGCAAAAAGGTCAAAGGAAAATGAAGAGGAACGGGTCTACCAAACGTATTTCTATGTTGCCCGACGTGCATTGTGCCGTGACGGTACTGATATTCCCAATGCTCGTCCAGCGCCCCTGCTGGTGCCCTCCACCAGCTGGCCGTGCGTGCCACGGCGGGGTCGGGCTGGCGTCTGCAGCTTTCAAGCGCCTCTGCATGCAATTCCCCCATTTTATACTTGATATTTCTCGCTATTTCATAGCTCACATCCATATCACGTTCCAGACATTCCTTGCGCTTGCATGCTCGTCTGCATCGATGGGCGCTTGCCTAAACTTTGTTGTGTACCAGCAAGCCGCTAGCCTATTCTCGTTTGTTTCTTCCAAAACTATAATCTCTAGTTATAATTTTTTGCTGGATTATGGGGTTTAAATAGGACTCATCAACGCACGAGGTGTGACTTGAGCTTGCAGATCCGTGCTTAATCGATCGATGCATCGTTCCTTGCACGCACTGAGTGCTGACTCAAGTCTTGTGGGAACCTTTGAAGGCATCTGAGAAACTATTTGCTGATTTCCACACACCACAAACACGATTAAGGGCTTTTTGTCGTCTTTTACTTGTCTTTTTTGCGAACCTCTCCCTTTCAGACCGTCACCCATGTCGGTGGCAAGAAACTGAGCCGGAAGGCTTCGATCATCTGGTTCCGCTAGTTGGTTTGGATGGAATCGTAATTGCTGTCTACTCTGCATGCGGTATCTTTGAACTTGTTCGAGCTGTTTAAAGCGATGCTTTGAAGCTCGAGGTTGCTACACTCGCTGTCAGTTCCTTCGCAATGCTTTCGTGGCTCTTTCGGTGAACGGCTGTACTGTTCATCGGGTCTCCGAATAGGGCACTTAAGCTTCAGAGTCAGTGCAAGTTGCATTGCCCATTATTCAGTGGAGTGTTTGTCTAGGAAATGATCTTTCCTTCCACTGCTGGAATGAGGAAAGCAGGACTACTAGAATAAGCGTAGCTGCATCCTCAAAGCAATCCCAGCACTAGCAAATAGTTGCACGCAGCATGTAGTGTGCCAAAGCACAGCATTGCACCTTTTTATGTATAACCAACTCAATGCTGCAATAATAAGCTATACACAAGGACAAACCAAGTGGATATTTTAAAACTAGTTCCCAGCTATTTATAACCATTGCAGAGGGAAGCGCCATACTGTGTTTTAGTCCGCTGCGTCTTCTCCCATCTTAAAAAGTGCGTCATACTGTTCCACACCCTTCTCCCAAAATCAACTGTCTACAGAACAGCAGAAGAGCTCCAGCATTATAGCCAGCATCCAGGTATACAAAAATGCGAAGACAATGCGAATGAACAAAGCAGAGCGGGCTTCAGCGGGTAAATAGGCTTCAAAAACACACTTCTAACCAGCAAAAGTATGGAAGACTACATCAACCTGTCGAACGTGGCGCAATGGCTTACTGTCTACGGAGCGCTGCAGTGTGTCAGCCTCTTGCCCCAACGCAATGAAAAAGAAAGAAAATGTATCAGAGGAATCAAAATACACAGTAGGTCAGCAGTATTTCCATGCCCCACAAAATGATGTTTTTGAGTTTTACATAGTGCCATTCCGAGCAGAGTAGTCGTTTTTGCCCCAAGAGACGCACGAAGAAGATTGTAAGGAAGCAAATCTGAGTGTCTGTGCGCATACAGTCCAGTCCAGAAAATACCAGAACAAAAACAATTAATAACTCTCCAAGCAATAGGCACGAACAAAGAAAGCGTTTTAGACAGATAATGGGCTAGGAAGGGGCAAATTCTAGAGGACCGCAAGGGAAACTATCATTCGCGAATAGTTTTGTGAACCGGGGATGCAAATCTTCCGCCGGCAAGGAAGAGCACAAGCTCCCTCGCTAACCACTGAGGCTGGCGTTCCTTACCCCATTTTACTAGAATCTTTTGTCTACTATTTCCTAGAAGAGGTAGAGTCGTCCCATCCAGCACGTCTCCGGCTCCCTGCGGATCCTCCGCCACCACACGGGACAATTGCATGCAGAGCAAAGTTCACCAATAATTGGCGGGTTTCAGCTTCTATGGGAGATAAATATTGATAGCTCTGCCTTACTTCCAACGTGCGAAAAGACTTCTATGGTTAGAATAACCACGGATTCTTGAGGGAGTCGCAAATGTTCCTACCCGCCTGGCCGCAAGCTTCATCTGGTCACCATGTGGATAGCATTACGCCTGCTGATACACGAGCACAATCTTCAGCCTCGAAACATACGACCGACCGCTGCTTATAACAGTTCCATGCTTGTCGCTTCAGGGCGTTTCGCATACATTCCGGTGCACTAGCTAGCTGTTCTCTTACAGGCCTTCTCTCCTGAGGGTGTCTGCTAACTGAGGAGCCCCAGGTCCAGGCGTAGCTCGGTGGGGTGCTTTCCAAAAGTGCGCAAGTAATTAGCTTTATACATGCATAGGATATTACCTATTGCAAAAAAAGGCTGCTGGTGTGCCGTAACTCTCCATCTGCCTCTAGGCGGTTCGTAGTAGTTATATCATGGTCAATGTACAGGCGGGCTAAAAAGACGCGCCAGAATACACTAATCAGCCTGGAATTCCTATCCACAAGGTTATCCTGAGTGATCCGTAAAGCTTCCAGACATGGATGAAGAACAGTTCAGAAACTTCTTGTGACAGAGCTGCAGTACGAGATGAAATGAACAGTTCCTGAGACTGGCGACACGGACGTAGATGCTTACTGACCCTTGGCCTCCAGCAGTCTAACAATAAACTCCACACTCAGATTAATCCAACTCCCCTAAGAAATCGAAAGGCTTTGCAAAATGTCACATTAAAGAAAATTGGCTGCCTTGAACTGCTGACGATCTGGTTGTGACGGTGTACACTGCTCTGCCGCCAAATGCATCCTAGGCCACCACCAGGATCATAAGAGCTTCTCTGCTGTAGTGTGAATAATACCATAGCCCAAAACAGTATGATCGTGTGGTCTATTCAAGAGGGGCTTCACAAGAAGAAGTGTACAAGCTCTGGTGCCCCTGCTGTGTTTTGCGTCAAAAAATATATTTCCTTACTTAGCAACGCCCAGCGTTTTGCCATTCTGCAGCTCGACGATTGCATCGGAATAGCTGGGTGTCAGAAACAGTTTTGGTACAAAGATTGAATCAGCACAGACAAGATGTATTGCAGTGCGAGATAGTTAATTCCTGGGGCGTCTCCAGGGCTCGTCGGCAAGCACGTTTGGACATGCCTTCAAAGTACTTCAGTGTGAAGTAGTACTGCTGGGGGTACCGAAGCCAGCACATAACCCTACTACTGTCAAAGTCTCAAAAACCCTTTTAACTGCGAATCATAGACTGACAATGCTCTTGCTCAGGGGGTTGAAATTACCACATTTGTGCCACCTCCCGTCCTTCCCAGACACCAACACAGGGTTGTGACCAAAAGCTCTGACCAGTTCCTCCACTTTGACTTTCCAACAATTCGTCCGTCTGCCGTGTCATTGCGTTCATGCTGTGAGAGCGCTTGATGCCATGTGGAACATAAATGAGCCTGTCCCGGCGAATCTCTTCGTACGGGGCGTTGGACGAAGAGTGGATGGCCAACCTGCGGGCAGCTCACCATTAGATCCGCAAAAATCCTACTTCATGTTAAATCATACATGATGTCTATCGAGAGAGCGTTTGTTAGGATGCTGCAATAAAAACCGGTTATGGCGCCAGATAGACGAGGGGCAGGCTCAGCGCCTTTTTCTCGAACTGGACAGAGCCGCCCCATAAGTTCCAACTCTCGACTTCGCACTTCCTTTTTAGCCAAAAAAGCTGAAATCGCGTACATTTTCTCTTGAGACGCCAAGAGGTCTGTTGGTCTTGGAAACCTCACCGGTCAGTTGCTTTTGTGGCTGAGTCGCAGCCCAGTCTGCGATCTCCTGACCTGGCACTCCAAGTAGACCTTAGTTAAAACAACGTTAAAACAGTTGTTCTTCTATGTTGTGACTGTTACAAACCAAAGGCACATTTTCCTCCACACACACCATTTTATTGGTAGGTGTTCCTGCTTCAGCTTTCTTGATACTCCCATATCTTGTTGAGCTAAACTTGGCATCAACCGATAACTCAAGGCTTGTAGGAAGGTTGAGCCGTAGTGATCCGAGCAGGCAGGCCCCTTCATCTGTATTATAAGCGCCACGACGAAGTGCTTCTCTCTCGGATGAGCTTGCCACAAGGAACAGTCGTTCCTTTAATCTGAGGGTAGAAAAGCGAGGTATGTCTCTAACCAGCTGATAAAAGCGCATGCCCATCCGTACGAAAGTCGTACTTCTGTGGTTGGCATACCCTCATCGATGACTCACAAACATTCTATCGGCTGATAAATCATTCCTTTCCACCATCTGTCGAGATAGCGCGTTTGCACTAGCTTGCAAGCTAGTTCGAACTCCTCAACAAGCATTGCGCCACAGTGAACTGCCTTCGCAGAAAACTTTGCCCTCAAAATATTGCTAAGCACGTACTGTGCTACGTATTACCTTCTAGACACTAGGCAGCTGCTGTATGTAACGCTTTCATTCCAGTGAATCCACAGCAAGTGGCTGAGAGGGGAACGCTTGCATGCAACCACGCTGTATTACCACATGTGACGCTCAATCCAAGTTTTCCACATGCACACGCTTAGTTCCACACTCAGTACAACCTGATGGAAAGTTATTGGGCCATCTGTAAAAAATCTCCCTCCTTTCCCTACACGCGCCCCTGAGGAAACCCGACATTAGGGGGAAAGGTACAATTACTGTGCGCTAAGGTACACTCTCTAAAAACTCAAAGCATCCATAGCTGACTGCATATCGCATCCAGCGCACACGCACACAACACTATTTATTTATATCGGGCTAACGCTACATTGCAGCCAATAAGCTAGGCAAATAAACGAACCGCGTATTCAACTTTCCACTCATTATTATTTGATCATAAATACTAGAGTAGAAAGTGTTTTTGTATGCCTTAGCCAGATGCGTTGCTGGAAAAAGGCAAAGTGCAAGAATCGGCCAGCGCAAGTGATCCTTGACCGGCGTTGGTTCGGAAAAAGGACGAATTTTATCCAAACTAAATGCCAGGCATAAGATTTTAATGCCTCTTAGAGCCCAATCACAAGACAACATGCACGAATGAACAATTCACTCGACACTTGACATTACGGAGGCCGTCTCTCAGCTACTCAGTCAC